AATTTGTACATTACGTTAGAAGCAAAGGAAGAAATAAATCGTGCTATTGTCTGAAATTAACTGTCACATAATAAGTATGAGTTAATTTTTAAATATTATGACTTAAACTTACCATATAAAATTGATATTGTTAGGTTCTATACAATTAAAGTGCGGCACAAATAGAATGATCCCATTTAATATAATTTTAAATATTGTACTTTTTTTGATTGGGTCTTATTTAGCCCCTTCGCAACAAAGTCATGGTTCCTTCCCTGTCTTAGACTACTCTCGCCCAAACACATTTAATCGCTGAGTTTTGTAATATTATATGAGAAATAAACCCAAGATTTGAATCTAATTTCAGCGTGCACAGTATTTGTAATACCCAAGGAAAAAAAATTAAATAATAATAATAATAATAAAGTGACTAAGTTGGATTTGAGAAGGTTTAGACTTTTGTTTGACTTGGGGTTTATCTTTATGGGCTTATGGATATGCTTTGAAAATGAATGGAGATAATTTAACTTTTTGGGTATAAGAGGAAATATCAGATAATTATATAGACATATTATGACTATTATACATGTGGTTTAAATAGGGTAGTATTGTTGGATAAGTTAAAATCTTCCCATATATATAAATATATTTAAATTTGTAAGGTTTTTTTTTTGTGAGAAGATTTGTGGAGGGGTTGTTCAGTAAACAAAGAAGAGAGAGAGAGAGAGAGAGAGAGAGAGAGAGAAGGAAAGAGGAGGAAACAAAGAAAGGACTTGAATCCATTAAAGGTATGAATTTATTACTTAATTTATAATTTTTGTATTTTATTCAATCACATAGTATTAGGAAGTTACTGGTTCCAGGTTCTATCGTACGTAAAAGAAAATCAAATCTAAAAATAGAAAACTCCCCTTTAGTTTTAAAGAACTTAATTTTAACCACTGTTTTCCTTGATAAGTTAGAAGAATAGAATTTTAGGAAATTTATAGCAACCCCGAAAATAGAAAATTCTTTTTTTTTAAAGAAATTATACTTTGACCCCAAAAATTTCAAAACTTATAATTTAATCCCAAAATTTTAGAAATTTTTTTCTAAATAGCCCAAGCTACTTCTATACCCTATTACCTCATATCTGTAAATGATATATATTGAGTATATATCAATGGGTAGAAAGTAGTAAATTAAATATAGAATTATGGAATGACGAAGTTAAGAATAAGGATTGATCGTTATATGTTATTTTGGATTAGGTGGTGATTGCATTGCAGTTGAGAAAGAGGGCTTTGAATTGAATTTTAGGAATCAACATGAATAGTTTACTACTTCTTTTGGGATGATTTTCTATATTAAATGTGTGGGAACGTGCGTGTGAATTTTTCATATATATGATATATGTGTTAATATTTGGAGTTGCAATTAAATATTTTACAATTGTGAACTGTTATACATGTAAATTTTGAAAAACTTGTGGGATGATTTTATATCATTGCTTTGGTGATGAAAGAAAAATTTTGTGTGTTGGGACTAAAATTACAGTTTTGGGGTGTGTGTGTGAAAATCATGTTTATGAGACGGGGACTGGGCTACCAGATCTAAATGGTAACGAGATTGTATATCAGTGTGATCGGTATAAGGATTTGCACATAGGGGCCAGTCATTAAACTAGTGAGGACAAGAGACGGAGTCAGTTATCAGGCTAGTGGTAATAAGAGACGAGACCAATTACCAGACTAGTGATAACAAACATGATTTGACAAATGTATTTGAGACTGAATGTGTGTGTAAGTGTTTTGAGTATTATAGTCTTTTCATTTATAAAGTGATTTGTGAAAATGAGTTGGTGTTTTGGGTAATAAATGTCTTTTCATTTATAAAATTACTAGTTATTGCATGTGCTTGTAGGCACAAAGTAATAAAAAATAATAAACAATAAACATATTTGTATTCATATCCAATATCAAATCACAAACATAGAGAAGAGATAAAGAAATTTAAACATTGGTTTGTAGTGAAGGTGAGAGGTGGTGGCGACAATGGTGGTGGTAGGAAACGGTGATCATTGTGGTAGGTGGCAATGACGGTGGTAGTGATGGTGGCAGTTGCGATGGTGGTGGTGATGGTGGCAACTGCAATGGTGGTGGTGACGGCTACAACAATGGTTGTGGTGGCGGCGGTGGCGGTGGTGGTAGTGGCGATGGTGATGACGGTGGTGACTGTAGTGACGGTGGTGGTGGCGACGACTACAATGGTGGTGGTTGTGGGGGAGTGGTGACAATGACGGTGGTGGTGGTGGTGGTGGTGGTGGTGGTAGAAGTAGTGGTAGGACTGTTTTAAACACTATTTTAAAAAAAAATATTTTTAAAAAATAATTTCTAAAAATATTTTTAAAAAATCATTCCAAACACATTCTTCCTTGACGTCGTAGTCTTTGCCATGCAACCTGACAACCTCTTAAGAAACTGGTATAGTGAATAGCATCGGAAGTCTTCTTACAAAGAATGGGACCTCCAAATTGCCTAATTAAAGAAGTTCTGCAACCTCAACAACAGCTTTCAATGTCACCAACGTTGAACTGTTGTGCCAGTCATTTATATTAAATTTAGAGTGTTAATATTAGTTGTTAGATTAACTTTAAAGTAAAATTTAAAACGATCTCAACTGCGAATAACAAAAGTCATTTTATTTATTTTTTTAGATTTGAATTGTAAGCTACTTTATTATATAAATTTGTAATCATGAAATTATTTTGTTTACATGCTTATATGGGAGGGATTGTAGTACAATTTGTTGTACTTATATATGTATCAAAGTTTATTTTTGTATATAAATTGTGAGATTTATTTTCACACCTCATTAGAGATGGTTGTTATTCACGGGTCATTGTGCTCATTCAAATATTTAACATTTTTCAAGTGAGGATCAAGATGAGGAGTAAGTTCACAGATAGACAAAGGATTTTACTGCAGGTCTTCAAGAATAAAAGTCTTTTATATTTTTGAGACAAATGTTTAATTATTTTGATAAAAATATTACTTATGTTTAGAGTAGTGAACATTACAGTTTAATTATTGTTTTACATGGATTTAGTAATGATGTTGGTGATGTTTATTTTATTCCTCTGGTATTCATTATGTTGGTAAATGATCACTTTATCATTTGTCTTTCGCTGTATTTTATATTTATTATACATAGAATTAATTAGTTAAAGCTTTGGTGGCCGGCTGCCCACCCTATATGATCTGGGGTGGGGGTGTGGCAGTATTGCTATGACTGAGTCCTAATAACGTACTACCATAACATAGTTCACAAAGTGTGGAAGTATTGAAAATGAATGAAGATAGAAATCCTTGGATCTAGGCATTACAAAATGGAGTAGAACCAAAGAGGTATGGGATCCACAAGATGCCTTTTGGCCAGCAAGTATTCACCAAACTTCTTTTCATTTCTGGGTAATGTAAGGTGGACGCTCATTGATTGGGTGGTTGTGATATGTTTATATTAAGAGTAATGTAACATTGACTTAAAAATTAGACTTGATAATCTCAACCATTGATTTCACTGTAGATCTCAGCATTTATTGGGACTCACTATCTATTTAATGATTGAGATTATCAAGTCTAATTTTTAAGTCTACTTTTTAAGTGCATGTAAGATTACTCTTATATTAACAACACAACATGTGGGTAACTTATAGATGACAAAACCAAAAACAAAAACAAAAAAAAAATAAATTAATAAGCTTTTTTTTATTTTAATAATGCTATAAAAATGTAGTTTGGGATTTAGTTTAGATACTTAATACATTTTGGTAGCCATATTAAAAATAGATGGATTGGATAAAATAATCTAGTCTAATAAAATACAGATGAACAAAAAATAAGATTAAATAAGGTACGAGAATAATATGTAATTTCATCTAATGATTAGTAATACACAATATAACCGTTGAATAGTAATTATTTAATCCAATCTGTTGTTTGATTAAGTTGTATTAATGTTGAATTAAGAAAAATATCCAATTTATTCTCTGTATTAAGTTTCAAAATAAAATCTCTAAATTATTTCTTAATAGCATTAATGTAACGCTAAAGAAAGATTAATTACACTTTAACTTTAAGGATAATTTAAATGGTAACACCGTGATATAAATTTAAACGTCTTGAGTTTATATTTTGACAATTTATTGAAGTCAGACTTTCATGAATATCCTTGTATTAGTGCACACAAATTAATTAGAATACTCTTGACCATTAGGAAAAAAAATGAAAGAAAGATAATTTCACATTAGTTGAAACAAAGCTTGAAATTGGGAGAATCCGGATCCAAGCATAAACCTACAAAGGCAAGCATCAAAAGTTGCCGAATCGCCTCTTCAAAAGGGGAAGAAAGCTTTTGCTAACCGACCATATCATTTACCAGCTCTCTCTCTCTCTCCAGAAGGGCAAGAAGGGTGTCACAACTGTTTACCAAGTCTCACTCTACAGGCATGTTCTTCTAGAATATGTACCCTTTAACTAGGTTTACCGAGTCTTACTCTACATGTAAGCTACTGTTCTTTCCTGTTCGTCTCATTTGTCTCTGTATATATTGATCTCTCTCTTGTTTTGTCTAGAAGGATCACGTAGAAGCCATGGATGATCAAATGACATAACCTACATAGAAAAACCAGATATTACTTTTCGAACAGTCCACCCTGAGAGTCTCTTTTAGTCATAACCAAGTGTTCAAATGGATAGTATTGCATTCCTCGACACTGCATGACACGCTTTCTCTCTCTCTCTCTCTCTCTCTCTCTCTCTCTCTCTCTCTCTCACACACACACACACACAACAGACACATATTTTTAACATATAACATAATAATAACACATTATTGTAGCTACATATATGTATCTCATACATTTCATCTTTAATCTTCAAGATTTTGTCTACCCATTGTCCATTTGTCATACAACCAAGTTATTCATCTCCCCTCCCCTCCCCCCTTCTCTCTCTAAAAAATATATCTTTTTATAAGTGTGTATGTGGGTGTGTGTCTTATACAGCTAGATCGAGTCAGTATTTCACACCAAAATTTTCTCGGTCTCTCTGTCTCTCTCATAATGGGTGATGGCATCGATCTCCAAAATCAAGAAGCAGCAGAAGAGACACTTTCTCTCTCCAACCTTCCACTTATAACCACCGATGAACCTGACAGCCAAGACTTTTCATGCTTCAAAGAACGCCGTTCATCTTCCGAACCCACCGATTTCTTCGAATTTTTCAGCGATTTCAATGCCGAGATGCGTCATGCCGAAGACATCATATTCTGCGGTAAACTCGTACCCTTCAAAGAAAATCCTCTCCCCAATCAAATCCAAAAACCTCCCACTAAAGAAAAGAATAGTCAAAGCTTTCATCGCAGGCGATCGGAGTCATTTTCCGAGCAAACTATTACTAGAACCGAGAGTTCAAAAACAAGCCTAATCCGAAGCAGCAGGTCTCTGGATTCCCAAACCCTCCTCAGAAATTCAAGCTTAAGCTCCGAGACATCAGAGATTCATCGGAATTCATCGGTTAAGAGTTCCAGAAAGTCCGATGGTTCGAGTTTTAAGGTGTTCAATTTCAAACCAAGGTGGTATCTTTTAACGTTTGGGCTTGTAAAATTTCCGCCGGAGATGGCTCTCCAAGACATCAAGAACCGGCAGGTTCGTCGCAATCCCGGGACTATGTTCCCGTCGTTTGACGCCGGAAAGAAAGTACCGGGTAGCCGGAGAGACCGGCAAAGCTTTTGGGGACTGCTAAGGGTACTAAGCTGTAAAGACGACAGTAGCGTTGCCGTAACGACGTCGTTTACCTGCATGCCACAAGTTTGAGGTACCTCGTGCCTTCAAGTCACGTGACACTCGAAATATCTGCTTTCTTGCCATAATTGCACCTGAAGGCTTAGACAACATGCTAGACAGACAGGGATGATTGGGTAAAGGGTAAATCTGTCATTTCAAATGCATGGCGTGGCTTGGAGGAGAGGTTATATACTTACTATAATTAAAGGAGTTCACGTAGAAGAGATGATGATGCTGTACGCTTGCGGACCACGGTTGATGATGGTGTGTCTTCCATATATGTGAGACTCACATGAGAGGAATGGGTTTTGTCCTTTCAGGTGGGGCCACTGTAAATTAAATGATACCCTATATTTATTTTCTATGAAATATTTTTTGCTCCTTAATGAGGATGTCACTTTTGGATCTTCTATTTATCCGTTTTCTAAGTGGGGAATATATATGATGTTATTTATTTATAAATAATCTCAAAAATTCTTGCTATAACTTTCAAATTTGTGGACCACTTATTGCGGACCGAACAAAATACAATTTATGCACGATATGAACTACCACAAAAATATTCCAACTATACACCATTACAAATGATCAGGCACGGGGTGTAACAAATTTTAATATAGCACACAATCCGTTGCTATAGTAGTTATAATATTAGTTTGGTTGAATAAAAGGAATTTGTTTGTGCCCTAACAATTTATTGTGTGGGGATTTGAGTGTATTACACTTATAAGTATAAGATATCTCCTACCCATTGCACGAGAAAATATTTATTGCAATGGTTGTGATTCTACAATTAGACTGTTATATCATATCAGCGCGATAACATTGTGTAACATTAAAATTTATTTTATTTAATTTCTTTGGCATAGAGACTTTTCCAATAAAACTAGCAAATTGCATGACATCATCAATTTTTTTTTTGATCAAAAAACATCATCAATTCAAGTGTGCAAGTATTGGCAAAAAAAGACTTGCATTCTAAATCATTTTTTATAATGTAATTTTGACATAATCTGCTCACATAATTCACTATTAATATTAGATTAACAATAAATTTCTATATTAAATGCAAAGTCAAGAAACTAAAATCAGGTGATTAGTTGTAAAAAAAAATATTATTGAAAACCACAGAGGGCAACAAATGAAGATAATGGCAAGAGTCAACAGCTTCAAACTTTATTTGTAAGTTAGGTTCTCCATCGAGAAGATTAAACTACTTTCCTCGTTCAAAAGCCTTGCACGCAATAAGCACATTAAGATTGGATTAAGTACCAGAAGCATTCGTAAGCGACAGTGATTCAAATGACTTCCAATTCGTTCCTCACCAAAGTGTTCACTTCTTTTTCGCCAGGTTTTATTCGATTGGTTGTGCATTAGACGATGGAAAAACTAGCAAGTTATGACTTGAAAACTTACCTTTTATTATAAAAAGGAGCACTTTCTTCTATAGATATTCAAAGGATAAGTAAAAGGGCGGAGATTGAAGAGCCAAACGAGCCGCGCTAACCTACGTTTTTTAGCAACAAGCTACGGTCTAACTATTCCCTAACCTATGTTGGGGGCGAAAACTCCAAAACTAGGGTTCCAAGCTTTTCTCTAATAATAAGGTAAGGTTTTAAGCCTCTTTACTAAAAAATAAAAAGTGTAACGAATTGTAATATGAAAGTAAAATTATATTATGGACCGAAAAACTAAAGTCATACTAGAAAGTAAAGTCAAAATATCTGGCCAAAGAAGGTGATAGCCCTATATATTTACATAATTATCGGCCTTTTGTTACCTCTAATCCATCTAAACAACCTTTGAATCTCTGTGTCACTGAGCTTTTTTTCAGTAACGCTTCCCTTCCATCGAGAAGGAAAGACTGCCTTCTTCCTTCCAAGATTGTTGTTTATAAAGGGACCAATCAATCTCTTAGAGATTTATATACTTGAACCTGAATGGTGATGAACCCAAATCTAACTAGGTTAGGTCCAATAAATTAAATAAGTCCAAATTAACTAAAAAATATGTCAAGTTCAGTTTGTGAATCTGACTCGGCCCAAGTTTCAAAGAGTTTAAAAAAAATTAGAGCACATAAAAAATAATTATCGGAATACTCACTTTCGAAGATTAAGGTAACCTTTTATGACATTTACCTTTTGTAGCCACTCAGAAAATTATTATCTTTGCCATCAAGTTACCGCCTTAACCAAAGTCCTGTAAATATAAATTGTACGTTATCACTACATGAGAGGACACATTGAAATCTACCTCTACACTTTTCTACACACACATAACTTTTATCTCTTTTAACTATTGTACCTCTCCCGGAACTAACTATTACTCTCTCTCTTGTTTACCTTACTTTATCTATAAAGACCCCCCAACCACTGTTGTCATTTTTCAGAGTGGAATAAATCACTCGAACCAAACCATTATATATCTTTGTATTGACTCAATATTTACATTACTTTCATTGATTGCTTTATTAATTGTCTATTAATTACACCCTGCCACACACTCGACTGTTGATCTTACGCGAGCGCGAGACTATTTTGTGCATCATCAAATGGTACAAAATTCTCTTTTTTAAACAATATGTACATGAATAGCGAACAACGATATTTAAACTAATGACTGCCTTCAAAACTCTTTTACACTTCCCCAATCATGAGCCAACCAAGATTGCATTTCTCTATAGAGAAAATTTTCGATCACCAAGATGACATCCAGGGAAACAGAATAAAAAAGCCTTTCTGCGAGAAGCCTAAATACTATATCACCATCACTATTCTATGACACTTAACGTACTTATAATGAAACACATATGTGAACAACAAAATCATACTATCCGTTACAGCCACCCAAGAGCAAATAACAGGAACACAAAACATACTGCTGAGAACAGTCAAATAACAACAAAGTTTACCGTTTATAGTAGAATGCCAACAGCTGATAACATGGAAACTCATTACTTTCTCAGATAGAAGATATGCAAGAGCTAATAACACGAATATAAAATTTACTGACCAGAACAGTCAAATAACACCAAAGTTTACTGTCTATAATAGAACCCCAACAGCTGATAACATGGAAACATCACTTTCTCATAAGAATAATAGTAAGTTACAGACTACAGTTCAAAGAATGCTACAAACACTCCCAAACCACATACACTATCAGCCAAAAGAAAGACAAAAGGAAACACAAGCTGTAAACCAAGGAACAAATCACCCATGATCAATTGCAAATATAAATCCCACTAGCATACCTGTGGTCAACCTCATAAAAATCAGTCTTACCCTCAGAAGCTGGCAGCACAGACAGCCCAGACAATGATCTATTTCCCTGCGCAGAAAATTTCACATAGCCAACAACTTCTAGTTCTTCCCCTCCATCTTCTTCGCTAATATCCACAGGCATCCTCGCCCTCAACCTACCTGGATTACCCTTTAGAGGAATCTCTTCAACGTGCCACTTTAATTCTCTCTCAGCCCTATTCAATATGGCTTTCGGGGCAACCTTTAACAACGTTGGGTCCACTGGGAGTTTCAAAACAAATGTGACATCATTCAAGGGTGCGGGCAAATCAGGGTTTGAAACATATTGAATCATCACAGAAAGTAAAGTTCCACTAAGACGTTTAGTAAGACGAACCCTCAAGGGCAGCGGAGCTAACCGGGGTAGCAAACTATACTTCAATATCAATAAAGGGTCATCCGAAGGTGCAGTCCTCACATGAAACATCCCATTGCCAAGGCTACTTACACGAGAGCTTTGCATAACAAATCTCTTAACACTACTAGTACCTTCAACCTTGAAGGAAAACTCAGTTTCTTGATCACCAGCAGATTTTGGAGGCAATGTTCTTAAGTAGACCGTACCCATCAAGCCAACTCTAGCAAGCAAGGATTCCCTGAACTCTGCACTAATCTCTTCAGAAATGTACAACTCCGGTCCCTTCATTTCAGTTTTGTTCACCAACAGATTTTCAAGAGTAGCACCACTGCTCTCAGCGACAGTCTTTGGCGGCTCACTAGTTTCTAACAATTCAAGCCCACCAAGCCCCTCGCGTTTTGCAACTTTCTTCGTCCCCACAAATTCCGATGCATCCAATCCACCACCCCAAGCATTATTGATTCCTTCAAAATCTTCCGGCAGCGTTGACCCATCATTACTAAACTCTATACCACCATAGTTCCCTTCAAACCCTTCAACACCGATATGTGTTGATTCTGTGGCTGCAGCAGGCGGCAAAGTAGTAACGTCAAGACCCACCAAGGCTTTTGTCAAATCAGCACCTGCCTGATCCTTATCTTTCTTAAACCCACCAACAAGCTCCTCCGGCTTGCCAAGCTTATCACTAGCCGCAAACGGGTCCTTCTCCTCCTCATCTTCCAACTTTTCCTTGTCATCTTCTTGTTCACTTTGCCCACCAAAGGTAATCGTGGCAGCAACCTCATCACCGGCCTCCAATGTCTCCGGAGGCAACTCGAACCTCACATTCTCAAATGCTTCCACACCCGCCTCATGCTCTATCGAATTCACCTCCACATTACTCCAACTATCCGCCCCCCTAATCTTATTCTCTGTATAAATAGCCGAATGAACCATCTTTGCAATCCCATCACCGTGCATCGACCCCAACATCGCTGCTAGCCTAATATTACTCACACCCCTCAAAACTATGTCCAATGCCAAATAAATTTCAGCATATTTCCTACCAAGTTTCTCAGGCGTCACATCTACACCACGACAGGCGGTCACAACTACACTAACAGCCTGATTCACAATGCTAATACATTCAAACACATTATTCACATTATCATTATCGTCAACAGTGGTAATACCCAATACGTATATTGAATTGACTAAGCGGTAGACAACACGGTACCGGCTTTCCATACCTACAATGACTTGGCCGCTGGAAGCTGCAAGTGGGTCATCGCCGAGGGACGTGTCGCCGTCCTCCGAAGACTCACGGTGCTTGCCCGAGGCAAAAGCAAGCCGGGTTTGGCGAAAGGCCGAGAGGGCCACAAGAGCTCGGGCAGGGGGGAACCATTCACGGGTTTGGAGCAGAATGTCGGACCCGTTTGTGGGTTGGAGAGAGAGAGCTAAACAAGACATGGGGTTGATATTTGATCGGATTTTCTTGGATCTTAGGGTTTGAATTAGGAATTGGGTTAGGTGTTTACAGATCTTTGGTTTCTGGGTAGGTCTGATATATGTGATGGTTTCAAGGTGGTTTGAGTCAAAGAGATTTCAAAGGTTCGGGCATTCGATCTTAGTGAGAGACGTGAGAAAAATTGATGTTTTCAGGATAATCAAAAAAAGGTGGAATCCACATGTGTGTGTGTGTGTGAGAGAGAGAGAGAGAGAGAGAGGGAGAGGGAGAGGGAGACGGATCACTTACTTTAGCATAAACATGAGGATTTGCGAAGGAGGTTGATTTGAGTGCTTGCTTGAATTGGATTTTGCCTGTTGACTGTTGCAGAGATCAAAATCTGTGTTGGGAGAGACAGGGAAGGAAGAGTTGGTAGTGTAGCGAAGACGGAATAAGGGGAACTCGGCAGTCATTTAGGTGGACCGGTCCGGTCTAAATTTTCTATAACCCTTCAACAAAGAAATGAGACATGCTCCACAAAACACCCAAATTTTGAACATTTTGAATCACTATTTTCTTTTTAGATTGAAATAAAATAAATAATTAATAGAGTTTAAGACTTGTTAAAAATAAGGCTAAATTATCTTAAGATAAATATGATAAAATTTAATAGTTCTATTAAAAAAAGAAAATAATCAGTGCCCCCTTAGGCCAAAAAACAAATCCGTTCTTTGAAGACCAGAAAACATGGCTTCATATTTGACAAGTATATATACCATATGATCGGATTTGGATCCTCTAAATTTTATTTTATATTTTTATCAACTTCACTCAAGAGTGTTTGGTTATACTAATTTTCAATATGACTCATAAAGCCCGATAAGTGAACTTTAAAAAAAAATTAAGATAAATGATGAATTTAAGGCACTAGGATCCACATCCGGATACCCATATGATCAAAGTCCAACACAATCATATCAATTTCATTCCCTTTTTTAAATTCTCCCCCCCCTCTCTCTCTCTCTCAAAAGGTGCATAAAACACAAGGGGTAACAAATAATTAGAACCAAATTAATTTTTTTTTTGCAGGGAAGAACGGAGGAAAATGACTTAAACCCTTGACCTCAAGAAAACAAAATCCTCACAAGATTAAGAATATCATTGGACCAAAAACTCATTAGTAGAAGTATTATTACAAGTATAAAAGCTAATATCGCTTTTTTCCTCCAAATAATTATAGTGCTCTATTTAGTATGAGGACTAATAAATAAGAGCAATAAAAAGTAAAAAAAATATATTTTTTTATCCTTCTAGGAAGAAAAGTACAAATGATACACTATCTTTTATTTGTGTTTGATAAGATAGATAAAAAAAAAAAAAAAAAAAATTTGTTGTGCTTGATAATATGAAAAAATATTTTTTTATTTTTAAAAAAAAATATAAATACATATTTTATTATTATATTTATATATAAAATTAATATATACATAATATATATATCAAATATATATATATATATAGACAAATAAAATATATTTCAATACAAACAATTAACTTTTCATCTATTTTCCTTCTAATTTTGAAGAGATTAATTTTGGTGAGTTAAAAAGAAAACTTATTCATCTTTCCTATTTTCCTTTCTTACCAAACATAATGTTTTATCTATCCCTCCAATTTTATATCCTTTTAATTTTCTATCCTTTTATTTTTTCATATCAACTGGAGCATAAATATCTGAAGGAGGGAAAAACTACAAAATCTTCATACACGTATATCTCACTTTATTCTTGTTTGTTGCATTCGTGCTTGCTGCACTGCACCTTCTATCTATTCAAAACTTTGAACACCAACATTCTGCTATCACTTTCGTATCGAAACCCAAGTGTATCTCCAGCTTTCAAGGGATTATCAGGGGAGAGTTGCTTCCTTCTCACCACATCTTTTGCACTTCTTAGACGGAAAAGTCCCCCTGGCTCCAAGCACAAATTCAGATGATGGTATATCATATAATCAAGGTCTAATACAGTGATGTCTATGCATTGTCCCTCCATCAAGTCACTGCGCTCTCTCCCTGTCAAGTATAGATTGAAAACAGAGTTATAGAATGGAAGCGCTACAAGAATACAACAAAAACTACCTTCTTATACTGAAATTAATTGTTGCAATCAGTTCTACACTGAAATGAAAGTGATTATCTCACTCATATCCCATTTGAACGCAAGCACATGCAAAAACTTGGCATGCTTGACGTTTATTATGATGAGACAAGATAACAAGGTAGTAAAGAAGAATAAAACTTCAATACTATGCAATTAGTTCTTCAACAAAATGAAAATAATTATCTCATATATTGCTTCTAAACACAAGCGCATGCAAAAACTTTCCATGCTTGATGGTTATTAAGTGAGGCAGAGATAACTTGGCTGTAAAGAATGATAAAACTTCAATACGAGGTTATATTAATTGCTTAATATTTCATACAAGCTAATTGTTTTCCTCCAAAAAACAATATACATGTCTTAAAGGGAAAATGAAACTCATCAGGTTTTCATAAGTTTCATTGTTTTCTCATTACAAAAGAAAATAGGCCAAGGAAGGATTGCGGTCTCCATTTTCTGAACTCCCAGTATGATCGACAAGAAAAAAAAATTCCTCTGTATAAATTCTCTATCCTTTCAAGGGTTCTTCTTATCCAACTAAAACACGAAGTGATCATAATGTTTTAGTTGCCAACAGATTTTTGGAAGTACACAGATAAAAGGTCACAGCTTGTTATCCACAGCATTTTGTAAAACATTGGAAGAGAAGGGAAGGCTATAATTTCAACTTATCATCAATTAAAGTCTCCACTACTAACTCAGCTCAATTTAGAAGTGTAGGTGGTAGCAACTAGGCGCGTTAAATTTACAAATAGTTTATGATAATAAGCAGGGCATCATGTTAGGTGCAAATTCCAGCAAAAACTTTCGCATGACTCTGGTAAATTATAGCCACTGAAACTATCATAATAGAACATTTGTCAGAAATATATAAACCGGTTATCTTTTAGTCAACCTACTGAACACTAACTTTCAATTGGGAAGAGTTCTCTGTGGGCATATGTGGTGTATCTGGTTTCACTAATGCAGTTATCCTCAAACAAGTAAAACATTGTGCGAGAAAAATTCAGCATTAGGTTCATATAAACATTGAAAACTCATATGTAAAAAATTTGAAAATCATTGATCAGTTCCTGCTAATACTCAAAGTCATCATCCTAGTATGCATAACATCATGATTGCCCTTTTGCTCACCCTCGTCCCACGTTTCAATTCAATCTCAAAGCAAAGCAGGGGAAAAATGAGGATACTTATGTGAGGAAAACTATGCAATCAATTAACATAAACAGGAATTTGAATGATCACACTCCTGCGAGTCAAAAAGGTTAAACTGAGAAGATCCACAAATCCTCCCTTAAAAATTTCTCAAATGGAAATAATATAGCAAATCTCATCTAATCTCCCCTGTTCACCTATGCCTACCTCTCTACTCCAAAATCCCATTCTCACAATCACAAGCTCACAAGAGGGCTAGGCAAATGGGTGCAGAAACAACACGGGTGTCCCACTTTGTTTGTTCGTGTAACAGAGCCTTCACATATATTCTCAATAAGCAGACATCTTACTCAAGCTCAACAATGTGAAAGCAAATCAGCCTTGAACAGTATCCATGTAAATGGAGAAAACCTTAAAATGTAAAAATTATCAAATGAAGAACACCATAACATATTTCTCACCCTTGTTCCAACCAATCAAAGAATGAGAAGCAAAAAAGGGGCAAAAAAGAACAAAATAATTTAGGCGAAAATAATAAAGGAAGGAACAAATAATTTAATTGAATCAACAAGAAAGGAGGCACATCAACGTTGAGCTTTTACATTCGTACACTTCAGAACATAATGAGAACAAAATTATGTATGATATAATCTTCTTAAGAAATTACCTTAAACGAAACTCAAGCTAGTATTTGTCCATTTCTTGAGAAGATTATGAAGATGTGGAGATCAAAATGGGAGATTGATCTTGCTTTTTAAGAGTTGTCACTTAAATAAGAAGTCTCAAAAGAACGTGGCCTTTCTATATCATTTAATGGCTCTCTTTTGTAAATCTGTTGCTGTTCTCTCGACCCCGAAAACCCCTTCTCTCACAATTATGTACTCACAAGACGAGTTAGGCAAATGAGGAGCGAACAAAACGTGAATATGTCTCTTTGTTTGCACAGCAACAAAATCTCCGCTACCCGTCTCGACCAAACCAGACTCGTCACCTAGTACCTCCTCATTTCTCGACAAGAACAACCTCGAATTCACACAATTGGCCCATGATATCCCCAAGGCAGGACAAACCCGTCTCCCAGACGAATACAAAGAACCCAGATTCCCTACTCTCAGCCCATTCATCCCATCAGATGATCCCACAAAATCAACAACCTGGTTTGTCACCACAACCGCTAGACCAAAAGTCTTAGCTTGTAACTTCAACTTGCTAGAAATCTTGAAAAACAAAACCGATCTCCGCTTAAGATCAGACGGTTTGTTCTCAAACTCCGATCTGAACAAGGCTGCAATAGAATCAATGATAATCAACTTAAGGGGGAAAAGGGTTGGTGGGTGTTCGAGAAAACGATCTATGCGCCGCAATACATCGAGCAGGTGCTCTGCGGAATGCAAAGGGTGGACGAATATGCGGTCCAAGGGATCACTGGAGGCAAAAAGGGAAGGGTGAGAAGAGCGGAATGAGAGTGAGAGTTGGTGGAGGCGGCGAAATGGGAAGGGGAATTCGGAGTGGAGGTAGAGAGAGGAGGAGGCAAGGCCGCCGAGGGTAGTGGGTAGTTGGGCGGCAAGGAGGAGTTGAAGGCAGAGTTGGGTTTTGCCACAGCCGCTTTCTGATACGAGCTCGGTAATGGAATTTGTCGGGACGCCGCCACTGAGAAAGCGGTCGATGAGTGGGCAGCCGGTGGTGCATTTTGGGGTTGGGAGAGGATGTTGGAGGAGGTTTTCAGGGTTCATCGGGGAGAGAGAGAGAGTATTGGAGTAGAGAACTGAAATGAGCGGAGCAACTGAGATGAATTCAAAAAATTTATGTATTAATGTTTATTTATTGTTTGTGTCATTTTTGTATTGACGACGGGAACTACTCAACAATATTGTATTAGTAAGTGGTGTTATTTGTTGTGATCCAAAAAAAAAAAAAAAAGTGGTGTTATTTTTAGTTTTGTGGTAAAAATTAATTAAGCTTAATTTGATAATTTTCATCCCAAATTTCTTGTCATATTGTCAATTTGTGTCGATCTTTTGGCTCAATTTTCAATTCAAATTTAAATAAAAAAACTTAGTTTAATATATAACACTCAAATTGACAAATTTAAGTATCTATTCAATTTTTTTTAAAAAATTTCTTATTGTCTTAAAGTTTATTTTTAAAATTTTTTCTACTAAAATATTTTATCTAATATTAAAACTTATTTTTTACAAACTTTACTAATATTAACAGCACAAAAAAAATGTATGAATACCAACCTCTTTGAACGAGAGATTCGTAAACATTTTACCGAGTATAAAAGATGAGAGAAAGAATGAAAAGTTATCGTTGAAGAATGAAGACAAGAATAGACAATGTAGGCGGCGACAATGGCAATGACTTTGAAGATAGAGGCAGCAGAGACAAAAATTTGTTTTGTCAAAAAAGTATTTTTGATTTGAATATGATAAAAAATTTCTGTAGGAAATTTAATATAGGATTTGAACATTTCAAAATATGTTTTTTCTTAATTTAGTATAAATTAGAGATTAAAGTTAGAGAAATTTTTTAGACTATTTTGTCTTGAATTTAAATTTGAATCCGGGTTGAAGAAGTTATAATAGTTATATTTTATCTTTTTTAAATTTAAGTTTGTCTTTGTTTAAATATGAATTTTTTTTTTAACTTTGAATTTCTTCATTGGAGTATTTTATATTAAATTTAATTTTTTACTTAAATATTAACTCAAATTTGAGTAAAAAGTGAGTTAAAAGTAGGAGAAAATCCTTTCCCATACCATAGTGAACCAACCCATGAGCCTTAAAGTACAATTGGATAACACTCTCTTGGTAATTTTTTCAAAATTTTAAGACTTTTTAAAAGTTGTGTTTATTTTTTATTTTTCTTGTTCTTTTTTGTCCAAATTCAATCAAATAAACAATATTAAACATATATTTGGATCCTATAAGACGTCTATAGATCAGTTTGTAAAATATTGACCAAATATGTTTTTGTATCGACATTGTTTTTTTAACTTGAAAAATTATTTTAAAAAAGGTTACCAAATGTTAGCTTAGTTCAAGATTATTAGACCACAAGAACCATTTTCATGCCATTTAAGATGGATTAACAGTGCCCACGTTTAGAAAATGAGTCTTACTTTAGTACATGACACATGACGGATAATCTACCATTAAAATAAAAAAAAAATTGTATTGAAAAAGATCTCACACCATCTAATTGTAAGTATATAGTGTTAAAACATTCAATTCAAAATTAATTAGCAATGAGTAAAATGACCCTTCAAGTATCGATGTGAAATATAAGTGCTCTAATACCATGTTAGAGTATTCAATCCAAAACCAATTGACAATAAATAGAGTGGATCTCAGATATATAAACCAACTTTGATATCACCATCAAAATAAGCTTCACACCATTCCTTCATAAGGTGATCCTCACTTCAAACCCCCATAAGGGACAACACCCTCATTTTGAACATAAGTTTGACAACTTCCTATTACTCAAAACAGTATTGAAGAATCAAGAGAGATCAACAGTTACCCTAAGAATGATGACAGACCATCAAGCAATTTACCGTATAAGTTCATTGTTTTCCTTGGAAGAAAAAGAGAAGGGTGAAAAACAGGAAGAGCAATAATACAGAATATTTAGTGCACAAATATACGAAGCAAACCCACGAACCCTTTTGCCATTACATGTTCGAAATATAGAATGTAGATTTTGTGACAACCACACATATGACCGTGAATTTGGCTTTCAAACACGCCACAATGAAACTTGCTCTATGATGTTTAGTATCTTATGAAGCCTTCCAATTTAGAGTTCATTACTACCATATATTTTTTGACCCTTTTCTTTAATCCTGGGGGGAAATGTGCGTTTAGAGTGAAAACAATGCAATCTTCCTGCGGCAAGTAGCATTCCTTGAGTTCAGAGAGGTTGTTTAGCCCACTTCGGGAAACAAACTACTCTAAATTAAAGACTTCTACAGTTGAAGAAGTTCCTCCTTGGCATATTTCTGCAGTGTGAACACCACCCCAGCACCTGTAAACAGCACAAACAACCTTAAATTTCTCCAGGGGAACAATGAAACCAACTTTGAATTGTCAAAAGGAATTTGGTGCCAAAATCATGCCTCATTAAGAGAGCATGGAAGTTTGGCCAGCGTTGTGAGTACTTTCTTTGCTTGCAAGAATCAAGATCATTAGTATCGATTTCAATAGCTGGACACTACTACCTAAATAATGGGTGCCTTGGTTTTCCCTGAAATGTTGATTCAACTGAAAGTTGACGTTACGAAATACAACACTTGGGTGAGTATCAAACCCGGAAACCATTTTTGTTTTTGAGCTGTTGATTGAACTGACAGGCGTGTTTTGCTACCAAGAAGCTGCAGAATTCATATAAGCTTCAACGACTCATGCTGTATTATACACAAATTTTGTTTGCTGACTAAATCTCATAACTGAGTAGCTGAGGCATTTACTGGGTTCCCCGATCAATTTTAGCAAAACGATGTGCTGAATGTTGAACAAGAGTGAGTAAAAATCCAAAAAATGTATAGAAAGCACAAATGGAATTTTTGAAGCTCCTCTATCTACTGGAGACAAGAAATCCTAAAATTATGTACTGATGTCTACCATACTGATGATGATCTAGCTCATAACAAATCTTTCATTCCATTTCGCATGTGTGGTTTTAAGCATGTGCCCACAACTTAATCTTACGAAGCATGTTTTACATGCCAAACATAGACCAGAAATCTCTTGGCATATCTGTTCTCAAAGTCCTCATCAACAGTAAAGAGGGGAAAGAAAAAGCATGAAAAATAGGTCCAAGAACCCCAAGAAACTAGTAAATCAAGGGCAACATAAATGTACAGGAAAAGAAAACAAGTTTGAAGTATGCGGAGAATTGTTCTATTTTTACATTGCAATTCCATGCCAAAAGCAGAAATCCTAACAGGACAATTTTATCCTTCCGGGCTGAGATTGATGACAAGAATGGGGTGTAGATCCATGCTAATCACTGTACGTGATAAAAAACAAAAATGAACCAGCATAAAAGCCCTCTTCCCTTGTTTGTCTTTCCTTTAATTTGTTATTACATTTATGGAATCAGTAAGAGTTTTAAGGCTGTACCTCTCTTCTTGATCATGATCCAGTAAAATACAACTTTCTCTCAAGTTGAATAAAGTACAAAAGGCACTGCAAACAAATAACAAAAGAAAAATATAAATCAGCATTATCAGCTAACAATCTGAATTAATTCAATATCTTATAAATACTATTTAAAGACTTGAGACTTCTCTCACATTATACTTGGACAAAGCCCCATGTTTTATTTCTTACCAATTCAGTCTGTTTATTCTTATTTATTTCATAGTTTTTGGCGAGGCACCAAAAATAGGGAGAGTAGAGGAGAAAAATAGAACTCATGATGAGCCCAAATTGACGGATAGTTTCAGCTCAACTCAACGTCTTAATCCCAACTATACATGAATCATGTTTTTCCACCGCACTCTATTAAGGGACATAAGTTCCGTTGGACCATAGGCGATCATATTTTTTTTTTTACTATTTCTTTCTTAGTTATTTTAGGTCTACTTCTACCTCTCATATTATCGTGGATACTTATTAAATCACCCTTCCTTATTAGTAGGTCTTATATGAACATATCCAAATCACCTTAGTCAATTCTCTCTGAATTTATCTCCTATTGGTGTTAATTCTACGGTTTTACAAATATACTCATTTCTAATTCTATCCTTTCTCGTTTTACTACACATCCATCTTAGCATATAAAGGATATGATATATAAAGTTTTTCCAAACATCTATGATATATCTGACATCAATTGAAAGTATGAATATGGCATGATATTAAAATAACTATCACAAAAATCAGGGACAGATTCTGATGATCTGCTAGAACTTAGTATATTCAAGTAGGGAATGAAAGCATCAAATTATAAATTTTCCTGTATTGTCACTGATGTTATACAAATTAGGGCGGTCACTCCTAACATCACATGTACTCTGAATTTAATGATAAAGGTTCCAGAAAAAACAGAGACAAATTTTGATTTTGACCATATGGAATTTATTAGCAAATCTAGAAAATAATACATCATTGGTTTTGCAAACATTTGACCTTAACATCCAATGGGAATTTCTTTATATTTCCTCAATATTCAATCAAGTCAAGAGCTTACTGATCAGAAAAACAGTTAGCATCATAGCAAGCATAAGTTGAATAGAACGACTGAGCAGAAAGTGTATCGGGATTTGTAGTTGTCTCTGACTTCCACCAGCCCTTCCAAAAAGCTGCAGAACCACAAAAAAGTTAGCCATTCTAGGATATTAGACAAACAAACCATCTTCAATATATAAGGTGGATTTTCTCTCAACCAAAACACAAAGAACAGTAGATTTATATTAACAATTACGCAATCACGAAAAAAAGAAAATGTACTAACACACACGCATAGAAATGTATTGTCAAACACTATCTGCATCTAGAAATACAATTCTTTTTATAAACAAATTACTATTAGTTAAACCGCCATAAATCTGACCTGACTGATCGAATTAATCCCTCTCAACTGGGTGTAACTCAATATTCCTCCCTTTGCTTGAGGATGAGCTCCACTCCGTAGCTTCCAAAATACAGGTTTGAACCCCTTTTCTTTGGGCGTTGCTTCAATGTTTAATGTTAAAGCTTTCTGTTGTTCATCTTCATCATCAATGACAATCTCCAGAGCACCAATGCCTGGTGAGGTCCGTGTTCTTCTTGTTCCGATTGGTCTATCAGCTTGACAACTAATATCATCCACTATCCCGTGACTTTTTTTTGCTTCTAGTTCTATGACATGGTTAGCTTCCATATTACTAGCAGCAGCATCATTAAACCCCTTTATTCGATTATAAATATCGCGCTTGGAGGCAACCTTAGTACTAAGATCCAACTCATTTTTGGTGCATTGTTTCTCTTGAAGATGGCTTCTTGTCAATGCACCAAGCTTGGGACATTCAGCCTTCATACTTTGCGAGGAGCGGGGAGTTCCAGTGAGAAATGCAGCTAAGTCGTCACACTCTTCTTCATCTAAAGTCACCCATCGAAGGGGTTGCTTATGTTCATCCTCGAAAGATTCCTTTAGTGCTGCACCAACACGGGAAATTTGGTTTTCTATGGCAACGACAAATTGCCTATGCCTGGTTGTTGTAATATCATTACCACGATTTTTGTAGCTCAGCATAACAGCCCTTTCAAACTCTTCAAGCTAGTATAACAATCAAATATTCATAACCAAAGATTACTTTTTACAACAGGAGAAATTATGATATTAAGAGTGATAGAAGCAAAAACATAAAAAAAGGCCACTGTGTATCAGTTCAAAATGCTAAGGTTGAGATAGAGATTGTCAAATTTGAAGCTTGGAAATGGAATATTGGCAAGAATTAGTTTAGATTCTAAAACTAACCTGCCATTTTGCAGTACCTAAAGCAGTTTGAAGCTCCCTGCTAAGTTCATACAAATCTTCAGGTGCTACCCCTTCTCTCCTCTCTCGAACCCATTTCCGGTAAACCGATTCCATTCTGACCAAGAAAACATATTTAAAAAACACACACACACACACACACACACACAAATACATAGACTAAACCGAAAACTATGTAAATGCAAAATTAGCACTAAATTCCAATGAGAAAACGTATTCTGTAAGCCAATTCCATTTTGAAAAAAGACATCTCTCTTGATGAGTGATTTGAAAAGGAAGCAAATCTAACACAAAGAACAGTGTAAAAAGTGCAATTTTTTAACTGATTTCTCATGATAAACAAACCAAAAGCAATTAAATTTATCTGAACCGCTCATTTCCAAGAAAAATAATGGAACTGAAAATTACGACTTCTATAGCTACCAATTGAATCAGATATGTTCGTAAAGTTCAATTTGTCTCTGGTATTTTCCTCCCCTCGCCCAGTCACCAAACCAAGCATAAATAAATCCCAATTACAACAATTATTTCAAAATCAATTGAAAAATTAAAAATTAGGCATACCCAGAAAATTAAATATAAAAGGAATGAACAATTCAAGAAGAAAAATGCAAAAAACATGAAACAAAGCCAGAAACAAGACAAAGTTCAGCATACCCACATCACCAAAAAAAAAAAAGAAAACAAAGAAAAAGTTAAGACTGAAATACTATAGCAACATACATATCTGCAGATTCTTGAACCTCTTCAGCTGCTGAGAAAAAGGTGTCCTTTTGCCATAGATCAAAACAGTTAGCAACCAGCATCTTTCTCTTTCTTCTCCAAACCAACAATCCAACAACAGCTAGAATACAAACAAAAATATAATATTTATGTATCTACGCTAGAAAGAAAATACAGAACCTTTCTCTCTTCTCTTCTTTGCTACGAAGCAAAGAAGGAAGAGAGCTAAAGAAAAGCAGAGAAGCAAGACAGAGAAAGATGAAGAGACAGAGAGGTAGAAGTGATTCTTTCTCTTCCTTTTATTTCGTCAATATTTAGTGTCAAAATTTTGGGTTTGTTTGCCTGATTTTATGATTTAAGCTTAAAAAAAGAGTTTTTATTTACTGTAAAAGGTGCTACTGCTTGGAAATAGCAAACCACTGAACATTTGTCACTTGTATATTGCTATATATATATAATTAAGGTTAGATAAAAATAAAAAAACATTTTCAACTGATTTAAGTACTTTTGTTTTAGTAATGTTATTGCCACAAAAAATTTTGACGTTGGTTTAATGATATGATTTTATTATAATCATTAGAGTAATACTAAGTTTCAATATTTGATAGAATTCAGTATCAATCTAATGACTATAATAAATTAGATCAATAAATTAAATCAATAAATTAAATTTTAATATTTATCTTTTTTTAAACTCAAATTTAAATTTAAGTAAAAACTCTTAAAAATATTCTTCAAATCTAAAATCATACTCACATCAAATTAAAGAAAACTCAAATCTTTATCCAAATTTTAATGGTGAAATTTCAAGTTCAATAGTTATATTTTACTCGTTTTTAAATTTAAATTTATTTTCATTTAATTTAAAATTTTCTTCTTCTAAATTTGAGTTTACCTATTTAAAAAAGTACTAAATTAACTTTTTATCCTTTCCTTTTTACTCAAATTTAATTAATAAAGGTGTAAGTTACAACCCAAGGTGTGGAGTGTTTTGATTGGTCCTCGGTCTAGAGAGTGGGGGGCCGGAGAGAGAAGAGGACAAAGATAGGTGGGTGGGGTTAATTTTTTGTGTTAGCTGATGTGCCCACCTAAGCACAGCAGTGGATGTTCTGTGGTCTTCTTTGGCCAGCCAACCACTATGCGTATTTGTGTCCAATTAGCCAACTAACCATATACTACGGTGCGGCTCCTCTGCTGTTAAAAGGGAACTGCATTGTGTGTTGTTTGTAAAAAACGTCACCGTTTAGCTAGTTTTTCATAGTACCATATTGTCTTTTAAAATTGGCCTCAAGACGGTGTCATTCTAATTAGTCTATCACAATAAATTTCTTTATCCAAAAACTGGCCACCAACAAGTTGACACTGTTTTTCTGATTTTTCTAAAAATATTTAAAATGAAACAATCAAAATTGGATCTTGATATTCACGCAAAGATTTGCACCGGAGTCTTGATGTTCACCATTGTTATCGCCTAAGTTTATTAGTGCTACCATTCAACAGAGATTTGTGCGTCTTAATTGCCGACAAAAAAATCAATTCGTTCTTGAATTTGACTTACAACCTCTTTGCTACGCCGCTTTCGTATTCAACTGCCAACTTTCTCATCTCTCCCTTTTCGTTGCCGTAATGAATATAGTCGGAATGAGAAAATGAGAACCAAATGAAGCTGGCGTCACATACATAACCACCAACTTGACTATACCACTTTCTGTGTTTATTTTAAGTGGGTGGTCTTAGAATATATCTAATGTGCATTTGATATTACAATGTGGAAAAGTCTAAATATCAATTAAACTAGTGGAACCGTACGCAAAGAGCAAAAATTGAATGGCCAACAATAAGCATAGTGCAAATATTCTGTAACCACATGATATGGAATCCAAGTGTGCAACCACAATACGTAAGCACATTATTCTTTGCCAATCCCAACCATATTGATAACAAAAGCTCAATACTAACTCCTCCTGAGTTTAAAACTTGACAACACTTTGAGACCAAACCATGAAAGAATTATTTTTGTAAATACCCTAGTCTTAACGTAAATAACTTGTCTTTGATTGGACTAAAAAGAGGATTAGTTGAAATGCGCGTAAACTGACCTAAAAAACTTTTACCGTTGAACAAAAAAAAAAAAAAAAAAAGCTCAATACCTTATCCCTGGATTAAAGAACTTCCCATAAAATAAAAGCTCTGTTCTCTAATCACCACACTTTAAAGAGCAACTAGTGACCACACAAAAGCAAAATAATTCCCAAGTCCACTGCTTTATTCTCGTGATTTCCAGAGTCATGACAATTAGGATCAGTTGGGGTGGATTATCAAAATAATAGTAAAATAGACGAAAGAGTACCTCCTCGTTGCTTTAGGACCACTTAATTATCACAACCAATCAATAAGATTATTCTATAATTTGCGCCGCATAGCGAATAATCAGAGAGAATACAGAAGGCCACTATGTGGTTGGAGGATGAAAGGCTACTGGCATCTTGGCCTAATATTTGATACCTACTAGATAATGAGTTCAATGTCATCTTGGCAAATACCAACTGATAAGCCTATTATATGCTGTACAACAGTTTCCAATCTATTGCTTACTTTGGACAAAAAAAATTTAAAAATCTTGGAATCAAAGGAGAGATTGATAATGCTACCTGTTGTCCCATCTACCCTTATCTGTGCTAAGCCATACATTTGCCCAATTCATATTGCACCAACTTGCGACCAGCATTACATGAGGTTACAATCGAGGACACAATCCTTCGCTGTAAATCTTTGAACTCCAATGCTAGCTTTACATCCCAATTGGTATGTTCCCTGCTAAGATTAGAACATTTCTTTGTTAAACCAGAATATTCTATGGCATATGCCAATGGTAATATGTTACATATTGGCTGGCACATGTTTACCTGTCGTCAAGCTTTGTATCGCCAAGGGCTTCCATCATGTTTTCAAAGGTGGAGCAGAGGTCTTCAAGAATTTCCAATTCAATTTCCAAGTTTTCCAATGTCTACATAAAATTTATATACAAGATATTTGAGCCAGGTTGTTATTGCAAGTAAGGTGATTTGGGCCAAAAGGCAAGCCTTTTTGGAGAAACAAACCAAATTTTACCCCAGTAGCCAAAAGAAAAATAAGATTGGCCTAGGTTGGCGGCCTCTATTTCACTTTGGAGGGGCGCCCACCTAACGTCTACCCAAGTGGTGGAGCCTACGCCATAATATAATGGTGGGGGCTTACGTCCTATGTATAAAAAAGAAAAAAAAAAGCAAAAATAACAAAAAGCCACTAATTGCAAGAAAATAGTAAGACGAGCTTACAAGTGTATTAGTTTGCAACATAGGATTCCAAGCTCTACGGAGATGATCTAGTAGAGGAGGCGGCAAACCATAATGGAAGATGTCATGGTTCTTGGAGAACCAAGTACCCCGAACCATGTGGGAGGCCCAGCTAGAGATGGAATGCCCATCCTCAGAACTGTCCACTAGGGCAACATCAAGATCTGCAATAGAATAGGAACAGAGAGAAAACTAAGTAGCAACAGCGAAGTCATTATTTCAATTGCATGTGTACATACATGCAGCACAAACACATGCAAAGGTAATTCCAAAACACTTTTAAATAGAACAAGTGAATGTAAAACATCACCAAGATTACCAAGTGGAATGATATCGTAGGGGTTGTCTCCTTGAGGTAAGAAACCATAGAAGTTAACTAAATGAGAACTAGAGAAGTTCCCATAGCTCAGAAAACATTGTTCACCCGCATTGCATGGTCTTGACAAAGGGAAATTCAGGGAATTTGTAGTAGAATCTACTTTGCCATAGTGCATTATGTGTGGGCATATCTGTGAAGGGAACAAAATGACAACATGAGCAAGCAAAACAGTCTATAGATAGACTGCAAAGTTACTTGGCCAGAAAATCTGAATAACTATTGAAAGACAACTGAAGTTGGATATGCATGCATGGTCCACCACTCATTAGGGTCCAACCAATTACATAAGACTAAACTCTGTCGTCCAGTGAACTATAACTTTTTGAAGTAGCTAAATGATGTGGCAACTATCCAGAAAAGCATTTGAAAAATGAATACGATTGAGCGATGGCATTGTTTAGGGCAAGTAGAGTAACAGTGGAGCCAACCAAGTTCCAGTCTAGCAGTGGGAATGTCTGTAACTAGAGGTATGACAGACCATCCATCTGCTCCAAATTTAGTCACTGCTTTTGAGAACCTTAAGATATATCTCAACATCAGAATTTCAAAAGGCCAAAGAAAATCAAAGGGAGTGACAGACCGAATGATTGAGAAAGCCTGCCACAGGAATCAAGCATGTCCTTAGCTTTCCATCAGTGAACATAACTTTCATGCTATTTGAGTACCACAGCTCACACGCCCATAAGAACTGCTCCCATGTGTATACCTCAGCTGGAAATACATCAGGATGATCATTGCATAGTGCAGGCAATAACTCATCATACTGACAACGCAAGTGCTGCAACAAAAAAAATTTCTTCCCATTCAGAAAGTGAAATTTCATCAACCAATGTAGTGAAACACCAAAGAAACCTAACAGGTGAATTTTGCTTTTAACATGTGCCATGTGTGTGTGTGTCTGCGTGCGTGAGTGAATTTTTTGTATAGGAAACCAATGGTGTTAGTTATACCCATAATACCCTAAATCACTATGAAACAATAACTACAAGTCGTTAAGACAAATACTAACAGTGGAAAGCCAGCATTCAGTCCTGGCATGTCCACAGACAAACTATACTACATAATGCATGTAATCGACACAGAACCACTAGCACAAAGATAACGTTATCAATACAATATTTCTGAATAATTCAATTGCTGGCCTAGAAGTGCAAGGTCTGAAGACCAACAAGGTACAATCTTTATGAAAAATCAATTAGAAGGCTTGATTACCTCTTTTGCCTGCACTATTTCTTCCAACAATAAGGTTCCATCTAAAGCCATGATTGCATCAATTCCAAAGCTCAATCCTGTGGTATTCAAAATAAGCAAAACCAGTCAGACAAGAAGAAAAAATATGTTAAAGAGTATTAGAAATAAAAGACAATTACTATGTTCTAGTACCAACCAGTATATCTTTTATATGTTGCTTTGCATTAGAAATTCTTTGCAATATCCCTTTAACCATGTAGAACAGAACATATATGAAAGAGTTTTTTTTTGTTTGTTTGTTTTTATTTGGGGAGGGAGGGGTGGCAGAATTTGGGTCATTTACAGTATCAAATGGTTTCTTCCTTTCCATTTTTTATTTGTGAAGACAAGGATAATTAGAGCTGCAACTAAGATGGGTCCAGCCCAGTCCAGTGCAAATTTCAGTCAGACTTAGGCTAACACCTTCAGGCAGAAATATCTAAACCCAACCTAAATTTGGATTGGGCTTGGGCAAAAGTCATTGCATACTCACGCCAATCCACCTGAACTTATACATGCAACCTTTTTCCCCCTTTTGCAGCAACACAATGGAGCCTAAGGAATTATGCTTATAGTATGGCTATCTCTTTCAAGATCATGGAAAACCTCAGGAGACTATAATAGCTTTTCATTCATATACTCCTCTAGTTACAGCACAGTGAAATGCCAAACCCACTGTCACAAACAGTACTATTGGCCGACCACTTGCAGCTTCAACATCTCCGGGTTGTGTTGCCTAGACGGAGTCGTAGCAAAATAGCCTAAACGTTATTGCTCACAAAATTAAACAAGCTCTCCTCTCACATGCATGAGATTAAACACTCTCTCTCCCTAGACCCTCCAAAAAAGGAAAAGAAAATTGAGATGCTTATAGGACTGGCAATTTTGACCTTCATAAGTAGAAGTATGATGCATTAGGCTTTGAAGGCTTGGAAATTCAAAAATAGAGTTGTTTCTCAAATATATGGGACACAAATTCAAATATTGAATGTCAAACACAAAAGTGGATCTCAAAGGAAAGTGTAGTTTAGATGGGGAGCATCAAACACGGTTGTGAAAGATACCAAAATAGCAATTCAACTCCTAAATCAATATGAGCTCATAGAATTGCAAAGGGCTTGACTTGAGTAGCTCAGGTTTGGTTGGGCTTGGGCAGATGCTGCTAGACCTTGGTTTAAGCCTCGGTTAAACCCATCAAGACCAGACCTGCCACAATCTAGAGACATCAGAACTAACTAATAACTACCACTGCAGCAATATAATTCTAATAAGATAAGTTACTTCGAAACCCTGAGCTTACTCACCATCTCTTTATGCTACAGTTCTAGTGTAAAGCTCTGGTCCCACAACACCAGATATGGTTTGAATATGTTTTCCTATTGTTCTGTTTTATAAGTCTTAGAAGGTGTTTGTCTTTATATTCGAGTTAACATAATAACATATGAGGGAGAGAACCCTACTTACTCCCTCTTTCCAACCATATACTCTGTCTTTTCTTTTATCCTTCTTCCAATCTCCTTTCTTTCATGATTATCAGGTTCTACTAGAATTCAATATACTCACTTTGCCTGCAACCTCACGAATTTAAAACAAGTCTTGGCTCATAAAGAAGGAAATCATTGACTTAGCCCAGGTCTCAAGCAAATATTTCTGATGTGGGATCTTGCACCCAAAGGTCCCCCCCTTTCAACCTTGCGGCAGCCACATCGAGTATCCCACACTAGCATGGGCTAGTGTAAGAAATATTCTACCCCAGTTAAACAGCCACTATAAACTCACTTGTTAAATTATGTGTTGGAAAATAATACTATATCCAACTTACTATTGGCAATCATACTTCGTTCTACTGATAAGTCTTGGCTCATAAAGAAGGAAATCATTGACATAGCCCAGGTCTCAAGCAAATGTTCCTGATGTGGGATCTTGCACCCAAAGGTCTCCCCCCTTTCCACCTTGCGGCAGCCACATTGAGTATCCCACACTAGCATGGGCTAGAGTAAGAAACATTCTACCCCAGTTAAACAGCCACTATAAACTCACTTGTTAAATTATGTGTTGGAAAATAATACTATATCCAACTTACTATTGGCAATCATACTTCGTTCTACTGATAATAATAACCTCATAATTAGGATCAGACCTTCAATAAGTGCATCAATAAATTTTCGAAAAAAGAAGGGGGGAAAGACAAAACAAAAAAGGAAAGGGGGCAAATGTATTGGTGAAAAAGAACTTAAATGAAGTAGGGAATGTTTCCCTAAATAACAATATATAAAACAGTGTATATGGCAAAGAAAGAAAGAAAGATAACTCATGAATCATGAATCATGTTCAGAATGTTCAGAAGGAAGTGAGCTAGCATCAAGCATCACCCTAATTTTTGCTTGTCCATACCTGTAACCAAGAAAAAGAGAGCACAATTTTATACCAGCTATCTGATTTGCAGTTCAACCCAAATGAGCCAAATCTGCTGATCAAATAGATGCAAGGCACACCTGTATTAAATGCTTCTGGCAATGTATCAAAGAAGGACTTAAATTTTGAGTTATGGTTGTGCTTCTCCTTCATGCTCCACAATAACAGCATAGTTTCAGAGGAAATGCCATCAATCTTTTCCAATATAGGAAACTACATTCAAGAATATAATAAATAACTCGGCTCAAGAATTAGATTCTTGGACTATAACATCAAAATTAAAATAAGAATTTGGCAGGTCTATCAATGATGCAAGTCAATAATGTAAGTGACAGTGACATACATAGAGTGAATGTCAAGTAGGAAATTGATGTGCTAACATGGCAACATAATGCTTAGCCAAACATAAGATAAAAAATTAAACAATTCTTATGCATCTCAAACTGGGGAATAAATACAGACCATCATTGTCTTTGTCAAAACAAATTCTCCAGGGATAAAATTTTTCAGAAGATCTGATGAAACTTGTATCGAGTGTAATTTTCTGTAACATCAGATTTTCACAAATATTAACATTTTAGGTGCCTTATAACATGCCTGAAATTGATGTCTGAGCCTGTATGCAAGGTGCAAGGTGCAAGGTGACGGCCAAACCTTGGTAAAAGAGGTTGTATAATTGTTACCTTCCTTCAATGAGTGAGAACACCATAACCCATATTGGTAACTTTACCATTATTTGTCCGATAAGAATATACTTTCAGACTCTTAGTAAATGCGCTGGTTCCGTAAAATTCACCAGATGTAACCATTGGCAGCTTTGGCCTGCTGGGGCTTGCCCTCCTAATGCAAAAAGTTTGAGAAAATCTAATTCCCAGTAAGATTCCTAAATTAACATGTTGAAATGTTGATCATTTAGCCATTGACTATTTCGTCTATTTGACAAGTTCCTTGAATTGCAGGGTTCATTCTCACTCCAGTTAAAAATCATAGATTTCCCTATACAGTGCTTGGCCACAAGATTTTCCACCCAATTTATACCGTTTCCTAAAGAACAAAATTTAAGATGATGAATATAAGAAGTAGCTAAAATAAATAAGGAAGATCTGGAAGTAACCAAATGCTTTAGAGATGATAAAACACACCATCGCAGATTCATGCACGAGGTCCTCAGAAATTATGAGAGACACGGGAATCTCCAAAGCAATGTCTCCAACTTTCATATCTTCTCTAGCTATAGCTCCTCTTCCAGCCCCTTTGACATCTATATCATGCAACAAAAGACAACATATTGAATCTCAGCTTTCCTACTTCTTTGTACATAACTTAGCTATGAATACAAAGAGCTAAGCACATTCTGAAGTCAAGCTGCTTAGTAAGCAAAGGGACAATCATAACAAGTTATCGATTCTTACAGGCTATATCCAACTTTGTCCTAACACCATAGCTCTCACCCCACTGTAATAAACACTTCTCCTTCTCACAGCTGCAGCCAGTAACAATTTGTGTCTCATCTCCATATTTGTCCCCGACATCATGGATCATCACAACTGTTCCATTCCGTAAATGTTGCAGGACATTCCTATTTATGTTTTTACCACTGGAGAGCGTCTCATCAATGAGTGAAAGGATTGAATGAAGAGCCTCCAGCTCATTCCTGGGACTACAAAATCCCACATGTTGACTTGCATAAACTCCAACAAAGTAAAGTTCTACCTGTGCCACAGAGAGCTCAATCAGTTATCTTTTTCTAATTAAAAGATGGTAACAATTATAAAAAATCATGTGTATCTACGGCCAATTAACAGGAGAAAACAAGGTTCTGCGGAATAAATATTTGTTTGGGAACGTTTCTTTTTTCAAAAAGTAAGGGGAAATGAGGATGATAGGGGAACATTAATTTGGAAGAGATGACGGAGGCAAGAACACATTTTGGCCTTACATCGAAAGCTCCAGGAGATGATTTGCTTAGTTTTATTTTAGACACCAAGCGCAAAGAGGCATGAAGGTCTCATTGGGCCTAGGCACGATGTGAAAGGCAAGGCAAGGGATTCATCAAAGCGTGAGGCAGGGTGTAGATAACAAGCAAATATTTTGACATGGGATAGGCAGAGTCACAAGACTTATGATTCCCTCTTGCACCAATCAAACCATTACGAGCAAGCAATCACAAACAATCTAGCAGCTAAACAACTTAAAAATCCAATTCCAACAAATACACAACTAAATAGATTAAGCAACCAAGTTTTTTTTTTTTTTAATTTTTTTTTTTTGGGGGGAAGGGAGAGGGGAGGGGGACTTGAGCCCTTGATCTCAAGAAAATAAAGTCTTCACAAGGTAAGGAATACCATTGGACCGAAGGCCCGTTAGTAAAAGCAACCAAGTTTGAGGATCCAATTAAACATCATAATACAACATTAAAAACTAGCATCGTAACATATCAGAAAGTAACATGCTGCAAAGTTAAAAAATGGAAAAAGGACAGAATAGAAAAACACATGCAACAAATTTAACAAATCATAGAAAAGACAAATATAAGGGGCAAAACATAATGACAGATACGATGACAGTTATTGAATAATAAGAAGAGTTTTGTGAACACATACTCAGTAAGTCCCTCTTTTAGCCAAAGGTCAACACAAGACCAGAAAAAAGATAGACGGCTGCAGTTAGAAGAAGAACAACAACAAGAGATGGAGAAAACCAGCTGTTATATGATGTTATGCATATCAAGTACTCCAGTCAAATCAATTGATCAATAGCCCAAAATATAGCACTAAAGTAGAAAAAAAAAACTTGCTCCTCGTGTGCCTTGGCCATATTCCCGAGGTATGCGCCTCAGCAAAGGCGCATAGCTTCAGGCCCATTGAGGCACTTCAAGTGTGTCACATATTGATTTGCCAAATTTTCACAACACTAGATTTGCTAAATTTTCACACACTAAATTTGCTAAATTTTTGTTTGTACTTTGTATTAGAGCTGATTAGGTTCAGAACAAATGAGATGTATCTCAAACACCAAGTCTAAACAGCTATTCAATGGGCAATTAGCCCAAGATACTTAACAGAAAGGAAAGGTAATTCTCAACCTCTTCTTTTAATGAAGTGCATTGATCTACTTCCAAACATGTCTTTACAGTTCAAATGTGTAGTTCGGAGAGTAGAAAGTTGGCTTACATCATCCAAGTGTGTGATCCTCGCTCTCTGAAGCATTACTTCCAAGGCATATTTAAGAGCCTCAGGCTTAGTGGAGTTTTTGAAGCATACACGTCCCTTTGGATTAAAACCCAGTGCTTCTAGTAATTTCTGTCAAATGAGATATTTGCAAACAACAAAACTCAATATAGCTATTATCAATTAGTAATTACCATTAAGATTTAGTAATAAATTCTATGAAACGGCATACTTAGGATGAATAGAGATAGAGAAAAGAAAGTCACACTGCTTGTAAAACTTCTTACCTTCTTTTTCTCAAAGAGAGGGTCAGTCTCAGAGATCTCAAGAACTAATAAATAGTCATCATCACTCTCCGCAGATTTATGAGTTAACTGCTGCTGCCGCAACAATAATTAAACACATTATTATCATGAAGTTCTTAAATCATTTGACCAATAATGAACAAGTCAAAATAGTTCAAATACCAAACACCAATTCCAAAAGAATTTATCTGGTCACATGCTTAACTGAAGTTTACGCACACATAAACATAATTATTGGCGTTTTATGCAAACAAAAAATGGTTAATAAGAACTTCATAACCAGTAGTTCAACAATTACAATTGTTATGTCTGATATACTGTAAAAAGAAAATATTGTGGTTTGATTATCATAGGACATAGGGAACACTGCCCTTACGGTTTTATTTGCCCCTACTCGAGTTATAGTGTTTAATGGGTTCAAAGCAAAAAACTCTCGGATCCCAACAAACCACTGGTTAGCAATATTGAAGATTTCCCACAGAACACTGGAAGAAATTTGAAAATTTTGACTGAAGAAATTGACTAGAGGGAAAGAAGAAAAACTAAAACTTAAATCTCAGAATCAGTGTTTCATACAGTTGGAAGGCTGAATTTAACAGTCTCAACTCTTCTAAGAGTTGTGTCTGTTGAATTTCAAAAAGTGTGATAGTTCAGTAGGCATTGTCAGTTATTGGCAGCTGATTACGGGTTTTATACATATATTAATACAATGTCACTGCACAATCACGATCACACACAAGTGCCAAGTGTGTACTAAAGTGCCTACAATGCGCCACTATGGTGCCACTAGCACCTTAAAGCCCAAGCTATGGGCATGCGTGTGTGTATGTGTATTTTCTAATCCTATGCACTATAACACATAGTAAAGCCTCTACTATTCTTTTTCTAGACTCCTTAGTGGTGCGGGTTTGTGGACTTATAAACTCTGGCAAAGTCTTGTACACTTACCATGTGGGATTACGTTTCCAAAACTACTCGTGTTTCCCAAGGAGATGAAACATAACATTATCACAATCTATCATTATCATTACAGAAACAAACAGTAGTATAGTCACAATACTTTGTTTATCTAGATAAGAATTAGAAATTAATTCAACAATTGAAAATACAGTGACTACCTCAAACACAAGTGAGAAACTGGTCTTTGGATAGGGGCAAACAGAAAACAGAGTAAAGCTGCAAACTCTCAAATTTTAATTTTACTTCACCGAAATGACTTCGATTTTAGAAGTTCAAAGAAAATGATTACGAATAAAAACCACATATTTTTAGTTTCTCATTTAATGTATAAATGGTTTTTAAGCTGAAGATTGCAATGGTTTAACTTCTTCATTTACAAACAAGTAGAAAAAGGGATAAAAAATCAGAAACAACTCCCCCAAAAGGGCAAAAATCATAATTATTAACCATCAAAAACAAACAAACAGCCAAAAGCATGAAACATGATTAGAACTAGAATTGGGTAATTACATAGTCCATTCAAAACACAATAATCTTTTAAAATAAGCGTGAGTTCGTGTTCCGAATCAATGGCGGCCACTTTTGTGCAAATCATGGCAAATATTAGGTCCGCACAGTCCACCTCTCCGCCTGTAATGACCCATAACCCTTAATAAGAAAAGTTTTGACCTTCCGAAAAAAAGATAACAGAACTTTGATTTTTTGCAGCATCAGAGAAGCTCAACCCACCAGAACCTCTTGCATAATTTTTAAGTTTTATAACAAATCGTTAAAAAAAAAAATAATCATATAAACTTGTGTGTGTGAAAGCGAGTGGGATTATCAGGAAAAGAGGAAATGCAAGAGTATTAGAGATGAGTTCACCTTACAATCATCGTCCATTGAATGAAAAAAAAAGCGGGAAGCGAGGGAAAGTAATTTTAGCGGCTGTGAGCGTAGGGAGAGAGAGAGAGAGAGTGTGAGTGTGTGTAATTTGCCGGGGGGGGGGGGGGGGGGTTGTCAACTGTCGAGTAGATGATTCAGAAAAAGAATTTTGCGGTAAAGGAGAAAAAAAAATGATGGGAACATTGGGGGAAGTGGAAGTATATATTATTTTCGTCTCTCTCGGTGTTTTTGTGTGGAAATAATAGGATGATAATAAATAAAACTGGTGAAAAATAAATTAAGATGGGTAGAAATATATATATATATATATTTTTTTACAGGAAGAAAAATCAAGATATTACTCTTGGGTAATTCATAAGTTGAGTTAGTTTTTTAGTATTTTAAAAAGCAAGAAAATCATAAATAAATTCACTGTCCAAATTGTCTTTATTTATTGTAAATAAAAATAACTTCCATTGAGTGGCTCTCTTACATCTGCATCATTTTAGTTTAATCCGACACCAGCCCTTAGACTTTTAGTTTTATGAATATTAACCATATACTTTTTTCAACCCACATGCAATTAGGTACCACCTTTTTATATATCTATATCTATATCTATATTATAGATGAAAGTCTTCTTCACTAGATAATTTTTTTATGGCTTACAAGATTAGATTTTGAAAACTTGACTTCCAATGAGTCCTTCAGTGATTATAGTAGAGCTTATAGAACTGATTGATATTCCATACATTTAATTGCAATTGTTGCAGGAGGGAAATTTTAAAATATTTAGAGTTTGTAGAACTGTGAATCACATTGACTGAAAGACAATTTCACCGGACTAAACTTTTTTCCTTATTAAAATTGTTTATAAAATAGTATCTTCTTAAATATTTATATTATTTTGAAATTCATAAATATATTTGATTATTATATGAAGTCTTCGTACTAAGTGCACAAGACTCCTCCCGCCCCCAAGGAGAGGTATCAAGAAAGAGATTAATGGACGAGTTATAAACTCAGAGTTTGAATCTTGACAACCTCTTGAAACAGACCATAAGAGATTTATCTTTAATAAATATCCTACTCCTGTGGTGGATCAAATGTCTAGAATGTCAATTGTGAGTAAAATCATCTGGATCGAATGCCACTTTTGAGTGTTTCTGTTTCAGTTTAAAAGTTGAGTCCGAAAACAACCCAATAACCTCACAGCAGAAAGCTCTACTCAAATGGCCACTGAAAATGGTGCACAGGTAAGTAAATATGCCATGGCACCACTGCTAGGTTCTGTAACTAATTCCACACAAAAGTATGGTTTAAAGCAAGACAGTGACACACGAAAACTCATACCACAAATGAGCAACCACACTGCAGTTTCATCCCCTTTTGACATTCTAGACACACCCAAGAAAATTTAAAGATATCAAACCCTCTATTTAAGGATGAATCAAGCAGAAAATTTTCATTTGACAATTTCCAAGTGCAATATAGGTAAAGGGCTCAAAATATTATCAGACTAGGTTACAAGTAAAGAAGGACAAGTTATACAACAAAAAATCTTTACAACTAGTATAGAATATATTTCCAGAATGGAGTTTCAACCACATCAACTCAGCAGCAGAGCCAAAAAATAGTAAAGCTTACTCTTGCAATCACATTAACCACCGCATTGTTTACCCAACAAAAAATTTACCACAACGTGAATTTCTATATAACATGTGAGTCTGATCTGCTTATGTATATTCCTACAGCAGCCTCCATTGGTGCATTAATCGATGGCAATTATGAGAAAACCAACAGATACATACATGAGCAGGACAGGGTAGAGTGCAAGAGCTTTTCTCTTAGGGTTGACAGCAGTACTCATGAACGGATATGCAGCCCAAGAACTCCAAGCCAATGTCACACACACCACAACCACCTTGATTATCACATTGTCCTTCAACATGCATATTAGGGCACCAATATCCAGAGGGAATAGACAGTAACCTAGAAGACTCAGACTCTGGAAGAAGATGATATGACCACCCTGAGACCATCAACATGGAAATGTCAGTCAACTCGAAATCATAATTAGCCCTTCACTAGTTTCGAATTGTACAAAATTTTGACATAGATAATAAAGAAGATTCCAAAAACTCCAAACTTGACTTATACATGAATATGAGAGAGAGAGAGAGGTTACCAGCAGCAACACATTCAACGTCAAAATCACAGCACCTGCCGCAAGTAGTGCAAACGCAACAGCAAAAACCTCAGACTGGAAGACAATTATAAGCACCACACCAAAAGTGAAAAGGAAAAACAAAAAAAGAGAAAAAAGATTTGTCAGTCATTAACTCCTTCCACTGAATTCGATCTGTAAAATTTGTGAAGTACCATTTATAGCATTGGGTACAAGTATCAAAACTTTCATTAAAGCCAACGAGAAGCACCATATGATTAATAAATACTTGAAGATAAAATTACAAGCCCCATATTCTAATAGTGAAAAGACAGTAGAACACAAGTGAAATCAAATTTCTTGGATATTAGATGTCATAAATTCCATCCAGTGACAAAACTAATGGGCAAATAGGAAGACAATTTTGAACTTCAGACAGTGTTAATACATGTACTTTCTTTTTCTTTTTGTGTGTGTGTGTGTGTTCTGTTTTTTGTCTTCTTTTTTTTTTTTTTTTGGGGGGGGGGGGTATTAACAAGAAGAATAGAAAGAAAATACCCGGAAAAAAGTCTGACCATATTGCTGCCCTAAATTATATTATATCTATTAGAAGGATATAGTATCACAACGATCAAATAAAAACTTCTTTTGATCATCGGTCATCCAGAGGTTCATATTCCCACTCGACGTGGATCCGGTAAATGATCATGGAAACTGCTGGAGATATCCAAGAATGGTCAGAGGGATGGCCGAACAACACAGGAAGTATAATCAGGAAAAGTATGACCTATAATAAATAGCACTAGAGCAACTGATTCTCATACACCATCAAATAAATAACACACATTAGTTATACTTCCATTGCAAAGTTTCATTCAACCAGTATCAGGGTTCTCCAAGGCAGACAAGTGATTTGTCCTTGTGTTCTTTGTTTGGTATTTCTTATATTTATTTTCTCACAAGTGCAAGCATTTCCATTAGGAAATCACATCTCAATTCACATACCAAGCACACCAATTTTTAATAAAGTATGGCAACAACATCGTAGCAATCAATTTTAATTTGCTAACACATTGTAAATTTCATATCTCATAACACCAAAAACTACTAATATTTATTCATTACTGGCATTCTGAACAAGATAGGTCAGGTGCACTGCTTCAATTATAGAACTTTTCGTCATGACATTTGGCTCCCTCTACTCTTTTATAATGACACTTTATCCCAAACAAAGTTACACTTCAAATACTAATAAGGTCTTTTCATTTTTTTTGTTCAGGGTATCACAAACATAAATGATAGAACTGCCACCTTTCCTTATTTTCTCCCAGCCTCCAGTAACAAACCCCACTTGATTCCAGCCAAAAAATCTCTTCTCCGTTCAAGTTGACTCTTTCTTGGGCATCTTATGGTTTGCATCCGCATGTCACAGCGTTGAAGGGAGTAAATCAGGCACTACAACGATCCCAATGAAGATATCACTGGTATCACATGGCATCATAGTCTCATAGACTAATGGCACCATAACTTTATGGAAAAAAAAAAATAGCGATTGATTCACCATTCTTTTACAATGTGTACACCATCATTACAAGATGCTACATCCTCTCGCAAGCATACTATCAGGCCCTGACATTCCATGCTAATTTCTTTAAGAATGAGAATTTAAAATTCGTATACATCCATTTGTGACTTCTAACATTCATGTTATAATAAAATACAAGCAACATATTAAAAACAATAATGCTAATAGACATTCCAAATACAGAGAAACCCAGTTCATACGCTGCTCATTATATTATGAACTCATCCTAATAGTCTTAAAACAAGAAGTTTGATCTATGAAAATTTACCAATCATCAGCCAGTGTTTTACAATTAGCAGTTATCTATAAAATAAACTGGGACTAGACTCTCCCAATCAAAAGGTTCATGGTTAATCTTCAACAAAGGCATTCATTGATCTCTCATTCTCCTTTTTTTGGGGTTCTCTTCTACATCTCTTTTGTATCTCATTTTGACAGTTCTCAATATCAGACAAGACCTACCAACGATACTCAGTTATCATGCACGGGGTGTTAAGCAAGGATTTCAAATTACAATCAAAAAATGCAAGCAAAAAACTGAATCAACAGGGGACAAGGAGAGGGCAAGCATCTCCCTAAGGTTTCGATGCAGCCATATATTTGATATAGAATCTAAGATGTCAATCTTTAGGAATTGACCCAAACTTCTTTCTATTGCCCCAAACTTCTTTCTATTTTCCCAAACTTCTTTCTATTTTCCTAAATAACACCCCAGCACCAGTAAACAACAAATCCCAACCCATTCCGGGATCCGTCCAAGTATACACAAATGATATTCTGGGATCTCCTTCCCAACACATGCGTGCACACTCGCACACAAACACAGGTTTTTGAGCCCACAAAGCCCAACAAACTTTGTTGTGATGACATTTGCAATTGCATCAAACATAAATCTAGAAAGCACCAGCTAGTTAACAAGTAAAGCCATACGATAAACTGCAAACATTTTCAATTCGAATAACCACACATACAACCATAGACACACATAACATAGAGCAATATGCTAAAAGTTTGCCCCCTTCTTTACCTTTTTGACCGAAGCGGACCAAGATAACGTGAGACCTAGAAACACAATGAAGAAAAATGGTCCCCAAAGATCCCAATCCCGCAACGCCTTTCCAGGATCTTCCCGGTAAGGGTTTGGGAACACCACCAGTTTCAGGTTACTCACAATTCTCGACAAGTCCCTCTTCACCGTGTCCCACACCGGTTCCGTCAGAGTGTTCGGGGCCGGGCCGAAGCCCGTTGCGGCAATATTCGGAGGCCCACTACTGCCCGGAGGCGGCGGAGGCTGTGGGGCCGGGAATGAAGGTACAGGTGGCGGTTTTTGAGTGGGTGGGGAAGGAGAGAGATTGGAGGGGAGGAAGGGGGAGGAGGAGATTGGGATCTGGGCTCGTGGTGGGCTTGGTAGGCGGGCAGGGAGGACTGTTGACGGGCCATAGTTGATGAGGTTTTCGATCTCGTCGATGTCCGACTGGGAGGATTGGTGGATGGGAATGGCATCACTGCGTGACATTATTGGGTGTGTTTATGAGTGTTTTTTGTTTGTTTCTCGGGAAATCTTGTGGTTTCTTTTTCTGGGAAAATTGAGATCTGAGGAAAAATTTGGAGATCCTGACGGGAGGTATTACGTCTTGATCCTGAGGGAAGAGAGATAGGTGTCGGTGGAGAAGGACAGAGAGAAAGAGATCGGAGAAGAGGAGTTACGTCTTGGTCTGGTTTATGTAAGTGAACACTTAAAACGACACCGTTAAGGTTTTGACAACGTTAGGGCCGAAGCATATATTTGCGTTTTAATCCGAGTATTACCAAAAATAGATTTAGATTTTTTTTTGTCATCAAAATTGCTTTAGGTCATGTCCACTTTTCTCTTTTCCTATTCTCTAATTGATTTTTGGGAACTTGGAATTTTTTAGATTTAATTTTATGGTTAATTATATAGATATCGAGTGAATGCCAAAGAAAAAATAATTATTCGGGATTAGTTATGATTTAATTTTTAAAAATTATTAGTGAGAAATTGAGCTCGATTTTGCCTCTTGTTTTCACAAATTTCAACCGAGTCGATTTTGAACAAAATTTTAAAGTCAATAATTGAGTTTGATTAAGTTCAGTTCAAATAATATCCCTACTCTAAAATTTGAGTCTCTTATTTGATTAGAATGAAATAAACAATGAAACATAAAAGTAGTAGAAAGCAAATGAAAAATACAACAAATTTATTTTCTTATTCAAGTTTAATTATGAGGAAAAATAAAATAAAATTCATAATAGGGAAAGCATTAAAGATGCAAGAAAATTCTCATACTATTCTAAGAATTTAGAACTAGAATTTAGAAGTACCAATTAACACAAAATAACTTTTCAATAAGTCATATATATGATTTCACAGAAAAAAAAAAGGTTTATATAAATTACTTTCCCAATTAATTTCCGCTTCAGCTAATCAAACTCTTTCAATAATTAAAAACACTCCATTTACCCAACAAATAAAAAGAGAAACACAACGGTACCATTTTTCATTTTTTGGTACCAAAATAAAAAATTAGAAATAAATTCAAACAAATAATAAACTTAGTCCTTTAAAGTGATCAATTCGACCCCAAAGGGTAGGGTGATAAGTGAACCCAAAAGTGAGTAAACTCCACCTAAAAAAGTAATATAAAAACCCAAAAAAATGGTAAGTGACACAAAACCGATTGTTTTTTTTGGGTACTAAAGCTAAACCCTGATACAAGAAGGTTTGGGTAGAAACAGTTTTTTTTCTATGGATCATGCAGAAATGTAGCTCACTGATCGAATGTTTATATAGGTAAATAACTCATAGAAGCCCTCAAATGTAACGTCAACGAGCTATGAACCATGGAAACCCAACAACATTTTCTACTGTTCGTAAAGTGAAGAGCAGGAACAAATGAGAAACCCGAATATAAGTCTAAAGAAATTGAGCCGAAAAAACGCAAGGGAACTATTATTGGCCCATACAAGACGATAACATATAGTATAGTTTGGAAGTTCCCCCGACAATTTCTTGTAACATTCTCATTATATAGGAATACAATCAAAACTGGCTCCAATTTTCCCGACTGAGTTCATTTCACCAAATGCACACGCTAAATCTCAATCTTTTCAAGAATATCTCGGCAAATGTAACCCGCCTTAGGGTTTAAAAAATTGTAAGGAGTTCAAAATGTTGAATCAACTCATCGGACCATGGAAAGCAAAACCACTTTCAGGGCTTAAGCGCAAGAGCAAGACCAAATTTGGGGGTTGAATTGATGGATTTTGAGTCATACTCAGACGAAAAAGTTATCAGAGACTTGGGCCTCCATTCCCGTTGGCATAGCATTGCAATCTTCCCGTCATCAGAGAATCGCGTTTTCACCACAGTTAAAGGATCAACAGCATGGGCACTTCCAAAGCTAAAACTGTTTTGATAAGATGAAAAACTGTGCGTCATTTCGGCAGCAACTTCAGTTCCACTCACGGGACTGACAGTGTGAACATAAGATGCCTTCAGGGTCTCTCCTTTGTCCATTCTACATAGATGGAATTAGATTTAGACACCATGTATCCAGCAGTGAAAAAAATACGATATTCAACCAAGTGATGCAGAGCAAAACTATTTTAAGCATGAATGGTTTTGTTATGTGTTTAGAACTGCTCGTGGAATAACCAGAAAATTCATCCACTATTTAATTGTAGCATAATGACAAGCTGGAAACCTTTGTTCAACAAGATGCAGACAGCAGATTTGATAGCATCAGTTATACTATTATATATGGAGATCTATGTAACATAAAAAGTTAAACCAGGTATGAAACGGAACCCAAGTTTGTAAGCAGGTAAAGGTGCTGCCATTTCAGCCATGTAATCAGATTCTTAAAATCAGAGCAGGCGTGGTGAGCTTCAAATGGCAATGTATCATGTCTGCTTCCAACATTCGAAAGAAAATAAAACAAATATTCACCAAACTTTCATGTGAATATTGAACAGAGGTAACAGTGGTTCCCCTCGAAATTTCCCGGGCTAATTTTAAATGCAAAGATTGGCCCCCATTTGACTTTTACCACCACTAATAATCTACTTGCAACAAACTAACAAACCTCAAAAGGTTGACCAACTCCTCTTTTGATTCTGGAAGGAATAAAACTGCTTATTCTATTTGCTATTTATGCACGTTGAAGTTGATATATTTTTTTTCCACATTTCCTCCTAAATTGACTTATGAGTTGCATTAACATCTGAAAGATTGTGCATGCATGCAGAAGGTGACATTCCTAATTAAGTTTTTCAAGTTGTGCCGTTTGATCAAGCAATATAACCAACACTTTATCCCCCACTTGTTAAGCCAAACTTAACCATCGGATTGAATTATCACTAGCTATATGGATTTGTATTCACACTAATTTCCCTCTCTTAGTGTTGCCGGTCGCCCATTTAGCAGCAAGAGATCTCACAGAGTACCTAATTATCTATCACCCTAATATTATATGTTTTAAGTTCCTTAACATTTTACCCAAAAAAATAAGTTTCTTAACATACTTGACCTAGAATACATCAATCGAATGGAAGATGCATTCAAAAGTAACAGAAGATTGTTTCACTTTCATAATCAAAGAAGACAAGTAGACAGTTTTTTTTTCTGGAAAGTACAAGTAGAAAGTTAAATGAGCCGGATAGAAACTTTTTCCCACCTATTCATCATTCAGGTTGATAAACACTGAACAAGACACTTCTAAGGATTTGCCATGAAATGAATGCAATTATTGATAGACCAATACATCATTTTATAAGATTTTCATCTACTAGCTAAGGCCCTGTGTATGTGTCGTGGAGGTAACATCACCTATGCGTGGAGTATGTAAGTCTGAAATGGCTCAATGCAAGATAAGTACTCATGTCATAGGCTATATGTAGCTCTTAAGGATGGGCGGGGGATTGCTTCCAGAAAACTCGTCCTTTGGTCGGAAGCTTAGAACAGTTGTTCAAACATTTCAAGTAAACCAATAGGAAATTTTTCATAAACAGACTCATAAAAAACCTTCCAAAAATGCTTGGTGTGTGCTATAGAGACTTACAACGAAAAGGCTCGCCATACTTTATTGTTCATAGTTTCTCTAATTTCTCACCAACTTGTTTTAGCTATTTCAAGGAGTCTATGCCTTGATTTTACCATATAGGTAGTCCAGTTTTTCACTTTGTTTTATCAATCATCTCGGATAATTTTTCTTATAAGCCCCAACATTTTATCACAAATCACACACCGCCACTCATTTTGCAAGGGTATCTTTCAGACATATTAAGCACCTTTTTCATTTTTACAGATTTTCTAGATACAGTCCCCACTACCATTTGGGTGTGTTGCAGTTCTGTAGAAAAAAAAAATAATGACGCCACATGTTAGTTAGTAGAATTCTAGAATAGTTTGTGCATGGAAAAAATCCAACAATCATTGAGTCGACAAGAAAGAATGTTGAAGTGAGCCCCTAATCCTCAGATATCAACCCCAAATGTTAGATGTTTAAGTTAATATTGCATGTGTATGAAGCAAGGAAAATAATCAATAGTGTACAGTTTAGAACGAGGTATATATACCTAGGCCACCCCTACCTCTATAGAAGAGTTTGACATCACTTTACAAAGTTCTTGTTTTCGATTGGCTGAATGTGCGACTTGACTAGCAGCGAAAGTTAATTGCTTTGTTTGGCCAAATGCATAAAGGCTGCAATATTCAGCTTCAATATGAAAGACTGACTTGGTATGCCTATTTCTTGTCACGAAAAAGCTAAGTCCTCACTGAATTGTGTGCCAAAATATGTAGCTGAGTGCGCAAACTAACCATTTTTACATTTGATATTATGGGGCCCATGATGGTAACTTGCCTTCATTTTATCACCCAAGTAGTCTCATCAATTTTTCATATCGATGTAATTGGTGAGTCCCATTCTTGGTAAAAATATGTCCCTCCAATTGTCCCCCAACTTTCATTTCCTTCGTAGTACACAGGAGGGGGTAAAAGCTACTACAGATATCCATGCTTTTGTGATAAAACACAACTAGTGTTGCACCGAAAAAAAAAATCCAGCAATTGTTGAATCAACAACAAAAAATGTTGAAGTGAAGCTCATAGTCTTTGGATACCAGCCTGTCCATCAACTGTAAAACTGATAAAATGTTGGCGGTCCCCTTGAGGTTGAACTGAGTAAAGGTACTCTAATACTTAAGTCAATATGGTGGTCAATATATCATAAGCAATTATACAATCAGAAGTGGGTTGAGTGTACAATACAGAGCAGGGTGCTCAACTTGATCCTCCCCTACTATAAGCTTTCAACACCCTACTTATAGAAAACATAGGCACATCTTACCAGTGAAGCACTCATATGCACTTGGTTGATGGGGGGGCATCACTTGTCTATGAAGTTGTTGTCTTTGCATAGTTAAGAGCGCGGCATTTAATTGAAAGTCACAGGCCTTACTTCTTGACTTCGGTTTCTCTTGGTTATTAGGATTCTAAGAATCCTATCATTGTTTGTAAACTCACCAAGCCTTACTCATTAACCGGGGGTATTCTGCCTGGGGGAAAGCTAGTATATTCGGGCTTTGTCCTCACTTGTTATACATTGCATTTGAGTGTTCATCTCCTCTCAAAGCTTTCTGCAATCATCTCACCTTAGTTGTATCTCACCACAGAAGACAGGGATATTCTAAGTAGCTTGCACTTCATGAGTCCTACGAAGGATATAGAAGTTGGGGGCAACTGGAAGGACACATTTTTTCACCAGAAATGCAAGCATCACATGTGGGGTCCATCATCTATCATCATCGTGTCAACATGGGACAGCACTTTGCAGCCACCATCTGATTCACCAATTGGAAGCACACTCTCCAGTAACAAACCAAAAACATTTCAAGAGAAATCAAAGTCAAAAACTAATGTCTACAACTTTCAATTAAATGTTGCGCACTTTACCACCCAAAGATAACAACTTTATTTACAAGTTATGATGCACCGTCAACAAATTAGACATGACTTCTTTACGTGTAAGATATGTCTATACTTCCGACAAATAAGGGATTAAGGGAAGGCTATTGTATTGATCACAATATTGGCTTCAACATCGGAGAGCCTTCCCCAGGCTCAATGCTTGAGGGATCTCTAACCTTTTGTTGGTTTTGTAGTTCATGGACAAGTTGATATCCGCAGACCAGGGGCCTAACTTCAAAATTCTTTATTGTTCAATGATTGTCAATTTTTTTTCCCGCACAATTTGTTTAAACAAGCTTACTATGTTTTCAATTTTAGTGTGGATTTCGGGGTCCAAGAGTTTGTATTTTGAGGGCTTTGTAGGGCATTAATATCGGTTTCGAAGTCATCTTGCAAGTTTAACATATTGATGGGGTTTTTTGGAAATGCAATAAAGGTGCCTCAAAACTGCAACACCAGTTGAAAGTTGAAACCCTCAAGAGATCTTGGAATGTTTGAGTGAACCTTTGGCTCTCTATCTCTCCTTCCTTTCATATATCCCTTGTGCCTTTTGTTATCTCCTTCTTTGTACTCTGTTCTCATCTCTCTGTAGTTGGAACTCCATTTCCTTAACCTTTTCTGGATTCAAGGCTCCTAGAAGATTCTAGATTTCTCCAATTTCTTTACTTCTCTCTACACTCTCATGTGGATTCAAGACCCCTAAAGGATTCTAGGCTTTCCCCCATTCTTCATTCTTTCAAGCGTTCCTTCACTTATCCTTCTTCCCGCTTTGGTCTATCCTTTGTTCGTTCTCATATTCTACCAAAAAAGGTAGTAATTCCTAAGAAAATTCTGCCCTACAAGTGTTTGAAAAAAGCTCTTAGAAAAACAACCGAGTTTGCCTAAACAGTGTTCGAAGTAAAGCTGTCCAGCAAATATTTGATGAAATTTCTAAGAGATCTCAGGTGTTGCATTTTCTTTTCATATTCAATTTCAAGTTTGATCAGCTGTTAAGACCCAGGTTACATTAGTTTCGTATTAGAGCATCAGATTCTCCAATGTCACAAGATACTTTGATGCTTCACTCTCTTGATAAACACAAGGAACAGTTCTCTCCAACAAGAGGTTTGATGTGATGTGGCTTCACAGACGAAAAATAATAACACCACAGGTTAGTTATTAGAGTTCCAGAATAGTTTGGATAAATAAGCTTGCTGTATTTTTGGTTTTAGTGTATAGATTTGAGTGTCCAAGACTGAATCTAAAGGCCTTATATGGTATTATATTGTGTGAAGGGTAGGGTTTTAGAGATGCTATAAGGTGCCAAGAAGCTGCCATACGAGTTGAAGTCCTTGAGATGTGGGATTTCAGAATGTTTGAATAAGCGATTGCCTGTCTATCTCCCTTCTTCCTTTCCTTTATCCTTTGTGCCTTTTGTTATCCCATCTTTTCTATCGGAACTCCTTTTCCTTATCCCTTTCTTCTCCATGGAGATGGAAGGCTCCAAGAGGGTTCCAAGTTTATCCCATTTTTACTTCTCTCTAATCTCCTTGAATCCATTATAGGGTTTTTCCCCCATTTCCTGATTCTTTCAAAAGGTCTTTCCTCCTTCTGTCTTTTTTCTATCTTTTTTTCCTTCCCATAGGCTGCCAAAAAAGGAATGAGTCGAAAATTCAATTAAGAAGGGGAGATATGTTAGATGAAAATGCTACGACAGATCGCAAGTTTCACATTTTCTTCTCATATGTGCTCATACAATACATGAATTAGTTGATGAAATCAGTAGTCGAACTGTTTGTATATTTACGGATTTCTGCCTTTTATTTTCATGCCAAGTGTTCGACAACGGTGAAGAGCCAGGTTACATCAGATTTCCCTTGCAGTTTATTAGTGTTATATAAAGATAATTTTGAAAAAAAAAATGCATTAATTACACCCCCCCCCCAAAAAAAAAAAAAAAAAACAATTTTTCAGAGACATACAAAAAAAGAAATGAGGACTATTTTTCAAGGAAGGAGGGAGAGTAGAACACTATATTAACCTGAACTCCTTAGTGAAAGATATGGATAACATAATATTTGAAGATGTATTGTAAGGGACAGATTTTAATAATTGGTTTCTTAAAGTGATTGCTGAAGACGTGTCCAATGGCATTCATGAATTGGAAATTTTCCATTCAATTAGTCTCCCAGTGCTTGTGTTTCTTTCTTTTTTTGTTTCCAATTTTTGCCATAATAAAAAATTATAAGTAAAAATTTCAACCACACCTCTTCTAGTTTACCATATTTTCAAGGACACCCCCTCTATTATCCAAAACATCACTGACACCCCTCCTAATTTATATTTAAACCATCATTTCTAAACCTCAAACAATCTTTCTACATAAAATTTCATTAAAATTCGAGCCGATTAAAATTTATTTTCTAAATATTAAAATCTGAGCCAATTAAAATTTTTATTTTTCTATATGCTAAAATTTGAGCCGATTAAAATTTGATTTGAATTAATTAAATTTAATTTTTTTAAGTATTAAAATTTGAGCCTATTAAAAAAATTTACGTACTAAAATTCGAACTGATTTGAACTCTACCTAAGCTCTTAGTGCCGAAAAATATTTGTTTCGAGTCAATTAAAATTTATATTTTTTATTATTAAAATTCGTGTCAATTAAAATTCGATTCAAGTTGATTAAAATTCATTTTTTACGTATTAAAATTTATATTTTTTTATGTATCAAAATTTGAACCGATTAAAACTTGATTCAATTTTTAATCGGCTCGAATAGAATTTTAATCGGCTCAAATTTTAATACGTAAAAAAAATTAAAAAATAGATAGGGTCTCATTGAAGATATGCCTATTTAGAAGAGGTATACATGAAGTTTTTCCTAAAATACATCATGGATAATTTAATAAAATTGCATTCTAGTTAACACTTTTAATATGATAAAAGTATCAATGAAGATTCAAAAAATAGAGGTGGAGTCTTTGAAGATATGGTAAACTAAAAAAGGTGTTGCTGAAATTTTCCCAAAACAAAAATATGTTTCAATTTTTTTTTAGCAACTCTGTTTTAAAAACTAGGCCAAATAATGAAAACATAAAAAAGACATTTTCAAAAAAAGGAAAAAATGGAAACACGCACGCGCAGAGTGAGACTTTAATGAGATCCAACCATCGAACCTCATTGACAACAAAAATTCTATTTTTTTTTTTTGTGTAAGTATTTAAACTCCATTAGCAACCGTCTGTATTCTCTCACTTCTCTCTGTTGCAAACCAATGCTCATCTATTTCTCTCTCTCAGTTGGAAAACGATTGAAGAGGCTCATCTAGTCTCCCCATCTTTAGATCTACTTTCGATGGTGGTGGACTGGTGTTGGTGGTGGGTTTTCAAGGGGAGTTGGGTGGTTGGTGGCGGGTTTCGATGAGATTTTTCAAAGGTGGTGGATTTTGGTGGGGTTGGTGGTGGGGTTTGCAAGGCTGGTGGGTGGTGCATCCCCAATTGTATTTTGAGGAATTATTTTGGATTAAAAAATTAATCAAAACAACCATAATACCAAACATGATTTTAATTTTTGTTTTCACAATTTTTTAAATATAAACGACTATCAAACATGTTTTATATTTTCAATTTTTATAATAGAAAAAACATAAAAACGAAAACGCTACCAAACGCACCATAAATGTCCAGTTTTGTTATCCTAGCTATTTCTAGTCATACAATTAAGTTAAAGCCATATTATACAATGCTTTTATCACTATTCGAAAGCATGTGAGTTCTGGCTTTCCCTTCCCCTAAAAATAAAATCAACGCCCTTGCTCATTCGTCCAATTAGTAGTCGTTGTTGAACATGGCCAAGTAATCATATTCATCAACTGATCTTGAGATGATGTAAATGAATCACTGAAAACATTGATTCAAAAAAAGTCTTCAATAAATAAAACTTTCCTATCACTTTCATATAAACCAATATATAGAAACTAGATCAGATTAGGATAAAATCAGCCAAATGCAATAAGGCTTTCCCAAAAAAAAAAATCGCCACATTTTTGAAATGATAGACGACTCCTATAGATCAGAATCCAAACATAAGAAACACTTTGTGGCCACTAGATACAAAGACACATGAAGAACAACATGCATAGCACTCCAAGGTAACAAAAAAATGCATGTGCAGTGTCCTATATAAGTACCAAGTCATGTCTAAATCACATTGTCTATGATCTTTAATAGAACCTATTATTCTATGATTTTTCAACTTCAGGATTTTCTGCGGTTAGTGCATTGCATATATACACAAGGAAGACATTGATACTCATCAGTTGGTTCACTTTTCAAGATAGCCATGTCACCCAGAGTTCAACACCAGCAAGGTACCCAAATGAGGCTCAAGCATACCATTGTCAGCAGTAAACACCTAATGGGACACATACATGAAGACACACATACGAACAGCAAATATGGCCAGGTTTGGTGATACATACAGAATGAATGCAGCACAAAAATCTGGCCTGTTAAAGCTTATCCCAGCATTGCACTTTTTGAACGAAGAAGAGGCAGTATCAAATCCAATTTCACCACCGAGAGCTAGATCCCTGTTTCCAACTGCTGCGGCAAACTCCAAAAGAGGTGTTGGGTTCAAACCAATGCTGGAATTGATAGCTGCATGATGATGAAGGTACTGCACATCCAGCTGAAAAGAGACAAAAGATCAGGACTTTTCAGCATTTATGTGTGCAATATTGGTTCCTGACCCTTATTTAAAATATTCGTAGCTTTCAAGTAATTTAAAGAACAAAATTAACACCTCTTAAATGCCTATTTCTTAACTGTCATATTTTCCCAAGGCAACAAGAGGACCTGAGCATCTAGCATTTAAATTAAGAGCCCAACCAAATACCAGTTTCTTTACCATGTTGTAGCAGGCTGTTAGCAAACCCCATTTACCGTCTCAAAACTATTTCTGACCAGCTTTCATCTGTTGATTATTCGCACATCGGGCGCAAGTGAGGTCTTTCTGAAATCTGACCAAGTTGAAAAATTGGCAAAAAATTCAAGTAGTTGCCACGCGTGCCCCCACTTGGACCATAGTTTCAGACACTAAACAGGTCTCCTACAGCCTTTTATAATTAGCAATTCAATTTGCAAGAATTGCAAGTGCATAACTTCCCCAAGACAAATATTTGCAGGTATTACACAGACAACATGCATGTAGCCAGTTTTGAACTTGATTTTAGAGCTCCAACATTTTGTTTTAAGACTCTTATTAGGGCCCAAAAAAACTGGTAAACTGGTTGAATAAATGATGTTTCATCCTTACAATTTAATATTTGAATCTGCAATTATATGTACCTTAGTTGTGTTTGTCTTTAACAACTTGGTTTATTTACATTGAGCAATAGTTGGCTACATTCATTATTAACAACCTGGATTAATTTTCATACATCTCAATATAACGTATGAACTCATACATATACATATCCATGCATGGGATAAAAAGCATGCATATTCTACTAGACCTCCTATCAATAGATTTAGCCTAAAAGGCGTTGCACTTAAGCACAAGACCTAATGGAGGTTTTCACTAAATTTTCCCAAAAACTTCAGTTTCAGCCAATGACATGACACTGCTAATATAACACATTGAACGTCAAATTGGGAACATGAAAAGCCTTATTTCTGGTTTTGTTTCTACTTGTCCACCTCTTCTTAAGTTCCTTTCTAAATTACTAAAATTCAATTCTCAACCAATTACAAGGAAACAATTGATGACTCTCACAAACTGAAAACTTTAATCAGGTTGCGGTTCCAAAAAGATATTAATGAACTTTGACAGGTGGACTACATAATTTGAGACCATACCCAAACCATTGGAAGCATACCTTACCCACCTCTTTCCAGAAAAGTGAGTTTATTTTTCTTTTTCCTTTCAGTGGGTTGGGTTAGGGAGGATGAGGAGGGAATCCCAAAGCCAAAAAAAAAGAAGAAGAAGAAGATGATGATATCCTGCATAAACATATCTTAGAACAGTAAGTTAAAAGGCACTGACCTTGCCAGACTTGTGATCAGGTATGCTGAAGCTAAATGCTGCTTTGGTACATGGCAACACATCGCTTACAGTTACTTTTGTAAAGACCTGCAAAAAGTAAACTTAGAGATGACTATTGCACGTTAAATTAACTACCACAGAAACATCATGAGGGATATACAAATAGCCAAAATGCGACCGACAACTTTCCAAAAATATCACGAATATGCATTGAACCAATTACTACATGGAAAAGGCCAGAACAGTTTATTTAACAGCAAGATGTACTCTTACAGTAGAATAAGTATCAACTTTGACATCCACGGTAGTACTTCCACACTTGTGCTGGGTACTAATGTCGCCAATAAAAATATTACCCCTCGTCACACCAGTAGCTGTAAGGCCCTGGTAAAAATAACAGTTTGCAAACAGAAACATTACCAATGCTTCAAAAACACTGGAAACATTAGTCAAGAAGATCATGACTTAACTCTTAAATTTAACAAGAATGCAAACTTTACAGCAATCATTTTCTCTTTATATCCTAAAGAAACGTTACAGAATATTTGCGGAAAAAATATGTCAGGTTCACACAAGAATCCCAAGACTTCCCAAGAAGGGTTGATGAAGACAAGAAAGAAAATTAATATACACCTTTTTAACACAACAAAGTTGAGTCTATTTTCCTCCTTCCTTCCCTATTTCCTCAAATATAAATAAAAACCTATGTAACAAGAAGACTTTGCTGGGGCTATATTTTGTTTGCTCACCCAAAATTTGCCATTAACAATGGACCGAAATTATTTTTTCCATGTATATTTTGAATGAATGCATACTCCTTGTTCATTACCAGAATATCCTAAAACAGATAATTTTTTCGAGGTCTGCACAGCATTATAATTTAGAGTTATATGCTGTCAAGTGTATGGTTACCACTTACCATAGACTTAGCAAGCAACATAGTGCTATTTCTAAGGGAGACAAATAATCAAAATTCAACAGAAGTATATAGTTTTAAATCAAAAAAAAAAATAGAAGTATATAGTTCATCGACACCCAGACTTCAATTAAGAAGCCAACCCAAGAAATAGTAGTTTTTTTTTTCAGCCCAGTAATTAGGTGATACCTTTTGGGTGCATTCTACTGCTAAACTCAAAATCTGAGAAGCAACAGAATATGGACATACATTCGATATCGAATAAGTGCTGAGTGATAAAATTTACAGCTAGAAAATATCTTAATGAACTTTTTTTTCTTCCCTATTTCATTCTATTTTGGAGGCATTCACCACACAATTAGGCACAAAAGTTTGCTCCTAGCACAGGCCAGTATAAATTAAGTGGGTAACGGTGGAACGACTTCTAAAATATCCCCTACTAGACAAGAAAGGACATAGCCCTCCACATGAATAATTGACCAAAAAAAAAGGCATGCAGCTCAAATAAGCATTTCCATATACAATTTAAAGTGAAAAAATGGAAGTTAATTTTTTTTCATTTGTGACAACTTGTTCTAGATTCCTTGATGAGTGTGAGCAAGTGACAGATGCAAGCATGCATGTGTGTGTTGTGTGTAGATTCAAAGATTCCACCAGCAATGATCCAATTCAAATATCCATACTAGATACAAAAAAGAAAAATGAAAACAAATTATTCTTTATGATTTATATTGTATTCCCTAATATATCAATCCAAAAAAAAACAGTTGGTTTCTTTTAATGTGACAAGTAACATTTGTTCTGCTTCCATTGATCAAGTAATAAACCAGTCCATGTAGATTTTTTTTACACTTCAGCAATAAGAATGTAATAATGCTGCCCCTAGCATCACCATTATCATCATCAAAAACTAAGTCCAGCAGCCATTAGGATTTTCCTCTTGTCAACCTAAAGCTCCCACCTATCTTGTCTATTAAACCATATCCTCTATTCTTAGTAAGATAAGGTTTATCCTATTGACAACATGATATTAGGCAGTGGAATGAATTCATATTGGTTTCAGGTGGATGAGAGGGAGATCAATAACAGGAAACCTTGTTCATTGAGTATTGTTACCTTCTTTTATTTTTTTATCAGCCTTGTCCTTATTTATTATTGACCTAAAAGCCTGAACTATTGGCCCTCACTAGTCCCGTGGCAAAGATGACTCCTATGCGAGTGCTCATCTCTCTAGCAACAAGTAAGTCCTAGCGTCTATGGCACATGGACATAAAAAATGCCTGTCTTTCTCTTCTGTTAGCAAGCTTGTGTCCTCATCGAGCTTCAATCGAAATCAATGGCAAAGCGCTCCACATAACCCCAATTTAGAAAACGCGAAGACACGAGCATATCTCACACCATATCCATATGATAACAAGTGATCAATATTTTTATCTAGGAAACCTAACCAAACCTGAAATGCGACTAGTTGGATACCATTCAAAAAGAAAGCTTCAACACAAGTGCATAAACAAATTGTTATAAAAAGAAGAAATTTGCTCTTATGATTTTTGGTAGGATGTCTTGTCGTTGGACAATCACCATCTAAAATAAATTAATGCCTCCATTTAAATAACACTAGTGCTTTGGGCTTTATATTTAGAAATAAAGATCGGCCCACCCTCACTCTTGGATTTTTAGGAAAGCTTACTCCAGCATTTTCTTTGTTCCCAAAGAACTCTCTACCCAGAAGACAAGCCCGACTTCACTTTTCTACCTTTGCGCCCGACTTCACTTTTCTACCTTTGCTCTACATAAATCCCCTCTTAGATCATATTTATCAGTTTCTGTTTGATTTTCAAAATTCAAGATCTCCCTCACACACTCGTTAACCATTGATCAAGCCTTAGTACACAACCATCCCCTTTAATTATAGGCCCAACCACCAAACTTCCTCAACCCACCGTTTTTAATTCCTCCAAGAGTAGAGTAGCATGACCAAGAGTGCTACCCTCTTTTGAAAGACTCTAACCTGACCTACTTTCAAATTTAATCCATTTCATAGATCATCACTCACATGATTGCTTTCCAAAGCGTACAGCTCACTTTATATGCCCATTAATTATGTTTCTTTATATTCCCTCGCTTACCCTTCCAAAAGTTGGTGGTTAGGTTGTCATCAAAAAATCTAACATTTTACTATGAAGCATAGATATTTCGTCAAGGTCGATGTACCCATATTGGATACTATATTGAATATGATACTCGTCGAATACTCAAAGATATGTATCGGACACGCATCATATGTATCCAATAATTAATAAAATATGTGGATACTTCTACATATGGAGCAAAATGTATAATTTTTAATTTTAATGTATACTCTCTCCTTTTGAGTTCCCAAACTATTCAATACATCACAAAATTCCATTTGACTTTAAAGAGATTAGTGTATTTTAAGTATTATCTAATATTACATATCAAAAAAGTATAAACAAATGAGTTAGTTATACTATAATCTTAAAAACAAATAGTTGTAAACAAAACAACTAGCTAAATATTGGTCTATATTCCTTTAATAGGTGACGTTCACTTTATTGATATATCATAATAAGACGATATACACATTTTTTAAGGTAAAAATTACTAATTTTACTTACTATTATAAATAATTATTAAAAATTATAACTTTTAAATCGTTAAATAATAATAAAGTATAAAATATATTTTATTATAAACGTATCTTAGACATACACATATCCTATTTTTTGAAATTTTGTCATAGCGCCATATTTGTATCATATCGTACCGTATTTCGTATTCGTACTTCCTAGACATTTTACTATCCCCTTTGCATTTTCTATAAAGAAAACTATCTTTAGTCTCCGTCTTCTATTCTAGATAATTCTAGTTTTTATGGCAATTACCCCACCGTATTAGGAGAAATTTTTTCTTTGTTTGTGTTTCCTTTTCATTCTTCCTTTTTGGGTTGGTTTGAGGAAGGGTGTTGTCTAAATTACACGCAAAAAATACATAGTATAGATTTGAATCCGCGGGATCAGCACCAAAACAGAATAGTATTGAGGATAAGGGAGTAGCAAACAAAAAATGCTTTTCTCAAGTGAAACAGTAGAAAGCTTCGTAAGATGGGGATTAAAGTATGGAAATTTGTCCCATTAGAAAAAGACATAAAAATAAAGAAAGAACAAATGTAACAAAACTAAATCAAATCATACCATCCCATTAGAGCTTGGAACCGAAAGGGAAAACTTGTGATCAAAATTATAATCTTTTGTCAGAAGGTCTGCATAAAAGCAATCAATCTCTCAGACACTGAAAATGTGGCAAAAAGTATACATCATACATTTAGGAAACCAATGATGACTCATCACAGCATCAAGCTAAATAGGAACTATATTCACAAAACTTTGCAGCAAATCAAAAGAACAACAGATAAGTCAACAATGTATGCAGTTCAGTTTTGACAGATAAATCAGCTAGACGGACATGTTCCTCTCATTTGGGTACCCCCTCTCCTGCATCATGCAGAAGTATTTGTGAAATGCAAGCTTTGCCTATGATAAGCTCCAGTTGTAGCATCACACAAACAGTTAATTTATGATGCTGCTGCCACAAAAGAATAAAGCAAGGACTCATTAATTAAAGAAACATATTATTGGTCTGTTAGAAGCCAGTGTTCCTTTTCGATGTGGTATCAAGTCAGCAACGTACTGAGTGTTCATAGCGATTTCTACAACACAACCATAATTCAATGAATCTACACGCCAGTTCATAGTCCTTTTGCAAAGATTATCATTTGATATATGAAAGCCAAAAAACTTTGGGAACGCAATTAGCCATGACTGCATGGGCAGAAATAGAGAATAGAATCCTACTAGCCACGAGCTATTCAACACGATAAGAAAAACATAAGACCAGCGTTACTGGTCAGTAAAAATGTAGGTTGGCAAGAAGCAAAACATCAGTTAAATTAAATAGAATTGCTAAAGATGTTGGAACTTGGATGCATTAGTGAAAAGATGGAATAAGTTAGAAAAATCCAAGAACATATCAACATGGTAATATGCAAATTATACAGATGTGGGGTCATTCACTAACTGATAAATTATTAAACAAACCACATTCACAAACTATACAAGACCCAGGGAAAACTCTAAACTAAAATCCATAGGGAAAGTCATACATTCGAAAAGAACAATGCTTCAACTTTGTGGGTTGAAAACAACCATTCCTTGAAGATTGTTCCACTCTTCTCTTCCAAATGCACCAAAGAATGCAAAAAAACACCCACCTTCAACAACCCACGTATTTCTCTAAGTGCATTCCACCTTCCAATGTCCTAATAAATCCCTCACAATCCACAACATAATCCTTTCACTAGATCTCTCTTGCCGCCATATAGTGCAAAACAAAATATTAACCTCTCTGCTTTATCTCTTTGAAAATACAGCTCTTACCCAATGTTACTTGGATTGTGGGTCACTTTGGTACGTGATACGAATACGGATATGCGGTACAACATTTTTTTAAGTACATGATACAATTGGGGGTACGGTATTTTGGGTTGCAATTCATTTTGAAACTCTTATCTATATTATTTTTACCAATATACAACATTGTAATAGTACAACATCTAAACATTAAGTCAGTTACCATTTATATTACATTTGTGCTCGATTTTCTATTATCTAAAATAGTAATATAGTATATAATTACAAATCTATATACACGTAATTAATTAATATGCTTATATTTGTGCTACGTGTACAATTTGGGATCATACATTTTGGTGATCTGGATCTTAAATTCATTCTGTTTGTGATCAATGTACCCACTACCATAGTTGTCAAATCACGATTCGTATCGTGAATCAAAATTTTAAATTTGAGAATCGTGAATCGTAAAATTCGACACAAAATTTGAACAAAAATAAAAAATAATACACCATATTTAATAAAGTACTCAAAATATTGAATATTGAACATTATTATTGTATTCTAAAAATAATCAAGTGATATAATCACGTCGTCTAAATGAACAGATACTAGGCTTTTGCTTCATTTTCATCTTTTGTTTAACCATTTTCAAATTCAACAACTTGAAAAAAAAAATCATTAAAGTACCATGGCTATTCAACAACCAGAATAGTGACACCTAGTATAAATTAGGTCACAAACAAGAATGAAAAAAAAACAAATAAGAAAATTAATTGAGAGAAAACATACAGGCCAATATTTTGAAACAAAAAATTAGAACCTAACAAACTACCTATTAAAGAATTGAGAGCAAAAATCAATCGATGATGCAAAAACGTTAGCCGTAACCTATAACTTTAAACAATGCAAGACGAGCTTTAAACAATGTCATACATGAGTAAAGAAACTGAGTTTTTATTAGGGTATGAGTTTCTCTACAAATAAAACGACGTCGATTCACTGTTTAACGACCAAAACGAGATCGTTTTGCCAAAAATCTAGGTTATAAAAAAAATGGTTGAATAGTGCAATTCATGCGATACGAATCGAATCATACAAATAATACGATTCAGATGTGATTTAATTCTAAAAATGATTCGTATATAAGATACGAATCGTTTTGTACCTGCATCGAACCGAATCGTGAATCGTACTATTTTGATAACTATGCCCACTACTCAGATCGAGGTCGACAGGAGTTTAGTGAATTCTGGTAACTTGACCCTTTTTATCACCCTATATTACCTATGTGCATGGCCAAGTGAGTTATATTAATACGTCCCTTCCAATTAGTCCAGGGGGGTTTGATTAAGATGTTTTGCATACTTGGTATATTTTTTCTCTTCTTTTTTTCCCTTTCGAAGGTTACCTGTGTAGTTCCTATGCTCATTCAAAGCTATTTCAAATTTCCCCATGGGAGGAAGAGGAGGAGAAGGTGCCGAGTCATATCGGTATTAGCCAATACTTTAAACCATATCTACATTGCATTATAGAGAATAAAATTAACAGACACTAGCAAATTCTCTCTTCAATGACAGAAGGCTTCTGACAAAGAAAATCATAAAAAAAAAAAAACATTCTGTCTTATTATTAAAATACAAGAAGGCAAACGTATCTGCCAATAACCATGCATTTATCAAACATACACAAAAAGCTCAATGCAATGAAACGAGCAATCTTCTAGAAAACCCAAAACGACGTCTCTCACACTAATTTCATCCCCAACAATGTCTCTCACACAAATCTTCCATACATTTAGGTAAAATATATGCATGAAGGGAATACCTTTTGCTCGTTTTCCAATATCTGAAAATGGTGCTGGACCGTTGCCCATTTCTTTTGAGAATGAAGGTACTCAAAACACAGCCTAAGAAGTCATGACCAGAATAATATGGATAAGTAAGACACACCATGCATTGAATGTACTATTTGCTTAACAAAAAGGGGGTAGGAATAAAAGAAATAATTGACTCAAACTCAAATCAAAAGTCAACTACACATACACATACACATACACGCACATATATAAGCATGCCTTTTAAATCTTATTGACGCAAGACCTATAAAAAGATAGATACTCCAATTGCTATATGCTGGTCATCAGTTTTGAAAAAAGTCTGTAGAAATTAAATTGTGTATATTACACTTGCCCAAAATAAATTGTCCAATTTTCATATTTAAAAGATTTACTGAGTTGTTCATGACAATCAGAAGTTTTATGGTTAGGAAATTTTATAGGATGCAGTCTAGGAAGTTTGGAGTTCATCTGGTTTTTGTGATTTCTGTAGAGACCAAGCCATTTCCGTCTAAAATCCCTCAATAGTGCTTGCTAAATCATAAAGGATACAACACGAGGACTGGACCGGACATCAATCAGGCATCAAGCCCAAACTAAGATCATTTGTTCGATTGATGTCCGGGACTGAACTAGGTAATGGCCTTTTCATGCTTCCTAAAAGTTTAGCTTAACCATAACATGGCTCCTCCAACCAGATGGATAGCTGCTCAAAACCATACATGTTTGCCATAATTAGGGCTTCCCAATTAATCAATCAAAGCATGGAAACGATAAGAAATTAAGACCCAATAGTTCTTTGGAAGAAGATTTTTACATTTGGAGATATGTTTCTTACATATTATCAAATATGTGGACATGATAATAATCATCAAAAGCCAAAACATTTTTCCTTTCTCTTACAATACAAGCCTCAGCTTCTAACTCATTAAAATGCACAAAAACAAGTTGAAAACCCCTAGAGAAAGAAGGACAAATACGTGCGCACACACATTGCGAGAGAGAAGTCAGTGCAATATATGTTCACATAAACATATATATGCATCGACCAATAAATCCATGGAAAGAGAGTCAACGCAATATGTGCATAAATACACACACGAGCACATTATATATATATATATATATAGAGAGAGAGAGAGAGAGTATGAGAGAGACGTAGAGAGCTTACAGAGAGCAGGATAATTGCGGAGTAGACTACGATGACGATCGTCGACAGTCCGCCACCGCTTCTAACGGCGGCGTTTCGTAGTAGTAGTGAGAGAGAGAGAGAGAGAGAGAGGGAATGATCGGCGAGGTGTAATAAAGAAACAAATGGCTTGTTTTCGTTGGTAGGTGAAATGATAGCAATAAATATTAGGTTCAGTGCTTTAGCGAATATATGTGAAATGACATTTGTGTCCTTGACCCGGTGGTTCTAGTAGTAAATACCGTCGCGTGGCAGACAGACTCTCTTGATGGAACATGGGTCGGACTGACCATTTAAAATTCAGAAAATTGGACGGAGGGACACCGATTAGACTTAATTATAAAAAAATATATAAAAAAAAAAATTAGGTAATTAAGTCATTAATTTTCATACTTATTTGTATCTAAGTATATTATTTAAATTTTACTGATTTTTGTGTGACATTTTTGCCCTCTATTAATCTACGTGTATTTAATGCACCATTTTTCTTTGAAAAAAGGTGTATTATCTCTTAGTTTTATGGGAGAACTTTAATATATATATTATTTTATTTTAAAAAATAAAATATAAATATATCTTTGATCGTGTAATTCAAATTGGTAATTACAAGTGTATAATAATTTAACATATATAAGACTTTGTTTCTTTATATACATATAAAAAAATTTATGTAACTGTACTACTAATAAATGAGTTTAAAAAAATTTAACAATCTTTATAAAAAAGTCCAAAATAAATTAAAAGTCAAATATGAGTAAAAAAATAAAAATTAGATGAAAGTATATAGATGTGTATAATTGACTTTAGTATAATAATTAGGGATAAAATAAAAAATTAAAAAATTTTCACAAATATTAACATTTATAAGTATTATAGATATAAATTGGGTCTTGATTACTCCTTGGTTCAAATCTCATTATCGGAGTAAAAAGAAATGACCTGGTGATTAGTGTCTTTTTTTTGTATTTTTTTCCTGTGCAAGATTCGTGTCTCACTCAGGCTTCATCCCCTATGAATAGTGACCCAAAAAAAAAACTATTGTCCTCTTTTTTTTTTTTTTTTATGACTTATTGTCCGTAAATGGTCTTGGTTCTTGGGTGGTAAGTCTCTGACCAATCTCATAAGATTCCATGTAATTGACTACCTCATTGGTCACGTGGCCAGCTGTTCTCAATTTTTTTACTATATGTATAATTTTTTTGCCATAATTTTTTTGATTTAACCGTCAAGGATATTCAAGTTAATTTACATGTAATTTGATTAATTTTTTTTTAATTTAAGGTTATCTATGTCGAGACTAATATACTCATAAAAAATAAATCTTTATTCATGTTTTGTTATTATTTAAACTATTTTTTTAGAGGGTTTTTTTTTTTTTGCAACATTCAATGATATGATAATATGGGCATTGGCCGTTTGACTGGGTTAAAGAGTGACAATGAAGGGACCCATGACCACGTTTTAGGGACTATACCCACCCAAACCATTAGATCCACCAAACCATTAAAAGCCAATTCAAAACTGTCTTTCTGTTTGTTTTACATTGTGGTGGGCACACCTTTATCCTAATAACCCTATGAGTATATTTTGACCTAGCTAACTCTAAATACATCCATAATCCAGCTCCAAAATATGTTAATCTGTCAACAATATAAGCTCGTTCAACACAAGACTTATAAATATTTTGTTATAATAAGGTGATGATTATTTTAGATTATGCATCCCGACTCAAACAAAACAATTTGCATTTAATCTTAAACAACTTGAGATCAATCACAAATGTTTATAAATCGATCCCAAAAGTTTTGTGTTTTCATTGATTAATAAGTTTGAGCTCATTAAATTGTAATTTTACGTTGTTTAATCTTAACTTTTGAGTTTTTTTTTTAATACCCTGAAGACTAAACCATTTATAAAGCCATTTTACCATTTTTTTGAGACAATTTTTCGATTCAAATTCATTTTAATGAATATGTATATAATTTTTTATTGGTGGAAGTCACCGCCTATCTGTGTAAAATTAACATGTATTTATGAATTTTGCTTAAATTTATAGTGGGTGACTTATTATAGAGCGAAATTAATATATATTGTATTCGATTAGATAGAAATTACTCGTATTAAATAAGTTATGAGTATTCATAATACACCCGAATTATTAAAAAAAATTAAAATCATCAAAACTATCTTGTCATCAAAGTCATCTATTCAACTTAAAATAGGAGATAAATTAATAAATTTGTTACATTTCAGTGAACTAATATAAAATTACTAGTTATTGCCTGAGTAATAAAAAATGATAAACAATAAATATATTTGTATTCATATTCAAAATTAAATCACAATAGAAAATAGATAAAAGAATTTAAGCATCAGTTTGTAGTAGGGGGTGAAAGGTGGCGGGTGACAATAGTGGTGGTAGGAGACGGTGATGTTTGTGGTGGGTGGCAATGACCATCGAGGTGGTGGCGAGGACGATGGTGGTAGCGGGGGTTGCGGTGGCAATGGTGGTGATGGGGGCGGTGGCGACGGTGATAGTGGTGGCAATGACGACGGTGGTAGTGGTGGCAATGACGACGATGGTGGTGACAGAGGCGGCGATGGTGGTGGTGGCAGCAACGGCGACAAAGGTGGCGGTGGTGTGATGGTGGTGGTAATGGTGACGACGGTGACAGCGGTGGTGGCGATGGCGACAGCAATGACAGAGGCGGCGATGATGGTGGGGGTGGCGGTGATAAAGGTAGTGGTGAGACGATTTCAAATACTAATATTTTTTTAAAAGTATTTATGATAAATAATTTTTAGAAAGTATTTTTAAAAAGGCACTCTAAACACACTCTTAGAAATCAATTTTTCTTATTAAATTTAGAGTGTTAATATTAGCCGTTAGATTAATTTTAAAGTAAAATTTAAAGAAATTTCAACCGCGAATAATAAAAGTCATTTTGTTTATCTTTTTAAATTTGAATCGTAAATTACTTTATTATATAGATATTGAATTACTCTCTAGATTTATTATAAACTATAATCTATATTCTTAATCAAATTCATTGAACATTTAACCGTGTCTTTCCTTGGCCCCAAGTATCTAAATCCTCCCACTTTCAAATTGTATTAAAATTCTAACATGTCCAATCATACACAGTTGAATTATTAATTCGATCAACAAAATTATACGGACCCTACAAATTTAACGGTGTACGATTAAATTTGATTAAAACCAATAAAACTTGCAATTCAGAGGATCCAAATTCTGCTTTTTGCACTTAGAAGTCATCCTAACGCGGTAATCCTATTCCCTACGCTATGTTAACGTTAACCTGCTTGGCAACTTCTCTCTCTTTCTCTCTTACACCTATATATATACTAGCAATTCTATATAACTGCTTGCAAAAGCTCAAGAAACCATTGATTCGACTCTCAAAAATGGGCATAGACAACTGGTTATTACTAGGTCGGCTGAAAAGGGCAGTGAAGAAAATCAAATTTCTATTAAATTTCGATATTAGCAGATGGAAACTCGCGGCGGCGATCGGAGCTTCATCGAGCAAGCGCCAGCTGAGCTTCAATGGCCGGCCGGGCTTGACGGCGTGCACCGATGATCCGGACCCGAATGATTCGGGTTCTTCACATGGGCTTCAAAGGACAATGAGTGTTCGCTCTGAAGATGATATTGATAAGAGGGCTGAACTTTTTATAGCAAACTTTAAAAAGCAGCTACAGTTTGAGAGACAAATCTCTTTGCAGCTAAGGTACTGCAGGGGTAATAGCTTCGAATCAGCTTCTCCATCTCCACGAGGGTGAGATTACGGGGTCGAGAAATTATTTTTTGGTATTATACTGAAAATTTACCATGATATAGTGAGATCGGAGCATAGTCTTGCATACCTACTCAGTTGTTTGAATCATCAGAGATTTTGAAGCTATTTAAAATGAAGAGAATTCTGGGTTTTGGGTGTCTGGTTTTGTGGAATCTGGGAAGAAGATGGATTGACGAAGGAATTCAAGATCATAGTTTTTTGATAGAGAGTTTTGGTGATGGAGTCTTGTGTTTTACGAAAGGATCTCCATTGCAGATTGGGGGCGATGATTTTCTTCTTGTTTTTTATTTATTTATTTTTGCTTTCTCTATTGATTGTTTGTAAAGATTGCATAGGAAGAAAAAAAGAAAGAAAGATGAAAACTGGGAATTTTGGAGCATGTTCGATTGGGATGGCTGCTGCCTGCTGCCGCGAGATTCCAACTTTTGCTTTAGGCAGTCAAATGACGTTATCTTTTGGGTGTGGAAATTTTTTTTTTTTTTTTTTTTTGGTGTCTAGGCTGTGGAGGTTTTTGAAGTTTGGTACAGCTTGTCTTGGTCTTGTTCGTTCAGTTTGTTGCATCGGTGTAAAGTGTAAAGATTATATTCTTATAGAATAATAAATTTTAAAATTTTTGGGGTCATAAACCAGTGTTTCTGCCGACCCCAATTTATATTGTAACAATATTGTCTGTTTTGGATTTGGACTTTTGATGTCACTCAAAAATTTCCTTGTTATAATTAAGAATATTTGATTTACATATAAAATACTTTACCTTGATTTGAACCAATGATGTGGGATTACAATATGGTCTTATAACACCAAATTCCAATAATTTTCGTTGCGTTAACTTTGGATAATGAGTTATTGTTTGTTTTTGTCATCTACGAATGTGGAATTGGGATTTTTTTTTTTTGACGTTAAATGATTAGTTTTGTATTCGCTTTGAATAGAAGGACAAAATTAAGAATTACATTTAAAAAAAAATACTTAAATTACATATGAATTGCGATGTAACCGAGTTCACCCAATCTATAACTCGGTCCTCGTTGGATTGTAACCTTGTAAAAATCATAGGCGCCATTGTTGGCGGACCATCGCAAACCAATGCAGGATACAAATATTGGGTGATATATCATTTATTCTAGAATCAAGTGGGATCCATCATTTGTTGGTAATTTATTATTGATTGAAATAGAGTGAAAGTGTTATTAAGAGGATCTTGATAATGTATAAAAATTGTATTATGGATCACCTATCGAGTAATTAATATGAGTAATAAATATAATAAAAATAAATAAGAGATCAACATAGACAATACACAAATATATAGTAATTTGATCAGAGTAATCTACTTTATTTTGAAGGCGGCGACAGTGGCCAGAAAGCTTTATTAATAAAGTAGAAAGTGTGTGAGAGAGAGAAAGCAAAGATAAGTTCTAGGAAATGTTAGGTAGTTATGAGAGAGATAGTTATATAAAATGTGTGTAGAGATAGCTCTGAGAGATATGGTCCCTTTTGTGTACAGGACTTACAATTTATAGGCATAGAACATTGGTTAAGGTGATGGCGTGATGGGTAGATTACTAGCTTTTCAAGGAGAATAGCTACAACTAAGATAGGTATAATTAGAGATAGTCATGATCTAAAAGAGTGACTATCTCGGTAATTACTCCTCACGTGCGCTAATCTTCCTAAATCTCTTAAACTTTGGACTGAACCGAATTTATGAGCTGAGCTTGACTTGCCTTTTAGCTTATTTGAGACTTATCTCATTAATTGAGTTTGACCCAGTTAAATATGAACTCATCATTTGTCCTCTATTCCCCAAGTCTCGTTTACCACAAAAGGGATTAAGGGCATGATTGAGTCCCCAAGGCTTCTTGTACTGCATTGTGGCTTCTTCACTCTCTTAATCATGAAGCTTTTGACAACTTCATGTTTGGGCACCCATTTCTATTGGCCATCATCTTCTGTGGCGGGTCTTTGCTGAGCTTGACCCCTTTTTTTACTTAGGGCTCCAATCTTTGGGGTTTTTAAGAGTACCTCTATTTTATCCAAAACACCTCATTTGGAACTAGGGCTTAGAAACACCCTCACCTCTTTATTTTATTAATCATTTAGAGAGAGGCTCAAGAGGATGACAAAAAAGGGGACCTTATTGTCTGGGGAAAACTCTGGAGGCTCCATGGCCAATGTTTTTGGCTCCTCTTCATTCAAGCTGGTCGGTGGACAAGGAGGCGGCGGAGCAAGCTTTGCCATCGCAAGGGGGCTGGGCAACACTCATGGGTTGGCCTGTCAAAATTCAACACGACATGATTAACCGACACGAATCGACACAGTTTAAACGAGTTTTAGTGATAAATGGGTCAACCCGTTTAACACGTTTAATAAACGGGTCGTATTTGGGTGAGATATATCAACTTGTTTACCCGTTTAAATAAAACTAATATGATAATATATTAATAATCATTTTAAAAAAATTAACCAATTTTTTTTTAATGACATCCACGCCACATAGAAAATATATAAAGGTATTATTTTCTAACCCTAATCTAATTTTATGGATTCTTGAACAGCTGAAGCCTGAAGCTTTGTTCAGTTGTTGTTGTGCCTCCACTCCAGTCCAGACTTTAGCCCTCCATCCACTCTTCTGCTTCTCTCTCTCTCTCTCATAGCATGCTGCGAGTAGATTTTATATTTAGATCTGTAAATCTTCGAGCCAAGACTTCAAACAAATTTGTGTTAGATTTGTAAATCTTCTAGTCAAGACTTCGAGTAGGTAAATCTTCGACAACGGAATCTTAGTCCTGATTTGATTAGTTGATTTTGTGAATTTGAATTTTTTATTTAGTGATCTGTGTTAGGTCTGAGTTGATTAGTTTTGATCTATGTTAGATCTGAAATAAACGTGAACAGTCACAAGTGAACGTTGCCCAACCCAGTAAACAAGGAAAGAAATCCATATAGTTAACAAGTACCAGAAACCCACTGAAGAAGGGGAATGAATTCCTATAATAATATAATAAGGTTCTATCTCTATAGTAATGTGGGATCAACTGCCAAACAGTTAAAAAGATTATTTTTTTTATGGAAAAATGATATTGTGGGGGCATCCTCATGTTATAGCATTGAGCATTACTTTGATTTCTCATATTTCTATTTGATGGAGTAAAAATTTTCCAATTCTACAACCATTTATACAATACTATACCAAGAAATAGCGAAGATATAAAAATCAAATACTTTCTGTTAGTAATTACCAATGCAACAAATTTATTGTGTCCAAGTTTTGATTTGTACTAGAGATTGGATTCATAAGAAGAGCAGCAAGTCTGATTCCATTTCACTAAAATTATTTTTCTCATTATTCTAATTCATGTGATCAGTAACTCATTTATGTTTTGTTGTGTTTAATTGTAGATGATTCTAGTGATGATTCAAAAGGAGAAATAGATGATGATATTTTTAATCAAAATATGAAGTCTAATAAAGTCATATCTGCTCAATGTTCTAATTCTATATCTATCATTAATCATGACTAAAGAGAGGTAATGTCAAATTTTTGTTACTTATCTAGTTATGAGTTTATTTACTTGTTAATGTTATATAACATTTCATTTTAATTTGTATAGGGTATGAGAATTTGGTTGTTGAATCTATTCGTTGTCGTGGAGGTGGAGATTTGATCTCTTTCACGGGATATTGTGAATCACGAAATTTGTGGTTGTTTGGGATTGTTATTTGGTGTAATTTTGGAACTTGTGGTTGCTTGAGATTTTTATTTGTGGTTGTGGTTGTTTGGGATTGTTATTTGGTGTTAATGTAATATGATTGTTTATTTGGTGTAATTGTGTTATTTCAGATTGTATTTATGATTTGTAATATGGTTGTTGGTGGAATTTGGTTATTTTTTATTGTAGTTTGTACTTTATAATATGATGTGGTTACTCTAAATATCATATTTATTTGTATTAACTTGTTAGTTTTATAAAGTTATATAGCATTTTTAAATAAATAGGTAAATGGATCAAACATGTAGTTTATTGTGCTAAATGGGTCAAACGGGTGGTAAACAGGTGAATGGGTCAAATGAGTGGTTTACCGTGTTAACCTGACCCAACCCAACCCGAATCATAAAATTAGACGTTTTAAACGAGTCATATTATGTTACCTGTTTATTAAACGGTTCATGTTCGTGTTTTAATTTTTTACCCATTTATTAAACGTGTCGTGTAGGAGTTTACATGTTTTTCACCTATCACTCGTTTAACCTAACTTGTAACCGTTTAACCTGACACGTTTGACACCCCTACCCATGGGGTGGGCATCATCGGTGCCTAGGGTGTTGTTGCCAATATTGCCACGAGGAGCAGCGAATGCAGCGATACCCCTGATGTGATTTGCGACACTGCAGCAATCCAAGATGGCGCCCATGGCGGGTGTGGGCTGAGTGACAACGCCCATTGGGCTAGTGCCCTTTGCGCTGGTCTAGGCGGAGATAGGGGCGACAACATGTCAACGCAGGCGTTAGGCGACGCCTTCATGCAATCGAGTAATTAATATAAGTAATAAATATAAAGAAGATATCAACACATGCAACACACATATATAGTGGTTCGGTCAAGTTGACCTACTCCACTTTGAAGACAACAACAGTAGCCGAAGAACTTTATTAATCTTTACTACTTATAAAACTGTGCTAATTGAAATTTTTTTTGTTTCCCATATTTACCCTTAGTTGATCCTGTAATATCAATTTTCATCCTTCATTAAATAGTTACTGTAACTTATTTGCATTTAATACATGAGTAAGTATTTCATATTCCTTTCACAACTACTCCAATACAATGAAAAACATCAAATGATGTTACAACTTCTACTTCTAGAATTGAACGTTCAATAACATTTCTCTTTCATCCTAACAAATAATTGATACCAAAGGTTAAACCCTTCAAATTCAATGAATATAATAAATATTAAATTACAGTTAATATATGAGTTATCAAATGGAATACCGAAAGCAAGATACTGAATAAACACATTTATTACTGGTGGTTTCACTTCCTTATTCGTTTCTATTCCTAATAATCATGGTAATTTTGGGTTGTTATCTCTGTCTTCTCCATATATTTTCTCTTGCGCTTTCTCTTTGCTTGTGTGTTTTACGTTTGGGTTCCTAAAGATCTTCAATTTTTTTCCTAAACATCACATTCAAGTTCATTTGAGTAAGTCCTTTATGTTTATAAATGGTTTCCCTATTTCCAGGTTTAATCCTATTGGATTCCATTCTAACTCATGTACTATTCATTTGCTGAAAGCATGCTCAGGTATTGCTCATTATCTGTTCTAACCTTTTTTTATTTTATTTACGTCATGTTATTGACAAGTAGACAATCGTGCAGTTGAAAGGATCTAGAGGAGCCGAACTTTCTAGGAGGGTTCAAAGTCTGCTAATTGTATCTTGTGTCCAAGCAAACGCACTTGGTGGTGCTGCTGTTTATTTTCCTAGAACAAGCACAATACATGAACAAAGGCTTGCTAATATGCAGGAGGTATGGTTGGACAATATTTAAATTCATAATGCTCATCACATGACCATTTCTTTCTATTTTCTCTAACAAGTTCCGAAGTGTTTGATGAAGTATGTGGGGCCACACATGCCAGTTGTGGAGGATGGGGAGATGGAGCGGAGTTAACAAGATAAGTGTTTTGCTTTTCACACATGCACACAAAGACTAGTCATGGTTTAGATTTGTAAATTTTTTATATATAACATGTTTTGTCAAATTGTTATTTTTGTATCGGATTGGTGGTTGATTTTTTAGCACATGTTTTTATGGTCCCTCTTGTGTAGAATTTCAAGTTTATATCTAAATAGAACTTTAAAGTTCTCCAAGGTTTAATTATGTGGTTAGACTAGCACGTCCAACAATATAGATATTACATAGAAGCAATGCTAGAGTCGACAATGATCACGAGGAGTTCCAAGTAACATAGCAAATTCACATCATGGTTCAATCAATCATGATTTTCATAGTTTTAGAAGTTAGGTGCTGAGATAATAGATGATTCTCTTGTCGTCAATAAATAGTTTTTATTTGTACAAATACAAGTTTTTTTTTTGTTTCTAGTGTAAATAGTGGACTCCAATAAAAGTTCAAAAATTGCTCAACTTAAACCAATAAAAAATTTGTCAATCCAAGGTCCAAGTCACATGGACAAAAATACAAATGTTAAGAAGACTTATTATTTAACAAGAAAAAACATACAAAACAAAACAATGGCTACCAAAGCAAGAGGGGACTGCCAGGCAAATTGACACTTTTATTTAATTTCACACTCTATTTTTAAATTTGGTCAAAAATGTCATTTATTTTAAAAGAGATGATTCCTAAATAAAGAGTACGAGTACAAGTACGAATACGAATGCTCCATGTAAATAAATATTAATATATTTATTTAGTTATTTTAATAAATTATAAATATTAAAACTACAATTATAAATTTAAATTATCCACGTGCAACGTACGTGTGCATTTGCTAGTCAAGTAAAAGGTGTGTGAAAAAGACAGAAAGCAAAGGTAAGCTCTGGAAGATATTGGGTAGCTATGAGAAAATAACTGTGTAAAATGTGTGCAGAGATAGCTCTGAGAGGTGTGTGCCCCTCTTGTGTAAAAAACTTACAATTTATAAGTACAAAGCTTTGGTTGAGGCAGTGGCATGACGAGCGTGGTTACTAGCTTTTCGGGGAGGATAGCTACAACTAGGATAAGTACAATTAAAGATAGCCTTGATCTAGGAGAATGACAATCCCGGTAATTATTCTTTACGTGCGCTAATCTTCTTGGATCCTTTGAACTTTGGATAGGGCAGAATCCATGAGCTGGGTTCCACTTGCCTTTTAGCTAATATGAGGCTTATCTCATTAATTGGGCTTGACCTATTTAAATTTAGGCTCATCAAATCTTAATCCATAAATCTAGATGAATATTTTTATAATATTTTATTATAGCTATAGATCTCAGTAGAGGTGACAATTGTATTCTGTTAATGTCGTGTCATTTCGGGGTCGTGTCCAGTACTAGTTAATTTTAACTCAACTTGTTTAACTAATCACGTCATGTTGTGTCAACCTATTTATTTTCGTGTCATGTTCATGTTGACCCATATAACCCGCGAATAAAAATTTTAATACTTAGTTTTATTTCTAAAATTTCATTATCACTTAATTGAACTTATACTCATATTTTTATATAAACTAAAAATTAACTTAATAAATATAATAATAATAATGAGTAAAAATATATTTTCTTGAATAAGAATTAGGCCACTACTTGATAAAATATAATAAAAATATGATATTTTATTTTTTTAATATTACTTAAACGTGTTAATGGTATCAATTTCGTATTGTTCGTGTTTGACATTAACTCAACTTATTTATCATTCGTGTTAACGAGTTATATCATATACGAGTTCGTGTTGAGAAATAGTTAACCCTAATTCACTAATTTCGTGTCACTTTCGAATTATATTCTTGTGTTGTGTCAAAAATTAAAACTCCTAAATCTTAGATGTTTTATGGTTATTTGATTTTTTTTCTATTTAACAATATTTTTCCTCATCATCCATTTATTTCTACCTCAATTTCTATTTCTCTGAAGTACAAATTAATTCCATATATAAAATCATAATAATTTTTAAAAATAAAATCATCCCATATTTTAGTTGAGTTTTAATAACTCTCATATATAGTAAATTTTATTTTCTCAAACTCTATATTATAGTGAATTTTGATCTTAATCATTTATATAATATGTTTGTTCTGCAAGTAATTATCTACCTTAAATGTACCTACTAAAAATACGAACTTGCATTTGAGTAGTTTGAAAATGGAAAAAAAAAAAAATTAATTATATATTTTTTATTTTTTTAAAAACTTTGAGTTTCCATCTAATATTTTAACTTTAAGATCCAAGTATTATTTGATCGACTCTACTTGTACTGGACCTAAAGATAGACCACAGGAAGCAACAAGCCAAAGTCTACTTCATAAGGAGGGTGAATCAAGCCCATAGTAAAATTCCAAATCTGTAGGAGGAGGGCCAGCCCATTTGAAGAGCCCAAGAAGCATTGGCATAATCCTCCAAATTCCAAAAGCCTATGTTCATACCATTTTCAACCACAATATTATCTAGAAACTTAATTTTATCAAACATCTGCGCCTATTTTTGAAAGCCGTCTTATCTCATATGTCAAAATGGCATACTTTTTTCTAATTGTGGGACTAATTTAGTATTTGGTCACGTAGCTTTTGTGCCCAATTACATATCATATATTGTCTCACAGGGTGTCAAAATATGACACGACCTATTGATACAATACGAAATTAAAGGGTTTGAGTCTTCCTTAAACTACTTGTTTGGTAAACAAGTGGACCCAACATGACATGATTAATAAACAAATTAGGTATGAGTGAAAGTCAAAATAACATACTTTTTTCTAATTGTGGGACTAGTTTAGTATTTAGTCACATAGCTTTTGTGCCCAATTAAGTATCATATACTGTCTCGTAGGGTGTCAAAAATATGACACGACCTATTAATACAATACGGAATTAAAAGGGTTTGAGTCTTCTTTAAACTACCTGTTTCGTAAATAAGTGGACCCAACACGACATGATTAATAAATAAATTGGGTAAGAGTGAAATCAATTAAAAAATTATACATAAAACATCATATTACACTTTTTGACTCAACAAAGGATCCAACACTTGCGTGGTAATGTACCGATTGTGAATTTAAACTCATATGATTTTTTTTTAAAATAAAATCGGTGTACTTGAGTTATTCAGATTAAATGAAATTTTTGAATCAATGATATGCTTTATAATATTTGAATTAGAGATTTTCAATTAAATTTGAATTTGAATCGGTCAAAATTAAATTCTCTGATGGCTCATGTCATACAACATACGTAAAAGAAGTTCACACACTTATATCTAATGCATGTTGTCGTGTTCATGTCACCTAATTTTGTTTGACTTTTAGAGTTTTTTAATGTAATTATAATTTATAAACAGAGTACATAATAGGTAAAAGAAGGTCACACACTTATACCTAATGCATGTTGTCGTGTTCATGTCACCTAATTTTGTTTGCCTTTTAGAGTTTTTGAATGTAATTATAATTTATAAACAGAGTTTTTTTTTAGGGGGGGGAGGGAGAGGGAGAGAGTGCGACTTCATATATATATATATCATCCTGTATTAAAAAGGGCAATGCTTTTTGGTGGCAAACTCATTGGCTAAAAAGATATTGTGGAGGTGGGTGAGAATGCGACCTTTGGGGCCATCGTGACATTCCTTGGGTACGCAGTTCAACACGAAACCACTCAGCTACTTTCGCTTTCCCCTCCCTCCCTCCATCCATCTTACACCAGACTAATTTGATACGCAAATACTAGTCACCTTTCGGGCAACAAAAAAAAATCTTAAAATATGGGTACATATTACATTCATGATCTTATAAATTGACGCACATAATTCATGAGTGATGATTGACGATCGAAATTTGTGTTGCTTCAACCAATTCAGGAGGTGAGATTCAAACGATTTCTTGATTCACAAAAAAAATAAAAAATAAATGAAAGTTGAGTTTAATTGTTACATATAGTTAGTTAGTTCATCATATATCTGTGATTTATGTTGTAACTATTGATTCAAAATAGGTGTGATTTGGTAAATTCCTAACTAAAAAATAAAATTAAACAAATAAATAGATTATATGAATAATGCAAGATTAGTCAACAAAATATCACGATATAAACGGGAGAAGACTATAGTAATGAACAAAGATTTTCGGTACCATACTCCCAAATTTTACAAGTTATGTGCATTAAGATATAAGTTTATTTGTGACAAAAAAAAATTAAAACTTTTGAAATTATATTACAACTTTTATAGTTTAAGTTATAACTTTTGTAGGTTATTTAGAATTGAACTTAAATATTTTAGGATCAATTACAAGTAAATGATCCTCAAATATTGTAAATAATTCTTAAAAATTATAAATAATATTTTAAAAATTATAAAAATAAATCATTGTAGAGGGGGCTAGAATTATCAAAAAGATAATGCGAAAAGATGAAATGCTTCCTAAGCCAAGTCATACATTAGCCAAGCCGAAAAACAAAAGAATAGATGATGCCGGTCATACGTCACCCACAGGCAACACCAAAGGTGGGTCCCACATTGTTCATGTAGTAGGTGAGTGGTGTCCTCTTATACAGCTGATGAGATTCTTGGCGGTAGGTGAAATCCTACCAGGCGTCTTCCACCACTACTCAGTCAAACGTTGACATCCCCATGCCACAAATTACCCACAAAAAAAAAAGTGTAATAACTACACAATTGTTACCAAAAATCTTACCCTTTTTTTTTTTTTTTCAAAATGGTTAGGGTGTGCAGACCAGTTATATGTATTTTGACTAATTTTTTTTTAATTCGATTAAAAATAGACTATTTATGTCGAAACATAATTTATTAATTTAATATATCATAATTATTAGATTAATTATAAATTCTAATAAATACTAAGACTTATTGTCAACCCAATGATTATATTCACATTCCTCAAAATAACTTCCGTGAATAAATCAATATCACGGGATTAAACTTGAAGAGAATTGTAAACTATAATCATTTGAATTCGATTCTTGTTGATGGCTTTCAAATTTAATCGATACTTATAATTGGTATGCGATGGTAAGTATTTGAAATTTAATTTGGAGGAGGAGTAGATGCATATTGACCCTACATTGGACGGCTATTTAAAAAAATAAAAAAAAAAGGTGCTACCCGAAGCTTATCTTCACCAACTACCAATATCTATGTTTAAAAAAGAACGTGCAAGTAGACAAATATTTATAATGTGCTTGGAAACATACACACATATGCATACCAAAAAGTGGGTGGAAATTGAGAAAATCCAATCTAAAAGCAACCATACTTGTGTGAGAAGAAATATTTTGAATTTACACCGCGCTTTAAATGATTAAGATGTTTTTAATTAAACAATATATCAATTAATAATTTTACAAATTATTTTTTAGTATAATATAAAAAAAATCACAAAAAATAAAAAATAAGATAAAATTATAACATAAATAGACTTATTTGTGTCATGCTCTTGTTGGACAAACAAAGAAGACAAAGTACTAAAGAATAACTTTTCGGTTGCACTTGCAGGCTTTATAATATGTGTCCTTTATTATGATTAATTTTATACATGTCATATATTTATTGGGTTGAGATATAAATTTATATATCACGTGTGTAAATCTTGACAACTCATTGAGTGAGATAGATTGTAAGAAATTTATTTCTTATGAATACTCTATCACAACATGAAAGATTTATCTTTAATCGGACAGAAGAAAAAATTGATCAGATTGAAACATACGTAAATTAGTCTAGATGCTCCCGTTGAACCCCAAAAACAAACACTTGTTCTTTATGAACTTTTGTTGGGTTTTCTGTGAGAATTTTGTATATAATTCAACTTGTGATTACAACTTTGTAATCCACGGTTGGATTCTCTCAATATCAATTTTTTTTTTCAAACTCAATCACCCACCATCAAATAGGTACACCTAACGATGGGTGATTTGGATCAAAAAAAAACAAAAAAGATGGGTGATTGACTTTGTCAAAACGTTTTAAGAAAGTTATTTCTACCGAGCGCAATGATTCTTCCCCTGGTCAAAATGTTTACAAGAAAATATTCAATACAATGTCCCAGTAATATCACAAATTAATAATATATGAATAAATAAAAAAATATATTCTATATAAATTAATAATTATCTTTCTAAGTTTCTATATAGTCAATAACTATTGATGTTTACTTTATCCATTTAATATTTTTATTATTATTAAGTAATATTACTTAACAATGTTAATATGGTATCATACCTATTTGACGTGGGCCTTTTAATTATATAGTATTCAATTTACATTTCAATTCTACCCCTACACAGTTTTAAAATCACAATCAACTCCATTTCACCAACCCCATCTACCAGTACCTACCTCTCTTTGTATATTACTTGCAACCAAACCTCAAACCCACCAGGGAAGGCCCCCCTAAACAACCATAACCAAACACTCACCTTTCCTTTGCCTTCCCTTTATCCGTCTCTCTCTCTCTCTCTCTCTCACACACACACACACACAGAGACACACACTCACAAGCCTAATGGAGAAGAAAGAAGATCAACAAGAATTCATTTTCCGATCAAAACTTCCAGATATCTACATCCCAAATCATCTACCATTGCACTCCTATTGCTTTGAAAACATATCCCAATTCAGCTCTCGTCCCTGCGTGATCAACGGATCCACCGGCGAAATATACAGCTACTCCGATGTTGAACTCACCGCTCGGAAAGTCGCCGCCGGCCTCAACAAAATCGGGATCCAACAAGGTGACGTCATCATGCTTTTACTCCAGAACTCGCCGGAATTCGTATTCGCCTTCCTCGGCGCCTCCTACCGTGGAGCCATATCCACGACGGCGAACCCGTTTTACACTCCGGCGGAGATTGCAAAACAGGGGAAAGCATCCAAAACCAAGCTTATAATCACACAAGCTTGTTATTTCGATAAAGTGAAGGATTTCGCGCGAGAAAACGGCGTCAAAGTCATGTGCACGGACTCTCCACCTGAAGGTTGTTGTCTACACTTCTCCGAGTTAACCCAATCCGACGAGAACGACATACCGGCGGTGAAGATCAACCCCCATGATGCCGTAGCGTTGCCATACTCATCAGGGACGACAGGTCTTCCGAAAGGTGTGATGTTAACTCACAAGGGTTTGGTGACCAGTGTAGCTCAACAAGTTGACGGAGAAAATCCTAATCTGTATTTTCATAGTGAAGATGTGATCATGTGTGTTTTGCCATTGTTTCACATATACTCTCTTAACTCGGTGCTTCTCTGTGCCCTCCGAGTCGGTGCATCGATTCTGATCATGCAGAAATTCGAGATCAATTCGTTATTGGAACTTGTCCAAAAATATAAAGTGACAATTGCACCGTTCGTCCCTCCGATCGTCCTGGCCATCGCAAAAAGTCCTGTCGTCGATAAATACGATCTTTCTTCAATCCGAACAGTCATGTCCGGTGCTGCTCCCATGGGGAAGGAGCTTGAAGATACAGTTAGGGCTAAGCTTCCTAATGCCAAACTTGGACAGGTATGTTTTTCTTTTCTTCATTAATTTTAGCAAGAATTTCATTATTAAATATATATCATATATACGGTAATAATATTTCAGTAAGAAGCTTATTTTTGTTGTTAATGATTATAGTTTTGATGGAAAGGAAATTAATGGGCCCCATTACATCATTATAGCACATAGGACAATAGCCACTGTATTCATGTCTCGTTGATGGAACGTATATGATAAGAATAAAATGTTTTCAGACAATATTTTATATAGGATTCTACTAATTTTGTGACAATTTATGGATGAATATGTGTATAATATTAGCCACGATTTATAGATGATTATTCGTATTTAATATTTATGTTGTAGATTATTTGTATATATTCTATGTTTACATTATAGTTTTGAGTCGGAAAAATTCTTGGTTGGGCTGATTTTTCGCTATAAAAATGTTATTGATATAATAAGTAAAAACCTGGATTTTTGTTCTCACTTTTGTTCAAAGAATTCACCACTTGCTTAATGTCTCCGATAAATTATTATTTTTTTTCAACGATTAAAAATATTTAAATTAATTTACGTGCATTTTAATTAATTTTTTTTTTATCGGATAAAAGGCAAGCCATGCAAGCCATTTACACTCATGGGCCATCCACGCTCATAACACAGTCCCTAGTTTCTTTAATGTGCCTCATCAATTATGGGTACTTTGGCGGAACTTAAAATAATGGTGCCCTCGTTCTCATAGCCGCACATGTTGTTGGAGTAAATATCGGGTGTAAAAGAGATATTACGTCATTAACGTCACGTGATATTATTAATTAATTAAAAAATAATAAATATAATTGGTGAATCCAATTATTTTAATATGACAGTTATTAAATATAATAGTTATTGATTATTATTATTAAAATAGCGTAGCTCACTACATCTATTTCATATTCTATTATCGGATGATGGCACGAGGTAATGTCATCGTTATATTCAATATTTTATTCATGTTGTTTAGGACTTGGAAGGTGTATTGGTTAATGGGTCCAACCGTCCCAGCAGCATGTGCCTGGGTCTAATTCTTTAAAATGGCTTCCGGTAATGTTGAAATTTAATTTGAATTGTTGATTTTAATTGGGATAATTTATAATTATTGATTGAAAAAATATAAAAAATAAATAAACTTCACATGTAACATATATTTTTTTTTAAGTTAAAAGTCGAGGTATAGTTTCGAAAAGTGATATGTCAAAGCGGATTCTTTGTTATTTTTCAAAATGACGTTTTTTAATTTAATAAAGTGATATCATTTTAATGTGAAAAGACATTGTTTTAAGGACCAATACCCTTACTTTTAAAAAACTAACTGCAAAAAATCTGAATTCGATCTATATTATCTACTCCTATACTAAAAAGCTGTTTTACTAAAAGTTATACTTTATTACCAGAGTCTTATCCTCATAAAAAAAATTAATTAAGTGGATTCAAAGATGTGATTTGTGCGTGTTTTGAATTTATAATTATAGTTATGAATTCAAAAAACTCGTGATTAGTATGATATTCAATTGGACTAACTAGAAATTAAATTCATGGCACATCAGGGTTATGGGATGACAGAGGCAGGACCAGTGCTGTCAATGTGCTTGGCATTTGCCAAAGAACCCTTCGAGATAAAATCAGGATCATGTGGGACTGTCGTTAGAAATGCTGAGATGAAGATTGTCGATCCCGACACTGGCGCTTCTCTTCCCCGGAATCAAGCCGGAGAAATTTGCATCAGAGGCAACCAGATCATGAAAGGTACACACTACACACACCTCATTCTTTTACTTCATATACTTTTTCTTAAGAACTTTTCATTTTAGTTGTCTAAAGCAACGGCAAAACTTAAAACACACAACTTTAGTAATATAACACAACAATTAAAATGAAAATTTGCAGCACTTGAAATTATAGTATATGTCAAAATCTATTATAGGAAGGGATATAAGACATACAAAACTCACCGCTAATTAAAAAAAAAAAGAATAACAAAACGAGACATTTTTGTTCTTCAAGTAAATTTTAGGTATGTATATTTCATTATATATTGTAGTTATATTGGTCTAAAAATGGCTCCCCGATGTTTAGTAGGAATTTTTGTAAGTTATTTGGGGTGACTATATATGTGAATTTCTCCACCAATACCCGGCGACCTATCATTGAGAATTCTCAATCTAGAGGAATGGTTATTATATTTTAGGTTTGAAGGATTAAGCAAAAAATCTTGAGATTATATTCAAAGTCATAACCTCGCTACTCAAGTGCATGATCACAAGTTAAGAATCTTTCTAATTATTTTATAATTGGAGAGAAGCGGGTGCCCATTAATTAGTTCATTGAATTGGGTGTAGAGGTAGGAGTTCTTCAATTAAACATCGACTTTGGTTTTGATGTGTCACCATGCCAACCTGATTAGGTAAAATTATTAAGTGCTGCGGGGGCCTTTAATTTGTTTTTTTTAAAAGAGTTGATTTTTAAACTCAAATCGTGAAGAGAGAGATATAAGTTGTAAATAATCTTATTCTATTTTAAGGGTTGATTCCCAAATGTGAACCATAGACATGTTGTTGTTAGTGCAAATGAGTAGTTACTTTGGACTAAATTTTTGATTCTTAGTTTTAAATTTGACTATCTCATAGGAGAATGACCTCTTTCACATAATTGAAACAAAATCTCGTAAAATTTTAGATTATAAACCTAATTGACTGACCGATTATTTTATGTCCAACCTTTATCAAACAGGTTACCTTAATGACCCGGAGGCCACGGAAAGAACAATAGACAAAGAGGGGTGGTTGCACACAGGTGACATTGGGTACATTGACGACGATGATGAGCTCTTTATTGTTGATCGATTGAAGGAATTGATCAAGTACAAAGGCTTCCAAGTTGCCCCAGCTGAGCTAGAAGCCATGTTAATTGCTCATCCCAACATTTCTGATGCAGCCGTTGTACCGTAAGTTCTTGCCCTAGTCTTTTTTTGTTAAAAGCCGATGACTGCAGATACCCGATAACTCCCAACTACCGAAAACATTCAAAAAGAGTTTTATTTTATTTGCAGCATGAAGAATGAGGCTGCAGGAGAGGTACCAGTCGCTTTCGTGGTGAGGGCAAATGGCTCCAAAATCACCGAGGATGATATCAAGCAGTACATCTCAAAACAGGTAATTTTTTAACTCAAAACCATAAAATTTTTTTAGACTATATATTATGCTAACATGCATTCACGGTTTAATATTACGTATTGAAGTTCGGGAATCAATCCTTTCAAAAATAGAAATAAATTTAATTACCAAGTATTTTTTTTCCTACTTTTTGGTAGACCCTCATCCAAATTTGATCGATGGTGCCAGTTAACCTAACGTACATACCCAAAATTGTTTTTCTGGGTTTTGCATGTTTGGTTTGACTTTAATGCCTAAGAATGTTTGGTGAGATGGAAAATTTCATAAAAAAGACAGCATAGTTAATAGGTCTACTACAATTGGCCCCACCCCTAGAGTCCAGGACCAATTTTGAACATGTTTTGTTCTAACTTGTGCTAATGACAAAAAACATGATCTAAGAGAATAAAATCACGGGAGTAGTCGATGCAAACTTGAACAATTTATAGTGAAAAAATGAGAACAAAATCATGGAAAACCTCAAATTTTGTTATTCTATTTGGCATTTTCTTTCTCTATTAATTTATTTTTCTGCTTTTCCTTTTTTAAAGACATGGAAAAATTATGAGTTATATTTTAATTCAAAATATTGGGAAGAGGTTAGTTAGCCAGTTGACAAAACTGAGAATTTGTTTGATTTGATTTTTTACATTGGATTGTAACATTCAAAGTATAACTAATAATTGTCGAGGCTCGTACCATTGAAAAGTAGGTAATCTAAAATGAAATTCGTTGAAAGACTTTAATACGGGAATAAATAATAATTTGGTTTACCAACCTTCGATAGCATGGTGATTATTAAAATTTGGTTAAGTAATTTAGTGTCGATGAGCCGTGGTTCTGATGATGGTGGTTGTTTGGCAGGTGGTTTTCTACAAGAGAATCAATCGAGTCTTCTTTACAGACTCAATTCCTAAAGCTCCATCAGGTAAAATCCTCAGAAAAGACCTAAGAGCAAACCTCGCGGCTGGCTTCCCCAATTAGTCCTCTTGAGACAGGTCCACATACAAGGCAAGTTTTCACACTAGAGGGCACAAGGTGGTTGGTTATACCGTAAAGATGAGGGGGAGAAAATGTAATTTGATTTATTACTCTTTGGTGATTCTCCTGTCCTTTGTATTGCATTAGCATTTGTGTTGCTCGTTGGAAAGAAAGAGTGTTGAGGTCTTTAATGAGATTTGCTATTGTTTATGTATATGTTGTTGTATTATGGACAATTCAATATGCTGTAAGGCTGTTTGGGGTTTGACCTCTGAGACAACGTTGTTTTCTCTTTTGTGTTTGTAAGTCTAAAGTTGTAATATTATTTAATTTTATTTGATTGGAGCATGCTCAACCTCAATATTATTTTAGTTTTCTTTGTCTTTTTTCGTACCAAGTTTTGCATGCACCTTTGAGAGCGTCTTCAGAATTCTGTAAATTTCGATCAAGTTGCATCTTTAACCTTATTTGATCTTTACTTTTTCTGGGTTCCTCAGAATTCCACCGACCTATAAACTTCTTATTGGCGATTGATTAATATTTTATTCTTCTGCTATTCTCTCTGCTTGTTCTATGCATAGGACATTTTTTCATTCAGTTAGTGTCATATTTGGCTCTCTGCTTTAACTTATATAAACAGAAAGTAAAAATTTTTAGTCGTTCACTTTCCATAATAAAGGATTGCCCTTTTGGAGTTTCTCTAGAGATGGCCTAAATTGATAAGTACTATTTTTCTTGTTTTTTTCATTTGTAGTTCTGGCCGAAGGATTTGACAAAAGGCATTAGGTCCAAACCGATCACAACCGCAACCTTGCATTATTAAATGGGTTGGCCCATATGTCAAAAACATTATGGGCCTCCTTCTATTAGACAACTTACTTTAGGTCCAAACTGAGCACAGCCCAAACTTTTCATGCTGGAAATGGGTTTGCCCATATTTAAGAAGCACATCCATCCATCCATATCCACTGCCCTTTCGGACTCTCCTTGAAGCTCTGATGAGCGATTTGCATCGATGTTGAGTGAGTAGTTAATCAAAAAATAATAATAAAAAACGAATTGGGTGGACTCTTCAAAAGCATATGTGTTGTGTTGCATGAAATATTTATATTTGATACACTGCGTATAATAATTTTTCAGGAAGACAGATATATATATATATATATATATATATGTTGTACCCAAGTTCATGTAATATACAGTCAATAAATGTCCATGAAATATAGGAGCAAAAAACCTATCAAATTCTTTTTGGAACAAACTATCACGTTAAGTTATTACAGAAACCATGTTTGAAAATTGCTAAAAAAAATTATCATTTTTTGAGAACCTATAGAATAAAATTGGAAGTTCTTCGACCGTGTAAATCCTTACGACTTATCTTATGACTTATTATTTAACCTTTTAACACTGTAAATCTGTTTATTGATATGTCATCTTTTTTATCACATTAATGCCTACCCTTTAACCATATAAAACATTTTAACTACAATTTTTTTTAACCATAGTGAATGTTTTAGCTATACTTTTCTTTTAAGCACAATACATATTTCTAATCACGATAAGATAAAAAGTTGAAAAAGGTAATGCCGTTTTATAAAAAAAAATATGTAATTTTACATAGGGACCATCGTAGTAGCTTCTCAATTGACAAAACAGTCTGGCAAGTTGTTGTGGTCCTTTGCAAACTGAACTTTTTTCTTTCTAGAAATGGCGAGTTTAAACACATTATCCAATCTTAAATGTTTGTTTTTTGACATGGTTTTTTACTAAAACAAGATGCAATGGGAGATTTGAGGCTACTCAATAATGTTGGGGTCGAAACCGATCGACAATTATTGATCAAATTGAATTGTGTCATGTTTGAATCATATACATCCGGATGCATTTCATGTTTAGATTGTATTATTTCCATGTAACTCATGAATCAAAACTCGAATGAATATATCTTTTTTCTTCCTCAATGAAATCCAACATAGAGGTCTATTCTATCCTATTCTATCACTGCAAACTGAATAAATAATCATTCAAATAATTCATACATGACTAGATTAAGAAATGAAAAAGTATAAAAAAAAACATAAATCTTTTCATATTGTACCAATACAATTGATTCATCGTGCCAAAATTAAAGTTGACAATAATTTAATCCATGTATTATATTATCTGATCAATTATATCATTTTTGGACGGCAAAAAAATTGCCACTACTAGTTGAGGTCACACACTTTTTTTTTCTCTCTTGTAGAAACCACACACCCCTAGAGATAAGGATATGCCACATTCAAAATGGTTTGTATGTTGACATCCATATACAAACCCTCTAAAGCATAAAGGGATTGGAAAATGATACCTTTCATTGCACATGAACACGAGGGATAGAGAGAGGGCAACTCTCTCATCTCTCTCTCCCCCCACGCACACTTTTGAAGGACTAGAATGGTGACACGTCAGCTTCCAATAGCCGACGTGTCAATTTATAGGGTCAACTTGTGTTGCTCTATTGTCTGCCACCTATCATAACACTCCACTTTGCTTTGCTTTTCTCAAGCAAGTGACCTTTTTACTTGGCATGTTCTTTGCCCGCATCTTACTCTTTACACACTTGGTTCTGAGAAACTTTATAAGTGACCCCCACATTTTCCACTTTTATAACCCATCAACAGGCCCAACCTCTCGAACTACGAGAAGTCTTTCCATTGGATAAGGATACGGTATCGACTTTGGTATCTATCTTTCATTCGTCTTTTTCAGTTTATAATTTAGAAAAACATAACAACAATTCAAATTATTTAGATCTAACAAACTATTTTAATCGTTTAACTACAATACTTTTTTCTGTTTATATTTAACCTTTTAATCATAAAAATAGTTTTACTAATTAGATATATTTTAACCACAATAAATATTTTAACCATTCACTTCCATTGCAACTAAATTAAAATAAAATAAAAAACGTGCTTTGCACATGTTCACCCTAATTTTTTTATATTCAAGAAAGTCCCAAAAACAAGTTATATAACCCACACACCCCTAATCACCTCACGCCAAGTATTGGATATTCTCCGTCCTTTTCCCTTAGAGAGTCATCTGGTGTTCTCCAATGATTTTAAGATTAGCAGAGGGTAAATTGGTCAGATTTGTCAAGGATTTGAGTAAAATCTAGCAACAGAGGGTAAATTGCATACATTTGAAGCTTTCCAAATTCAACGGTGTCGAAAAACTCGCTTATTCGATTGAAGTACAATTAAGATGATAATAAAAATTGTTATTTTTATGTGTCAATAATTGTGGAGAGCCATTTCACTTGTCTGATTAGAGGTACTACTAAGACTAATGAGTCGCCAACAAGAAGAATTTGGCTGCCACCATTGTACTGAAAAGCTGATTGATGTAATTCAAATACAAAGTATCAGTGCATTCCTGTTTTAGTGATGTCTACGGCCTCATAATACAAGAATTATTTGAGTTTTGATGATGCCGCCAATAGAGTTTCATTGGCAACATAAAATTTGAGATTAATTGTACGTGGTTTGCGAACAATTGCGTGTACTCGTAATTTGTGTTATACTTATGACTTACAACGCGTAGTTTTGTCTAAGGCATGTCAATGGATTGAGTCATGTTATGTTCTTTTCATGTCAAATATTATTTAACACATACCTAACTCATTTATATTCGTTTGTGTTTTATAGGGTTTTGTCTGTTTAACCAGGTTTGTGTCGATCTATTTATTTGATAAGTTTAATGGGTCTATCCATTTATCAACAAAATTCATTAAAATTCAACCCAAATCCATTAACCCTATATAAATTTTGTTTTAGATTCACAAATCTTCTATAAAATTGACTGGCCTAGTTTAAACAATTTCCCGTTAACAAAAAAAAAAAAAGAGTACATATATATGGCTTCTCTCAATGATGAAGAGCAAGGCCCATTCCATAAAATTTTGGGAGCCAGAGAATATTTATCCCAGCAGTTGATAACATATACTTGGAGCCAAACAAACTAAATGGTCCAAAAATTTAAACAGAAAAAGTGCAGAATGTGGGTGACCAAAAGTGCGTTCATGGGGTCCCTACCCTTAAACTGATTACAGCAAAACAACACAAAAGAAGGAACATGAAAAGAACATACGAACCATAGCTTCAACATCACAGAGCACACGTAGCCACTTCAAAGAGATTAGGTATGATATCCTTTTGAACTTATACTCCTTACTACAACCATATATCCGTTCAGAAAATACAAACCCTTCAAAATGTGTGTGTGTGTGTGAGAGAGAGAGAGAGAGAGAGAGAGAGAGAAGCTGTGCACTCCAAATATGTACACCAAATATTAAAATATCAAATAATGTGGCAAAATACTTCGGTCAATGTAATAAGGCTCATTAATCAACCACTTACATACATTGATTTGATATACAATCTGACAAATACATCAGTCAATGTAACAATATTTTGATAAATAAGCGTTTCACCAAGACGCTAATCTGTAAATATTCTACATGTGTGTATATCTATAGGGGCTAGGACCTCAAATTTATCTCATTGTGTTGAGAGGGGCGACTGTGCATGAGGTTGAATAATTAGTATGGTGTGTGAATAGAAAAAAGTAGAGAGAGAGAGAGAGAGAGAGAGAGAGAGAGAGAGAGAGAGATGGATATGGATGAAGCAGCAGTAGTAGAAGGATGAATGGTCGATGAAACATGCTGATGAGTGGCGCACAGTAATAGTCATTATCCACGTGTAGGCAGAAATAAGAACCTTCAGTCGTCACTCTGAGCCCTTCCCATGACCCCATAAATGTTTATAAAATCCGACAAAACACAAACATGTCCACTACCATTCCCACCTCTCAGTTTCCTCTTCGGAAATCACATCTATCTTTGTATGCCCAACCAGATATGCTCTCTCCACCCTTCTTCACTGTTCCTACCTAAACGCTGCCATATTCCCATGTGAGTCTCTCTCTCTCTCTCTCTCTCTCAGTATAACAAATAGACTACCTTTATTTCCTTAAATTTGAAAAGGGTACTGGCATTTATAAACTGTATAAATGTTAGTGGTTTATATGATATCAGAACGTTTGAATCTTATAGTCATCTTGATAATAAAAAAATTGTACGTGCTTGACCTAAATCTAGTCTGCACATGAGACAACATGTTCAAGCATATAAATATTTATGTAACACATCTTTTATAAGAGTTTAAAACATAAAGTTTTTTTATGCATACTGGGTTGTAGTTCATGTTCTGTGGATTTGTTAAACTACCAGGAGACAATTAAAAGAAAATAAGGAACCAATGTTCTTTCTTGGATCTTATGACTAAGTATATATTTCATATTTTCGCTGTTTATGTTGTGTCTGTAAATAACAGACAGGGCTCACCGCAATTATAGCCGACCTGCAAGATTAAGATTCATGTAATATTATTGCTATGCACAATGCAGGAAGCCCATTCTCTAGTATCTGTTATTATAGTTCTCTTGCAGATCATATAGTGGATTTGATCTCTCTGTTTTTTTACAGTTGTCAAACATGCCCATGTGCTTGGCTTTGTCATCTTCATTACTTGGGGATTAACTAATGTAAAACATTTTAAACACCCCCCACCCCCCAGCACACAGAGAGAGGGAGGGGGAGAGAGAGCACTCAACCCTTGGGGCATGGATAAGACTATTATAATTTCCTTTTTGTCCTATACTAAGAAAGGATTTTAAATCATAGATGTTATTCTGAATTATTTATAGTTTTCAATTGTAAAAATAGTAACATAAAGTAAGAAAAAAAGAATAACAAAATTTAAATCACTTATACATTGGATGAAAAAAAGAAATATGGTACTGGAAAAAACTCTGGATACTGAAGCTGGTGGCAAATAAATGTTTGGAGCCACCATGCAGCAGTACTGCAAACTCTATTTATATTACCTACACTACCCAAAATTTCTGAAGAAATTTTTTTATGATGGTGTGTGTCCACTGTACTATGTGGTATACGAGGACAGTTATGATGTCTACACAAGTGCTTTTAGTCTACAAGAACCAGATTGATTTTAACCTAAAAAATGCCTATGCACATGAGAAGGCGTACAATGTTCAACCTCACATAATATAAATAGAGGTCCATAGCATTGTTCTTAGTTTTTAGGTATCAATTAGATCTAATGTCTCTGTTGAATCTGAACATTCGGATATGACACTTAGGTGGAAGGAGCTATCCTAGTACGGTTGTGAAGATGAATGGTATGAAATCATTTTAGTGGACTCAACTGCGACTTCGAAAAAATTATTTTTCAATATCAAATTTCTCTTACTTTTGAAAGAATGTGATAGTGGCAACATTTTATTTTATTTTATTATTTTTCAATCAACTGCTTTGCAATTTTTGTTGATTTTATTAGTTTTTCCTACGTTTCCTGTTTTTCTAAAGTAAAAAATCGGTGGCTAGAAATCATTTTTGATCTGAAAAATCAATTTACACCTTATCCCATTTTGAAGGGTCTGCACCACAAAAAAATTAAGTTGCTGGTTCATTGCATCAAGGTACAAGTCGAGGACAGATTGGAAAAAGATCCATTATTATATTGCATGTTTCGTCTAGTCAAGATGGTTTATCCCTATGACAATCTTGTGCTTTAATTAGAATAATAAGTGCAATATCTCAACCCCTATAATAGCCCTACTTCTCCTATGTGATAAAGAAAGATTACTCCAAAGCAAAGTGTGATTGGACCTATGATTAGATGGCAAAACTATATAGATTCAAGACACAATATGGGGAGACAAGTGAGGAAAAAAGAAAGATAATGGCGGGGACTCATCCTAAAAAATTAAGGAAATAACAAGAGATTTTTTCATGGACAGACACTGGGCTCGAATTCTACCATTAATGTAGGCGACACACCTTTGATTCCCCACTGATTTTTGCAGGTATATGTCTCTCTCTCTCCTCCTAAGCCATCTTTTTTCTCACTTCATTTTTATTCGTGGTAGCAGGACCAGTAAATTTTAGCAGTTAGCACCCCATCTATTGAAGCACAAACCACCCTCTCTTCACACTTTATGTGTAGTCTCATCACTCTCTCTCTCTCTCTCTCTCACTCTCACTATTTAACCTCCTGTCCCCTACCTAGCTCTTCAAATAAGTCCATTTCTCAACTCATTTGCAATAAACCTCTCTCTCTCTCTCTCCCCCCTCCAATTCTGTTGTTAGAGACTTTACACCAACAAAACTGCTGGGGCAACTCTTTGTTCTTCTTCCTTTAGCAATGAGTTTTGAGCCAAACACCTCTCTCAATCTGAATTATTTTCCAAACAATGAGTCCAATCTAAACCTTGTACTCGACCCCTCATCATCTTCTTCGTCATCATCTCCCCGTAGTCTTGCCGAACCACGAGTGTTCTCCTGTAACTATTGCCGGAGGAAGTTTTACAGTTCACAAGCACTTGGAGGACATCAAAACGCTCACAAGCTCGAAAGAACCTTAGCAAAGAAGAGCAGAGAGCTGAGCTCAGCTGTGAGACCTCATGCAGGGTGGAACCAGCCCTCTGCGCCTGGTTCAAATGGCTTGAGCCATGCTCGGCTTGAGCAGCCACCGGGCATCGGACTTGAACATCGTGGGCATGCTGGAAGGTTTACGAGTGATCTGATTTATGGAAGGAGAGATTTGAATTATGGTTCCAGAGAAGATGGTCATTGGGTTGATGGTTACAAGCCTGAGAGTGTTCAAGAGGAGTTCAGCCAGCTTGACTTGTCCCTTAGGCTTTGAGTCACATTACAGCTTGAAATGTAATTTCATTTTCCTTTTTTGTTTTTGGGGTTAACTATGAATGAGTTCTATGCGCTAAGAGTATTTGAATTAAAATTGAAGAGGCGCTTTACACATAATTATGTTAATAAATTAGATTAATTTTGTAAGTTCCAATAGAATTACTCATGTATTTGAGTACAATAAGCTACACATCCTATACTCTTATCTCGTGTGCGGGAAAAAAAAGGCTTATGTGGATGTATTTATATCATGTTGGCATTTTGAATAGATTTGAAGCCTAAAAAACACAAAAACAAACGGGAATCCCTATCAATATCAAATGAAAAATATATAATTAGAGTTTTCTCTTTTTTTTTAATAGATCTATCTGACTTGCTACGGTATAATACAATACGTGACGATAGAATACAAAGGAATAGATGGAAGAATATTGCCTGAGTCCAAAAGAGATGATTCACTTGTCCCTTTGTCGAATAATATCAGTTCAAAATGGAAAAAGAAAAATTTGATGATAATTAATGGTTGCTGACTTGCATTCACTAAAGCATGTTTGGTATATAATGTTCTCATGATAGTGCCATGTAGTCAACTAAAGTTGTCTGCTTTTGTTATACAGTTTTCTCCACACAGATTTGGAAGGAAACAAGAGCTTTTACAAAAAGTGTCCAACTCAGTTCTAATTAATTCATTATTTCCACAATACATGATAGATATAAAGATGGTTGGAATCTTATATAAAATCAAATACATATATTTATCTTTTATTGATGCTGGGTAGCGTAAATAAATTAACTAGATTATACAATAGAAGTTATAATTTATTGATTATCGCAATAATACTAGATTAAAATTTTCAAAAGTCTTGTTAATTTCGCAGAATATCAACACAATTGGGAAGAAAAGATAACTCATCTCTAACTTTTTATTCAAATCAAAACCAGAACTCCTGACTTAGTTTAAAAGGGCATATAAATACGAAACTTTAATAGTTCTAAATTACTAGAAAAACAAAGTAAATAAATAATATTATGAAAATAACCCAAATAACGGGATAAAATAGAAAAATACCTAAAAAGTGTTATAAACGTTATTTTTTGGCTTAAAAATGACGAGTTGAAAAGCCTTCAATCTTATTCAGATTGTCGAGAGCTTTCCGGAATAAGTTCTTCTGAAATTTTTAGACACTATCACTCATAATCAATCCTAATTTCGACGGTCTTGATCTGCTATGTAATTTTCTGTTATACGCGCTTAATCATTTAGCGACACATTTTACTAAATAAAGCCCTAATCATTTAGGACAAACTCTTGGTGAAGTATTTGGTGAGCACTTGGTGAATAATTGGATCAACAACACTCCTTTCACAGACAACCGTGAGCAATATCATCAATCAAAGGGACATCCGAAGAATGTTGTTGATGTTTTTGAGCTATAGTAACTAGTTTAGAACCAAACAAAGAAACTTTCACAGACAACCGTGATTGCGACAAAATGACGACAGAAAATTTTCATCGCTAAATGGTTTTTTGTCTCTCTTTTATTTTTTTTTTTGCGTCGAAACGTATACCTCTTCTAGTTATATACGCATTAACTAGAAGACAACCAAATAGGAGACAAACACCATCATGGTCCCCAGATATCAGTCGATACGTTCAAGACATTGTTTTTGTGTGGTCTTCAGAGGGATGCTTTGGCCTATCAACTATTTATCCCTTTGGGTCTTCATTTCCCATGTCACAATATTTCTTTGACCCAAATCATGCCAAATGGTAATTTAAAAAAAAGAAAAAAAAAGGAATGGATAATGTTTAAGAATGAACAAAATAATAAGAAAAATCAAATTCTAATACAAAAATTAACTTGCCACTTGTATATATGTATATATGTAAATGCACTTAGCTGATTCCTTCTTTGTAAAAAACTAGAATAGCACCCTCACTCTCACCTGAAAAACACCCACCCACAATATCTGTTAGACAAGAGCCCAATAGCTAGTCTTAATGGTTGTTTATTAGTTGTTTCGAAGTTCCTATTTTCTTGTAATGGTGTTTAAAAAATCCACACGGATTGTTTAAGTGATCAAATAAAATGCAAAACATAAATTCACATATATTGAGTTCAAATCTATTAGTTGTAGAAGATTCGAGATAAAACAACGCACATGATTAGAAGGTGATCGTGTTTATTTAAGCATGGTTTGTGTTGTATGTATAAATCTAAAAGATATGTGATTGTATAACAATCTCCATTGCAACATGTGTGAATTAATGAGCCCTTTCTCTTTCTTTGTCTCCCCCAACAAGCAACTTAAACCATAAGTAACTAACATTGAAGCCAAACTGATAATGACTACGGAGCTGTATAGGCCAGATGCACTGTTATGGTACTTGACAACGCAAGTAAAGTTGACCAAGTGCCAGGCGGCTGCGACTCGGACAGATTGGAACCAAGTTCAAAAATACTTAACCTAACCCAATGTTGCCGAAGTTCTTTGACCTAATACTGATTGCCAAAGTTTTTTGACCTCATCTTCATTAAGAGCAGAATACTGAAACGTAATGCTAAAAACGAATTTCTAACCTCGATAGACACAGCTGAGACAAAGAGCATCTTTCTATAGCAATTGTTTTCTTTCTGACTTTCTAGACTAGTTCTTTTTGAATGAGGCCCTAAAGCTATCTTTTTACAAACGAGACAAGTATGTACCCAAACCTTCCGAAGTTCAAAGCTATTCGATTGATACAACAATTAGATTGTATTAGATTGAAAATAGTTCAAAATTTCATTAAAATAAAAGATGTTTCATATTTTGCCACCGAAAATGAGACGATGTTTGTTCCGTAAGCTTGGTTAAGTTATCTAATTGACTTGCGTGAATTAGCTCAAGCAAACAATATTTCTCCATTTCTTGTGCTTCCCATGTGCATCTAGCTAGCATTATCAAATCGATTTGAATACATCACTTCTTTAAAACATTATTATGAATTATCCCACGCGTGTAATTTATGAATGATTAGACATTTCAGAATTTGATAGGAAAGTGCAAGATTCCTCCTCAACCAAAGGCTTTGTCACTATTTACTCCAAATGACTTTTAATGAAGACTTCTTGATAACTCTTGTTATCCATTTATTTAATAGCACTTAGCACAATCAATTTTGCTTGGAAAATAATGGTAAAAAGAGAAAGTGCTTCCAAAATGTATACAATCAATCTTTTACAAGTTAAAATATCCAAGACGTTTCTTAGGACGATGTGAACTCTCCCATCACTATTCATATTAATCAAATCTTTGTGATAAACCCAATAAATGAGTGAATTTGAACAATTAGATTAAGACATAAGCTAATCGTAAGTTTTTTTAATGTTCGAGAACAATCACCACCACCACAAGTCCTTTTTGAATCATTTTGAATGGATGACACTACTCACAAATTATGCACATTGAATTGATTAAAGTGATTCTAACTTGTTAAAGTTAATACTTTGTTGTGTTATTTTGTATTTGGGCTAAAAAATGTTATGTTTGTTTGGGTTTGTCGTATTTAATTAAGCCCAATGATAGAAAATTCTAGGATTATTTAGATATGTCTAGATAAAACTTGTAAGAATCTGTTCTACAATATATGAAGTGTCTATATTTAGGTGTGTCTAGATAAAGTTTGTTATAGACTTTTTTACAATATATATAATGTTTATATAAAGTTTTTAATAGATTTTTCTAATAGATATGAAATGAAAAAAATATATAGTTCCAGAATTTTTTATGTATTCCCTGTTTGTCTCTTGTTTATTTCTTTAGTTCAAGCCTAATTTAAGGCCAACATAATCGAACTCTTCAAACCAGAGATATTAATCATTGAAATATCATCCAAACTGTATTTATGAGTTCAGTTAACTAAAAATTTTCTTTTAATCGTGAAACTTCATCATGGAACCAGCACCTATTTTCATTAGGGTGATGACTTTTAATCAAGGCTTCTTGATTACCTATTTGCTAGGACTCACCACAATCAATTTTGCTTTGAAAAATATTGGAAGAAAATAGTGATTTCAAAATCGTACAATCAATCTTTTCCAAGCTAAAATGTCCAAGACGTTTTTTAGAATGAAGTGAACTCTCCACTCCATCGATCACTATCTATATTGAGCAAATCATTTGATAAAACCTGTGAGATAATGTCTCACTTTGCATTATGCCCACCTTACCATGATTGTTCTTGTGATTTGATGCTTTGAACCAAAGTTAAAGGGAAAATTATCTCAAGTAGTAATAGGGATGAACCGTAAGCTTAAGTGTCTTGAGTTTGAATCTTAACAATCTTTTGGGATCAGTCCATGAGAAATTTATTCGCATAAAAACTCTAATATTGGCATGGATGACCTAATCAAGTCATGAGAAATTTATTTCTCATGAATACCTTAATTTCAGTGTGAATGAATTATTTTTAATCAAATCCTGAATGAGATTAGTTGAGGTGACACCTCAACATTCAACCAACATAAAAATAGGGAAAAATAGAGCCAGTTTGGTGACATATCAATTAATCAAGCAATTCTATACGCTATGAACACCAAGGGGCCCAATCTCATTTTAACTGGTGTGTTATCCAATAATGTTTCAGGTCTACTATAAAAGCAATGTTTGCACTCTGCAAAATTAGAGACTATGAAAATTGTTATTTCGATTTAAATTTAATTAAAACAATTAGATTGAAAGTTAGTTTTATCTAACATTAAAATTGATAATTAATTTAATGACGGTTTTGAATTATGTCCCAGAGAAACATTAAGAATCTCTCTGCAATAGCAAAATGTACTTTTTTGGTACCTGTACTTAAACATCTCTCATGTACAATTTTTTTTTATTTTATTAAATTTCATCACTTTATATTTTCAATTAATAATTGTAGATCATCCAATCAAAAATTATCTGTAATCCTTCACTAGCGTACTGTTTTTTTGGTCAAAAAATCAAAATTTGCATTAATAGTAAACTTTGAGATACACACTACAAGCCTTAGCCAACACCAGCACTTTCCTCCTCTCTAAGAACACTCCTCAGACATAATGGGAGGTGAGTCACCCAATGAGGGGAAAGGTTACCTCTTCTAGCCAAACCTGCTAGTGTATGAGCCACCTTGTTCTGGTTCCTCTTGATTATCTAGAAATTGACTTGGGGAATCTGCTTTGCATAATATTCTCAAACATATCAAAGCACCCAAACCCTTCCTTGTTTATACTAGCATACCTAAACCCCCAAATCCATCCTGGCTCAAATACATCACTATGCTATTTATATAGGTTCCAATTATAACTCTAAACTTCTCATTAACATCCACTACCTCCACTACTCTCTTTTAACCATTAAAACATCAAGATACCATTTTCGCGATCTGTTTTACCATAATACTAATGTCATCATCAGGGGAACTGTAACTGTTGTGATTATCTAGAAGGGGCAAAAACATCATCTGGTCATTTCCCATGGAGTCATCTATGGTTGAACCTTGAATGTCACATGAAAACCCAGTAGTTTGCTTGCACAAGTCCAATCCGCCTCGTCCATTGGACGTCTCCAAACTTTTCTCCTCACGGTGTCCTAAATCAGAATAGGAAGTAAGAATCAGTACTAGGAACAACAAAAGTGTTGCAAGAATATTGGATTCTTCTTTTGACTTCATGACAATGGGCTTTGAGCTAATTACAAAACGCAAAACAGAAATGCAAACTGATGAATGTTGTTTATGGGTGATTGAGTGCATCCGAGGTGTATGTTGCAGCCATGAGTTTAAAGGACGCGTGGTTGGGAGAAAAATAAAAGCCAAAGCAAGGCATGGCCTAGACAGATAGTTCCCCAAGTAGAAACTACAGCCTTGGAACAGAGGGATTTCACTTGTATTGAAACGGGGTATCTTCGCATCAGTTATACAGTCCGTTTGACCTATGACCCTAAATTTTGTTATTTCCATTGAAAACTAAGTAAGAATTCTGTACATGAAATTCACAGAAATCAGGAAAATACCATCCAAGCCCCACTAGCAATATTATGTGAATGGCTGCCCCGTTTGAACTATTGATAAGGAGATGTTGGGTTGTATGGAGAAAAGGATAAAGTGAAATAATAATTCAAATACAAGAACAAAAGAGGCTTGAATGATACTGCAAAAATTCAAAAGCCAAACACATAAGAATTAATTACCAGGTGAGGAGGCTTGCAGTGGCCCAACTAGAGAATCTGCAGGCTGAGAAATTGGAAGCATTTCTGTTGTAGCATCTCCAAGCATTTGGTAGTCAATACCGATAAGGTTGAAGGCAGCCGGAGGACAACAATATGCCTCAAAGACAACTTCAGCGAACTACTTGGACCAGGTTGGTCAATGGCAAAACTTGGAAAACAATTTTGACAAGGTTGGCTCACGGCGGAACTTGGAGGACTACTACTTGGACCAGATTGGCTAGCTTCAAACTTTGACATATGAGAAGACATTTCCGAGTGATTAGCCATCTGTCTTCTTTGACTAATTTCTTGGAACTTCATCCCGTTGGATTCAGGCTGAGGATGAGGATTTGCTAAGCATATTGGACTTTGGGGGACATTACCAAGCACAGAAATTGGCATGGTTGGCGGTGTTTGATATGACATTGGGGAAGGTAGGAAATTTTGTTCGGGGCATAAGGTCTTGCTGGCTGCGTGACTGGATCCAGGATCTCAGATTCATGAGAGGAGTGCTGAATGTTTTAGATTTTGACAAAAAGTGATCGCTGAATGACATCATCCCAACATCAGCATGGTCATGTTCACCAGAACCATAGTTATTTATCACAGGAAGTCCTTGTGTATCAGAAAGTGCAATACTTGAACCATTATGCAAATGTCCAAATGTTCTGTTTGTACCCGTATTCTTATCTCTCTCTTGGCTTCTTCGAGCTTGTTGCTTATTTAGGAGAATCCTATACTTCTGAAATGAAATGTAGGGGAAGAAGGAATCAATTGAAATCATTCTTTTATTTCACTTACATAATATCATCAAACACAATACATGAAGTTTCCACATTTTTATGTTGTCCAATTCTATTAACGCAATGAGAACAATGTAGACTATTACCAATTACTCATTGCCTGGAATGCAGTAATGCGGAGTTTTTTAAGCCCACACTGACCTGCAGGTGGCTAGCTATATTTCCTCTACTAAGCTCCGGTTCATTCATAATTTCAAGCATTTTCTTGGAAAATACTTCTGCACAATACACCAACGCATAAGTTAAAAAATGAATATTAGGATTGGTCATGTGCACAATATCACAACAGTATTCAGTGGCTTATATTTGGTGATTTTCAACTTCAGATCGAATGCTAAATCACACACATGCATGTTAGACACCATTCTGGACAGCAGCAGGCATATAAATTTTTTGCTTGTCATGCGCCATTGACCCTTAGACCTATGACCTTAAAGATCAATGCTTACTATTTACTTCCAGTTGTTGAAGAGCATCAACAAACTTTTTGTGCAGATCTGCTGTCCAAGTAACCCTTGATTTCTTATGAGCAGATGATTCCCAATGGGATAAAATATTTGTTTCATCTTCCTGCTCAATAAGCTTGTCCCTGCGTTTATTCGGAGGCAATGAGTTTCCAACCAATTCTGCACTCGTAGGGTGTAATTTGTTAAGATCAAATATGGTTTTCCTGATGACTTGCTGCCATTTATTTTTGAGCTCCTTCATTTCAACAGGCTTCACCAAGTAATCTCGAACTCCATGCTTCACACTCCTCATTATGTTGTCTATTCTATCATATGCAGACATCACTGCAATTTAAAATTGGAGAATGAAGAAAAAATAACCAGAGGATAATTGGGAATTGATAAATAATGCAATTGAGTTATCGGCTTACTTATTAATGGAATGTCCATTTCGAGATCAATAATCTCCAAAAGCCTAAATCCATCCATGTCAGGCATACAAATATCAGTGATCACAATGTCAGTCTTCATTCTTCCTCGACATTTCAAGAGCCTCGGTTGCTTTTCTTGTCATTGTAACTACATATCAAATCGATACAACTTTATGAAGTGCTGCAAACAGAGTACAAAATTAAAAAGATGGCACATTTTAGAGCTTTCTGGTGTTACCAAAAGCAGATACCTTCAAACTTCAAAGTTAAGCAGAGTACTAAGAATATGTCTCAATGATGTTACTACATTATTAATTGATAACTGAAAATAACAATGTATGTATGTCTAGGGACTCGTTTACTATATAACGAGTATTTTATAAACAGGAAAAAGAGATCATCACAATGATCTGTTTCTCTTCGTTCTTTCTTTTTTCTTCTGCATTTTCTACTACTACAAATCCCACCTGGCCGCACAACCCACACACTGCCCACCGACAGTCTTCCACCGCCAACCTGTCAGTCCCAACCACGCCACCCATCCAGTGACACCCCTCCCCTCCCCCCCCCCCCCCCACCCACAACCAAAAGCCAAAAAATAAAAAGAAAACCCAACCTAATGTGCATGAATTTATCACAAGAACCAGTACTTAGACGTGTAATTACCCATATAAAAAAGAAATTATTATATTATTTTGGTGTATTGGCTACCTAGGAGTAATTATATATAAATAAGGATAAAAATAATTAAAAGAAGACTAATGTGTTTATAATAAAAGTTTGTCTTAGAAAGACCTATTAGAACTGTTTTACATGCGTTTTAAATATGGAATATTGTGGGATATGCCCAGGGGCGGCTCAAGCCAATTTGAGGCTTAAAACAGAAATATTAAATAAATGCTTCTTTATTTTTAGTATTATTTTTTTAAAAAAAAATTATTTTTAATTTTCTTTGGGAGAGAAAGACAAAAAAATGTTGTGTTAATATTGTCGAGAAAGAGATTTCAATTTTTGTTTTTGTTTTTTACCATGAAGAAAGAGAGAGAGTATTTAATTTCAACTTTTGTTTTTTTTTTTTTTTTTTTTTTACTGGATAGAGAGAGAGAGAGAGAGAGAGAGAGAGAGAGAGAGAGAGAGAGAGAGAGAGAGAGAGTAAATATGAGTTAACTTTTGAGTATTTTTTTAATTTTTTTAATTTCTAAGTTTTTAATGTTAAGGATTGGATAATAGGCCAAAATTATTGCAACAAAAATTTTGATTGGATTAATTTTTTAGAGCTTTTTTGTAGGGATAAATTTAATGAATTTAATTTTTTTGTGGACTAGTGGTGTATCTAAAATTATGGGATCTTCTAAAAATTTTGGGCCTAAAGTCCATGCTTTTTGTTCCATACTGTTGGGGCGGCCTTAGATATGCCAAACTCCTCATATCTATATAATAAAATACAATACAATTCAAATCTTAAAAGATAAATAAAATAATTTTTACTATTCACAAATTTTATTTTAAAGTTAATTCGACGGCTAATATTAATACCTCAAATTTAATAACAAAAATAGACTCCTAAGGGTGTGTTTAGAGTGACTTTTTAAAAATAGTTTTAGGACTTATTTAAACTCCTCATATCTATATAATAAAATACAATACAATTCAAATCTTAAAAGATAAATAAAATAATTTTTACTATTCGCAAATTTTATTTTAAAGTTAATTCGACGGCTAATATTAATACCTCAAATTTAATAAGAAAAATAGACTCCTAAGGGTGTGTTTAGAGTGACTTTTTAAAAATAGTTTTAGGACTTATTTCTCATAAATACTTAAAAAAAAATAGTGTTTGAAATTGCTCTACCACCACCACCCCTACCGCCATCACCACTACCACCACAACTACCACCCCCACCCCCTGTCGCCCCATCCCCACCCCCACCAACATTATCGCCACCCTACCACACCTACCACCCAACCCCAATTACCATAACCATTGCCCATCACTATCCCACCACTAACACCAGTACCACCACTATCTCACCACCTCCATTGCCCCACCACCACGATCCCCACTACTACCACCCACACCACCACTACTACCACCATCACCCACGACTGTCACTACCACCATCATCACCTAAATCCATCACCACCATCACTGTTGACACCCACGACTGTCATCACTATTACCACGGTTGTTGTCACCCACTATAATCATCACCGTCTCCCACCATAATCACTATCGCCCATCACCATCACCACCACCACCACCGCTCACCCTCATTACAATTGATGCTTAAATTCATTTCTCTCTCATCTATATTTGTGATTTGATTTTGGGTGTAAATACAAATATGTTTATTGTTGACTATTTTTTTTATTGGGAATAACTAGTATATATATATGTATAGATATATATATATATATATTCTCTTCTCATAATCACACGTACACACACACACATTAGAATAAGAGAAAGGAGAGGAGAGGTTAGGATTTCGAGTAAAGAAAAAAAAAGAATGAGATTTAAAGAAGAATGAAGAAAACTAGAAAATTTGATCACCAAGGGAAGTCTTTATATTTAAATTAAATTATGTATTTAATCATTATATGTACACATATTCAAGTTTGTAATATGATATATCTTGCAAGTAATCCATATGGGTAGGTTTTTAGGGTTAAAATATGTAAATTCAAACATAATGTGTCAAGTATTTGTGTTAAGAAGATATTGGGAAAAGGGGAAAAAAGAAAAAGGTACAAACCAAAGCTTCTGGAATTTCGTATGGTTGAAGACGATGGAAATTTTGAAATTAAGGAAAACCCCCGTTTAATTTTAAATAGCTTTATTTTGACCCTTATACTTTTGTTAACTCAATTTTGACCACCATGAAACTTGGTAATTTATAGAACTAACCCAATATGTTTGAAACAAATATTGTCATTTCAAAATAGCCCCCGAGTCTTGAAAAATTTCTGAAATTTTGAAACGACCCCTAAAAATTTCGATTAAGTGTTTAAAAATCAATGGTTACTCTAATAAATGAAATCGAAGTTGTATTCTTGAAAAATGGATCTCTAGAATCTTAAATACTATTCTAGAAAATTTATGGCAGTCCTGAAAGTAGAAAATTCGTTTTTCAAGAAAATTACACTTTGACCCCTAAAGTTTAAAAAATTATGATTTGATCTCAAAATTTTAGAAATTTTTTATGAACAACCAAGACTACTTCTATACCCTATTATCTCATATTAGAAAGAATATTTATATATAAAGGATTAAGTATATATCAATGGGTAGAAAGTTCAAAAATTAAATATAGAATCATGAAACGATGAAGTTAAGAATATGCATTGATTGTTATATGTTATTTGGATTAGGTGGTGATTGCATTGAGGTTGAAAAAAAGTGTTTTGAATTGGATTTTGGGAATCAAGGTGAGTAATTTACTACTTCTTTTGGGAGGATTTTCTATATTCAATGTGTGGGTACGTGCGTGTGGATTTTTCATATATATGATATATATGTGTTGATGTTTGAGGTTGCAATTAAATGTTTTTGAAATTGTGAATTGTTTTACATGTATATTTTGAAAAACTTGTGGGATGATTTTATATCATTGCTCTGGGGATAAAAAAGAAATTTTGTGTGCATTGGGACTAAAACTACAGTTTTGGTGTGTGTGAAAATCACATTTATGAGACGGGGATTAGGGTTACAAGGTCTAAGTGATAACAAGAAACTGAGTCAGTTACCAAGTTAGTGGTAATAAGAGATGGAGCCACTCATCAGGGTAGTGATGACAAGAGACTGTGATAGTTACCAGGCTAGTGGTAACAAGAGACTGGGTCAATTACCAGGCTTGTAATAACTCATACAAAGAAAAATATATATAAAAGAATAAAAATAATTTAAAGAAGACTAATATGTCTCTAATAAAAGTCTTGCCTTAGAGAGACCAATTAGGACTCTTCTACATGTGTTTTAAATAGGGTAGTATTGTTGGATAAGTAAAATCCTAAAAGACCAAAACAAGGGGCAGTAAACAAAGAGGAAAAAAAAAGTGAGAGTGGGAGAGGGAGGGAAGAAAAGAAAAAGATAAAGGAAGAGTTGAATCCATTGAAGGTATGTGGATGCATTATTTATTTTATGAGTTTTGTACTTTATTATTTGGGTATTATATATATATATATATATATATATATATATATATATATATATATATATATATATATATATATATATATATATATATATAATACTCAAATAATTTTTGAAGATATTAAGTTAAATTTGGGTGTATAGTTATTCGATATTTGATGGAGTTTAATAGGTTGAAAAAGGAAAAAAAATGGTTGAGCTGTTAAAGTTGCAAGAGACTTCCTGTGGGTTGAAGAAGATAGGAAATCTGAAATATGGAAAGCTCCCCTTAAATTTGAAAGAGTTTTACTTTGACCCTTATATTCTTCTAAACTTAATTTTAACCACTGTTTTACTTGGTAAGTTGTAAGAAAAGAATTCTGAAAAAATTATGGCAGTCCCAAAAATAGAAAAATTCGTTTTTTAAAGAAATTACACTTTGACTCCAAAAGTTTCAAAAATTTTGATTTGACTCCAAAACTTTTTCTAAACATCCCAGAATACTTTCATACCCTATTACCTCATATTAGAAATAATATTTATATGTAAAAGATATATTAAGTATATATCAATGGGTAAGAAGTACAAAAAATTAAATATAGAATCGCGAAACGACGAAATTAGGAATAGAGATTGATTGCTATATGTTATTTTGGATTAGATGGTGATTGCATTGAGGTTGAGAAAGAGGGATTTGAATTGGATTTTGGGAATCAAGGTGAATAGTTTACTACTTCTTTTGAGAAGATTTTTTATATGAAATGTGTGGGTGCGTGTGTGTGAATTTTTCATATATATGATATATGTGTTGATGTTTGGGGTTGTTATTAAATATTTTACAATTGTGAACCGTTATACATGTAAACTTTGAGAAATTTGTGGGATGGTTTTATATCATTATTTTGGTGATGAAAGAGAAATTTTCTGTGCGTTGGGACTAAAACTACAGCTTTGGCGTGTGTGAAAAT